ACGACAAAAAATTCTCTAATTTCTATGAGGATCGATATTATACAGAATACCATATGGTTGCATGCTTACAATTCCCTTACGCCTCTAATTGAGGTTGTGTAGCATTGTTTAAGTTTCTGTATACTTTATTCATTCTTACGCCCAAAACCCTATGAAGCATTATTCCATAAAATGTTGTAGTTACTCTGTTGGGTATGCGCTTTATAGTACCCTTGAAGCAATTCTTATAAACTGATCCTATTTTATACATTACAATAATAAATTGCTAAAATCATTTAGATTCTTGGAATATCGTCTAAATTAGCGAATATATTGAAAACATTTTCTGGCAGTTATAATGAAAGTATATAAATATGATATTTTACTATACGTGAAAGAATACATATTGTAACTAAAATTATGGTAATTGTCTTGTAATTTTTAAATCGATCTAACTGCTGCCGTATGGACGATAATTTATGTAAATATCACATTTGCGATTTGATACTATCTAACGTCCAAAGTATTATACCTTTAATATTTAGTTCCATCGTAAATACATCAAAGAAGAGTTTTACGTTATCACAGTAGTTTATTGGGTGGCTATATTATTTTTTTCTAATTATTGTGATTGGTATTAAGGACTGTAATCAATGAGGTGTAATAATATCAGCAAAATGGTACTACAAGTAGCGTATCACTTTATCTATAATTTTCCTTTGCTTATAGTATGGCTGTAGTTTTTATCGCTTAGGAATATACTGTTTGTTGATAGTAGTCATATATACGAGAATATATTTCACAGAATGAAATGGTATTTAGTTGGTATCCTCTAGTAAGAGTTGAGTTGATTCGCATGTTTTGGTCTTAGATAACGTAACACTAATGATATGCCAGAATTAAAAACTATCAGAAATTTGCATGAGATCGAGTATCAGTAGTTGAGCGTTATCTTGCCTATCATAGAGCAGCTCAGCTGGTATACCATGATAGTCATGGAATAAGAATCATTCTTGATGTAATAATAACAACCTTAGTTATAAATAAATAACTGTAATGACTGTTCTACCTACTCGGATGAAATCAAGAACGATCTATAAAAGGGAAAATATCTGTTACTTCTACGGATTAATTTTATGGTATCAGTTGTATGATTAGAGTTTTGAAACATCATGTCCAGCTGATAGTTCAATAATATTATGCTTTGCACGTTAATCGAATATTGAACACTATTCCGGTATACGAGCATTCAAAATTATTTTAGGTAAGCGCAATTTGGTTGTGAAACATGCCTTAATTGCCGTAATAATAGCGGTACAGTTATTACATCTTTCCGACGGAATACCGAATGTTTTTAGCAAGGAAAGATATAGAATGCTTCTAGGGTTGCAGAATTGAAAATGGGTTAATTGCTATTTCAATAGAATACTAAGTTCACGAGTATTGAAGAAAGATCAAAATTTTAATACCCGTATTAAACTTGTCTTGATTTAAACAAAAGAAAGATAATCTCGAAACGATTAGCCTTGAGGTAGATTTTATTATTTTATAATAGCATCGTAGGAAAAGGTTTTAATTTAACGGCGAGGTAAGCAATAATGAGAATGAGACTGTTACAGTTATCATAAAATTAAAATTCTGCGTGATTTTGGCTTTTCAAGATTACATCGCTTTTTTTGCAAAGAAAGTTAGATTCGCAATAGATTTTTAGATTTATTTTAATGGCTTTAGAAATTTATAACTCAGCTAGAGCTAATAGCAGTATCAAAAATTCAAAGTTGCCTCATTTTCGTTCTGAACCAGATATAATTGAAGTGTTATGATAGTTAATCAAATGTACGAGACGGAATACTTCTGTAAACCATTACGCAAATTAAAATAGTTGAGCGGCAACTCAATTTAATTTTTGTCTTAACAAAGCGTCTAAGTAGATGTTGCCGTTCATATTATACCCTATTGCTGAGCAAGAAGAAATATCTAACTGGTCAAGTTGATAATATATCAATACAACAATTAATTCTAAGATATGTTTAACTTAATGACTAGACGAATCCGATCAATTTTATCATGCTGTAGCTTGCTTAAGTTAATAAAATTAATTATAGGAATTTATAGACAATCGAATCCAGAAATTTTAATCAGTTGCTGCATAGCAGCTGTTTTATAGATAGTAAAATAAGCCTTCAAATTTTCTTCTTTAATAAGTTAAATATTTTGAAGGGTATTACCAAATGAGATTGTAAATAATGTTTTAATTATTGTACCTTATGCGTTAGGGTACAGCAAATGTTATTACCCTATGCTCTTTAACCACTTCTTTTGTTCATCTAATATAAAGTTATTGTTGTAAAAGTAGTATTTATTTTTTGTTACTAACTAGACTTTTTCTGGTAAATGTGCCACTGGTCGTTAAAGTCTTTCTTATTTTTTTATAAAATTCCTTCCTATATGATTGATTAATTGCTGAATACAGGACAGGATTAAAACAGCAATTAATTAAGATTAATATTTTAGTTACCAGATAAGCCTCATCATCCATCGGTAAGAGCTGAAAATTCATCAAAGTGAAATAAATTTGACTTGGAGTCCAACATAGCATAAAAGTCATTGACGATATAAAAGTGATAATAACTACGCGACGGTATATTAATTTATTACGAAATCGACCAACATTATTACAAGATGTAATATTAAAAAGTTGATGTAATTTTTTTACTGTTGCCGCATAACATACGACGAGAGTACAACTCGGTAAGAAAAATTTGGTTAGAAATAGCAGCAAATATAACATGTTATTGATTACTTTACCAATAGGTAATTCTTGCCAGATACATGTAAATGCTTGATCGTAGATATAGCCATAGCTAAGACTGCTGTGGAATATATTAGGCATATTAACGATTCCACTCGATATTGTTACGGCCATAATCATCCATTTAGTTCGATTGGGCGTAAATAAAGCACGATGTCTAACTTTATTTTGTATAATGTAGTACCTTTCAATGCTTAATAACGTGACGGTATAAATGGAAGCAATTCCAGATGTCCAAACGAGATATTCCGATGCTATAAAGCTGCAATATAGAGTCCCTAAAAGGATGTTAGTTGAAGTATTGGTGATGTTAATTTTATCCTTGCTCTGTAAAGGCACTAGTATACTTTCGCTGTAGACTAGTGTACTATTAGGTACAAGAATGACTGAAATACAGAACGCAATATCAAAAATTGCCAATGCCATTATAATTTTACTGGAGGATTTACTCAGTAATGTTCGCGTACAGATGAACATGAAGCAATTAACTGTATTACTAAAAATTGCAAAAATAGCAATAGAAAGAAGTAGAATATTAAGAGCTTCCATAACCCATGAAATATATTATAATAAAATTGGATGTTCTAAATCTCTAAAATTTGTTGTTGAGTTTTGTTCCTCTTGCATGAGAATATTTTACCGATCTTACAGCTGACAGCTATAACTATAAAAAGCAATCTATCCTTAGGATATCTATAAAATGGTATATCTTAGAGTAGAGACAATAGTACTCGTATAACGTCTACGTGATCTCCTATACTTTTGTGTTCAAGTTAATTTGCTCAAGTACATTTAGATAATTGGTTAGTATAATGTATGGTAGTCAACGTGTTACGCTTCTGAATTTTTTATGATCTAATAAGCATAATAATTAAAATATACAATGACGACCAATGATGCAATTCAACTTGCAGTATATGTAGTGTATACTCGTAATTAGATAAATTGATTAATAAAAATAGTATACCATATTTCTTGATTTCCAAAAAAGGCTCAATTGCCAACTTAAATACGCTAATAGACCTTTTTGATTCGGTAAATCTACTCTTGATTAATTCGTTTACGTTTTCAGTTCTCTCTAACAATAATCATATTATGGTTAAAGAATAATTTATGTGGTAGCAGTAAGCCGTCGTGTTTAAACAATTGATAAGGAAATAACTACAGTTCTCTTTTGTTTTTCCCCTTATTTTTCTGTATAGTTGAATAGCTAGACTAATAAGTAGTTCATTATTTTAGTGCCTAATTCCATATTTTTAAGGAAAAATGAAATATTCTTACGTAGATGATAACATTCAATTAACTTAATTCGTGTTGCTGTAAATAAATAAAACGTCCGACGCTATTTTTAAATTCCGTCTTTGAAGAATAACCATATTAATTAAAGTACTAACACTACGCTTTGTTTCGTGCGCTAATGATTTTAACTCCTTCAAATGATATTGGAAAGGGCTATACATGCTTTGTCTGTACGTTGGATAAAAAATTGTCTGCTACAAATTTATCTGAATTGAAATGAAAAGACAAGTTCAACCTTGGTAAGAAAATGCATTTTAATTGTTTTGGAATAGATTCGTTGTCTACTATATATTGCGCCTAATATTTATTAAGATCAGCAATTTCGGTGAGATTGGCCAAATATGCCGTATTTTACTAATTATTATTTATATATTTACATAAACCCGTATAGCCACGATCATAACATATAGTCAACCATAAAATACAAAATTTTTCAATAGGAAAGGGTCACAGTAAGGTTTTGAAGGTAAAATGATGCTGATGTACAACTATAATCAATATATATACATCGGTCACTGTACAATCCAATTTAAATAGCTACAGTATTTCTTGTACCAAACTGTAAGAAAGTTTCTGATAAGTTGAGGATTATATAGCTAATTGCGCAGTAGGCTGCCTTAAAATTATAAAACATTATTTGCATTGTACTACTCAACCCGTAAGGTCGATAACGAAGTAGAAATGCTATCTATATTAGATAGTTCTGCAGTGATAGTAAAGAGCATAGATCATCAAACATAAATGCTTAGATTATTATACTCAAAGACTCCATAACAAAGTTCTTCCAACTCCGGATATATTCAAAAAAATTAAAGTTTAGCTAAATTTCAACATTCCTTCCAATAGAATTGTAATCAATTCGTAGGAAGGTTAACATATTTCAAAATTTCAGAACGGTATGCATCTTATACTACACGTTAAAAGCTCCAGTGGTATTTAATATTGGTATTTCGGTAACAGGCTGACTATCATTGGTACTTCGTAGAATCTGATTACTAACAGTAAATCTAAGTGTTAATCCCACTGCAAAGACAGCTGCAATAAAAATCGTAGTGATGACTCGACGCTTTAAGATTAAGTTCCATGGATCTTTATTACTTCGTACAATAACCTGAACATCTTGTTCTATGTTTTCGTTACTATTAATTAAGGTCTCAGTATCATTAGCAGCTACATCTTTATTTATAATATCTTTCTGAACTTCTATAAGAATAAGATAAACAGATGTTAGTAACTCATTCTTATTGATACAGCACGAAAGCAAAATTTCTTATTGCAAGCCAAAGTAATGATAATCTATAAATTTTTTCGTTATTAGTACTATCAAGTATGGTTACTTCATGTAACATGATTAAAGTTGAGCGGACGTACCGTCCATTTCTATATCGTTCTCACTGTTACTTGTACTTAGATTTAACGTGTCATCTCTTGATCTTTCCATTGCCTGTGAAATTTAATATTGATAATATTTATTTCCTTTGCAATAAAATTACATTTGCTAAATCACCTTTTCTAAACGTTAAACTGAGAAGCAATATGAATCGGGTGATTTTTTTCGTAAAATTATGTTGTCATAAAATGGATAAGATGTGATAGCTAGATTTTTATGGCTACTATACTAATAGATATTTAGTAAAAAATATTTGCCATACCAGTTTTGCTTGGTTTTCCCAGTTGACTCTTGCAAGTATTATAAAATCAAAGAGCATCTAGCCCAAACAAGAATTGAGTTATTAACCTTACGATACGAATTACTCAGAAGATGCTACATGAAATTTTAGTAATGTATTAATTCGTTCTTACTTGCAAACTTAATCCAGTTAACGAGCCAATCCAAAGACCTGGGATCGTAATGACAGGTTAATGAATTATAAATATAATGTGCGCGTACTGTAAGAAATTAAGAGAAAGACTGATGATTCCTAGATTTTATGCATCGTTCTTGCCTTTCAGGCCCATATGTGCAGAAAACGTAAGTACAAGACCAATTGGAATAGCAAAAACGCAGTAACCAAGAAAATTTGCTATTGCTCCAAGCCGTTGAATTCCGATACCTTTGATAATGCCGCCACATATACACTATTTTTAATCATGATTATAATAAAACAAAATGGAAATGCTTAAAATAAAAAAAAGATGAGGAATGAATATTTTATTACAACTTGTTGCGGAGTAATTTTGGTACAGCTGCCGTATCATAGTTTCCTTAAGATTACTTGTCTGGGAATGTGTTAATATTAATTTATCTAAGTTTCTAATAGATAAGTGCATAGTTTTATAGTTTTATCTGAGTGCTGATAGCTAATGTTTATGTACATAGGTTTATTATGAATTGACTTATTTTTTCAATAAAGGTTTGGATTTAGTTTTGTCTAAGAGAGAATAACGATAATACTGTTCCTCCTGACGGTGGAAATCGTCAGTATTTAAAATCTTACTGTAGGTAGATGTCGGGGAAGACAAAACTGACAATAAGCTCGTAGTGTTCTCTGTAGTAGTTTTTAATTTTTCTCACGTTACAAACTTTAGGTTTTTAACACAACTGGAACGCCTTATATAATTTTCTATAATTTTCTACTTAGATAAGGGTATATGGAAGACATTGGTTTAAAATTAAAGGTGATGAGTAAATTTGAATACCGACAAATTGACAAACCTGAGTTCCGTCGAAGATATGGCATGCAGCTACGAAGGGGTAAAGTGTTGCCGCCAGAACGATTACTTCTCTATATCAAGTGATATGAAGTCGGGAATTAGATTTGTAACTTTATTAATTATTGAAATATATCCATACTTATCCGTAGTAAAAGCGCGAGCAAGGACATCCTTAGTCGCCATGACAATCGAGAAAAGTATGACGACAGATACCGCTAAAAAAAATCAGAAAAATTTTAGCATTGGCAATAAATTATCAAACTTATCAAAGATCGCATTTTATTGCGACATACAACTCAGAAATAGAGCAGCTAATGCTGCTCTACGAGCACCAGTGGGATTATTGCTACCCAATTCATTACCAACGCGAACAGTAGCGGCATCGCCGATACCTAGGCAGACCTATGATTACAGGAAGTTGTATTCATTAAATTATCTGAAGAAGTTAAGTTAAACAAGATGCAATTGCCTATTACAATTTCTCTAATTTTTAAACAAGGATAGCATTTAGTTAAATAATGGTCACATTAGTTATCATTTACTCACCACGAACAAAAAGAGTAATGTGTTGACTAAAGCACCTTGTGCACCCAGCGCCACTGTACCTAGCAATCCTGTCACAGTCGATGTGTCATATGATAAAGAGATAAATACATCAAGAATGCAATGAGAACACAATTTTATCCTACTTACCAGCTGCGATTGTATACACTTCAAAACTCCACCATTCTATACACAGCATTACTACACCGGCCGTAGCAAGCTTCATGTACGAGAACCAATCCAAGAACAAATCTTGAGACCAGCCATCCCATGTACTAAGATGAACCTTTTTCCATTTAATGTAAACTAGCGTGGCAACAGGCAAGAAACAGAAGGAAATATTGCTAGCCCAAGCCGCACCTCTTTAAATATGAAAAGTTAGATTTACAGTTAATATCGTTGATATTGAATATTTCACTACTGTATTTGTGTATGGAGGATTTATCCATGTCATCTATTGTAAAATTTCAAGAAATACTAATTCTTACGTCAGTCCCCATTTGAAGACGAAAAGGAAGAGGTAGCATAACAATGCATTAATACCATTACCAATCAAACCAATTATTGCTGCTGGTATTACATTTCCCTGCAATAGTTTAATAAATAAAAGTCAGATATATGATGAGCATTCCTTAACGTTAATAGCTGACGTGCCCCTATGTTAACCTATAACTTTGTTGATGAGGATATTTAGGCAATACGTATAAATATGAATTTAAAAACATTTTACATGTCAGAAAAGCCATGGAGCAACGTACTAAATTTACGAGAGTATAATCTTTTAGTACATTAAGTATTTACCTGTGCTTGGAGGTATTTTTGTAATATCAAGAAGTAAAGTTGACCCTGGGGATAAAGAAGGGTAAGTTTAGCGACACTTATTTAAATAGGCTTGATATCGTAGTTAGATGGATGCTAATTACTATTAAAAATACATATATACCATTAATGATGGTATGGCATTTATGATGAAAGTGTCAGTCAGTCTGTACAATAAAATGTTAGAAAATAATCTTAGTATGCTACCACGAAGTATAGAAGACAAGTTTTGGTTAAGGAGAGATGCATTGTGAAAGGTAAATTTATAAGCCTATAAATCTATGAAAATCGAACATTACCTGACAACATCGATATTCTGGCGGAATAGAACTAACAATAGTGCGCCACAATTAAACCATAGTGTGTAAATTACCAGCAAAGACAGGGATAAAATTATCAGGCCTAAAGGATAATTGTGGCTATAGTTAGTACTCTGTAGGGTCTATAGTTTCCTGTAGCACTTTCTAATACCGTATTATGTTACATCGAGGAAGAGAAAAATACAATTCAAAGTGTTATGAAGCATTCAGTTGTATCAACGCAATTAAAAACGGAACTGTCATAGTAACGTGTTACTGGTAATTTCTATGTATTTCATCACGTACTGCGCTGTAGTACTATTCCAAGTTTTTTCTTGTTGCTGCTTCCAAATACCTAAAATTTACAAAGGAATCATTGATGGAGTGTACAAAGATATTAAATCTACCGGGTAACATTCAGGTACACGAGGTAAAAGTAAAGCGTGCATCTTAAAATGTTCGATAATAAAATTCAACATGAAGACGTTCTGTGAGACAGAAATATTGCACGAATAGCCTTGTATGTGAATAAGGGCTATATGAAACATGAAAACTATTGATATTCATTATGGACAGAGAAGGGTTCTGTTATACTGTATGATAGCTTTCCTAGCAAATGGTAATTATATATTTTTATAATCTTACCTGAGGGAATAGAGTGTCGCATGCCGCGCAAAGGCCGGTAACAATAGAAAGCCCAAACACATTAATAAACTAAAATTATAGTGAAAGAAGATAATTATAAAATTTAGTGAATTTCGAAAATAGCGTTAATAGTTTGCATGTACTGCTATATCCGACGGTAAGCAAATTACGATGAAAAAGTTTGTAGATCTTCCTGAATTTGATCTGTTTACATACCGAAGTTGCTAGTGCTGTAAGGAAAGAAATAACAGATTAAGATACAGACACGAAATATGGTGTATAATCAGGCTTAAAATGTTTCGTTATGTGGCAATGAAGACGCAGCATGAAGACTATCAAAAATTGACCTCTTGAAACACACATAGGGTATTCAATAAAGTCTTACAGTTGCTAACTAACTACTGTTATTATTGAGCTTTGGCTTTTAATTTTAGTCCTGTAAATAAGACTGCTGTAGTACAGAGTGACAATATCTTTAAAGTATTAATTATAATTATTATACAGTACGAATATTGTACCGAAGTGATGTACTGTATACTATACAGATATGTATAGCAAGTCCGTTTCCCGACAACATATTCAACGTACTTTGATATATCAATTTATGCATAATCACGTGAGAGTGATATCGCAATCATAATAACAATTATTAGTATCCAAGTTCCTTACTTGCAGCAGCTAAGCTGGTCCTATCTAAGTGACCACAAAAAGCAGTAGTGACAATTGGATTCGATGAACGAGTAACATTGATCAAGATCTGTTCAAATACAAATGGTTACACATTGATAAATCCATGAATTTGCAGTGTTGCTAATTCTAAAGTTATATTTCTACTTTTGTCATCATTTAGGCAATGGATATACGGGTATTCGTACAATATCAGAGTACAGTACGAATAATGAGCGGATTCGCTTTAACATTCTAAGAAATGCAAGATCTATGGTTCAAATTTCAAAGCTAAAGTACTGTACTTTATAATAAAAATAATAATACAACCACAATATAACATTGCAAATAGTATACGATAGGATATCTCTAGTCTGTCGATAGCGCGATTCACCTGAGATACAAACTATTTAGAGTGAGTGCAAAAATCGTAGCATCATTTTAAACTAACTGTAAGTTACTTAACATTGCTTCTTGATTATATTTAAAATATCATTCCTAAATTTAGTGACAAAATATAGCAGAGTGGTTAACGAGTATGTACATAGCACGTATACCGTATACTTGTTTGTAGTGGAATAATTTGTCACTATAATTTCATATGTTGAAATAACTGAGGTAGAGTAGTTGGCATGATTTTTCTATGGCCATATTTGATTTCACATCTAGTCATAGTCGTCTTTTAAGGTAATCCGTTGCAAGAGTGTATTTAAAGGGCGTATAAATTTACAGCTTTGTATAATCACTTGTACATACTGTACTGTACAGTAAAGAATAATTGTGCTGGACAGTAAAAAAGGCTTTAATTCTTTCTGGAATCAATCGTAAAACAATAATATTACTGCCTACAGTAGAGTAGATCTGCAGTTAAGGTGATTCCTTTTTGGGGACAATAATTGCAATAGCATGCCGGTATGCATTAATAAGTTCCAAATATGTACGTACATATCTAGTTATAAACAAGCATGTTGCGCACGAGCTCGCCACATGCAGTCAGTCGACAATGCGAGTACAAATGCAGACAGCATCTACATGACTGTACACTGTAACACTACAGCATTACTGATTTAAAATTGTCCAGACACACAGCTAGTGCAGCACTAACAGCATGAGAGAGATAAAGAAGAAGACAAGAAATAGAGCTATTGGTTTATAAACTTGAAGAACGATTATGATTAATTATTAAAGATCTTACCAAGGGCCAAGCCAAGGTAAAAATTTTTCGAAATTCAACCGAGAGATTTTTCGAAATTCGCAATTGCTTGAACCACATTTTTTTGGTACTAGTATATCACTCAATAATGCTATAACATATGCATAGGCAAAGAAAATAAAGTGATAGGGTTGCTTTGAATTGAGTTTTACTTTCTTTGTTGGGCAGATTTTAAATTCAACTACCACATGATAACTTTGCTTTTTTACTTGTAGCAACGAGTACCAGCCACCAAAATTTTAAATGTTCAAGTAAGGACGTAGAGTATTTTTAATTGTATATTATTATTAATGTTCAGTCTACCGGCACTTTTATAACTAGAGCTTTTAGATAGGCAGTACAATAATTTCTGATAGAATTTCCTTGGATTAAATTTTGGAGTTCAATGCCCTTCTTTGCTGTACTCTATTACTGTACATATCCCTCCGCGACCTTCGTTTATAAAGCTTCGATAATCTAATATTACATTCATTACACGACCGTGATGCAATGCAATTCATTAAGTGGACTCATCCTCTTTTCCTTTGTACCCAAATGTGTAAAACAGATGTCGTATGATTTCTTGGTACTATAGTAGAACGAGGCCAATGTGAACGACATCTGTTTTACATCGTTGAATAATTAAATTAAATTAAGGTTAAGGTTAAAAAAGAACATCTGACATTAGCATACAGCATGTTGATGCAATAGTGTGCAATATACATTGTACTGTACAGTACACTTTCGTTGGCAAAAATTTGACAAAAAAAATGCACTGTAGTACAGTACAAATAGTAAAGTACTGTAGTCTAGTTTTACCGCTGCTTGTTACGGTATGAAGAGCACTTGTCACGTGATCATTGATCGGGGGGGGATTGCACGAAAGGTGTAGCGCTGGGTTTTGTACCACACACTTACGATCGATGTATACTGTATCGTACAACTGTACATTGTCCTATGGTATACTTTAGACAACGTGGTCGTTCACTATCTGGTATGGAGGAAACTGCTCCAATGATGATAATCTTCAAAAATAGTGCGAAGGCAGTTTCTGGTTAAATATAATAATACCAAAATGAGGTGTGTATGTATGTACACTGTACAGTAGTCGGTTATATCGCGAGCGAGATTATGAATCGCTAAAGGTAGAGAATCCAGTATCTAGTAGAGTCCATGTGCATAGATACCGATACTGACTTACAGTACAGCAACGTTAACATAATCTCGTAACTCATCTGCAACCTTCAGCAGTAGTACTTGATTTTAATTTTTAAAATAATTAAATATGATATGACATCATAACGTACATTAAGTTTACTGCCATCGCCTCTAGTTTAGAAGGATAGATGGGAGATATTGCAAATAATACAGTCCTGAGAACACTATTGTACATACAGTACATCAGGGTGTGTAAATGAAATCATAGTAGTCGTTGGCTACTTAATTTATTATCAAGTTAGTGTAAGTCTTTAGGTAAATAGGTTTTACGACGAACCGTTCGCATATAACAATATAGAACGATTTTCATGTTAACAATACAGCATTTAGAATTTGAATATACGGAGAGCTATACAGTAGGAGAAATTCTAATACAGTATGTCATTAAGTTAAGTCGATTTTAATTCTTGAATATACAGTAATACTTTTATCGTATCATCAGAATAACGGAAATTGTAAGATAATTCTAGATAGTTTCAAATGTAGTCTCAATGACGCTCTAGAAATTACTGAGTACAGTAATATTTTGAGATTCAAAAGTTTTGTTGTGATTAGCTAAAAAATTATGGATTTATCTTCGGTTCGTAAAAGCTGTAGTAATTCTACGTTCATTTCTCAAATGATGCTACCTTTAATTGTTATGGACATACGGCCAATAACACTCTATACTAATATTTTGCAAGGAAGCTTCGATAAAGAGGGCTACAAAAGAGATTCTATGGTACAATCTGTAGTCAAATAACTGCAGTAAAGATGCAAACAATGTACAGTAAATGTATCATTTAAAAATAAATACAACAAAATTCTAGTTATGAATAAGGCGTCAATTTAACTTTACGGTATTGATAAATTGTAAGCTACATTGGCTGCAGGAACCAGCATATGGCTTGAGTCTGCACTTATTTTCCCTTGTAGCCCTATAAAATACAAAGTGCATAATTAGGACAATATACGAATGTATATATACTTTATATCGTACATTGTACAATCTTGAGTTTCAACTCCAATATCTCTAGCACATTGCTTACCATTATCTCTTAGGCATGTCGACCATTCCATTCGTTGTAAACATAATAATGTATCCCTTTCATTTCTATGGCGAGACAACGTTTCTTCCTACAAGAAATGAGTCGATTTGAAAGTTTGCAAACTTGTAAAACTAGTTAATGATTTCATTATACCAACCTTCATATCGTTATGCTTTTGTTGCAGCTGGGCTTTCTGCTTTAGTAATATCCCGTAATAAGTCTTACTAACATTGTTACTTACAGAAGGAATGAAGGCGTAAGAACGATCATTCTGTATAGAAGGAAAATAAATTTGTATATTATCCATAGACGAATCCCCATTTAGTGCATAAAATTAACAGGCGGTAAAAGGTACGTAACATTCTTTAGAAGGATCTTACCTTACAGTTTGAACATTTTTTAACAACGACATGCGGTACTTCTCGTGCCATTAACATACAACAGATACTTATGGGTTCTTGTTGGTGTAATGACGCTCTCTGATAAGTTCTGGTTATTTCGTATTCTGCATGTCTGCGCAAACGGTCCTATAAAAATGTATTGTTATGACATTCCTTAGACCTTTTAATAGACTGCAGTCGTGATTATACTAGGAAAGCTTACAATTTCTATATCATGACGCCTTTCCAATTCCCTTCGAGCAATCTCTTGACGCCTATACAGAGATATTAGAGGGCTTGGTAGATCTTGAATAATCGCTGGAATCTACACGACAAAGTCGATTAGTTAAAAAGTAGGATTTATTATGGAGTACCATAAGAGGGAATTAACATTACTCACCATTATATCGTCGATATTAGTTACGTTCGGTTGCTGAACTTCTGGCGAAATCGAGGTCTTTGAAGTTTTGTATAAATGGTACTGTGGAGGCCTTGCTACAGGACCAGTATAGAATAGCTTTCTTTTTAAGTCAATAACTTGTTGCCATGTCAAATATCTGGTAGAAGGATCCATGGATTTTGAAAAGCCTTTATACAACTTCTAATATATTAAATTTATACAATTTCGTTATTCACGATTACAGTATATCGTAAAATACCGGCTATAATTGGGATTACAACAGTGACATTAATCTAGTAGAGCAAACCTTGAAGCTACTAATTACTTTTGATTGTGCGGCTTCATCGTAATTAGTGTCTTCAGCTTTAACAGCTACATCGAAATTTATATCAGTTTCATTTTTAATCTCTTCAGCATCTGTTGCGACTGAAAAAAATATTATAATGTATGATATCAGTTTTACTGCCTGCTTTGGTTCCGTTTTAAAATATCGAACACAGTAAGGTGTAAAATCAAAATTGTTTTTAGTAATTAATTATTAACCTATTATACTATCTTTTTCTGTGACATCGCCCTGTGCGACTTTCATGGCCAAAAAATCACTAACATCAGGTTCATCTGATTCCATAGGGGGCGCTACAGTCATTTCTTCTTCACATTTACTTACTAAAGGCAGGATATCAAAATAAAATTAGGTTAACGCTGCTACTGGAGGAGGTAAATTAAGAATAGTACCGTTATCTTCGTCCTGGATCAAAATGTCGCTGTCAGCGACATCTTTTTGCATTTCTTCATTGCCATCTCCGTCAACTATTACTTGAGAAGTAGATGATGCATGGCTTTTGATACTATCATTGTCTGTAATAAACAGGCGATCGCATAAATATGCTAACAAAGAATTTAAACACATTGCCAATAGGATTATAAAAGAATCTAGAATCTAAGGAACATACCGTCGTCATGTGATGGTACCGATTCATCCATGGTTTCAACTGATCCGTCATTTTCGAGCGACACATCATTATTACAAACTAACTGGAAAGTAGATTTAGCGCCATCCTCGATAAGTACTGCAATATCATCGCTATCAGTTACTATCTGAATGTTATTCTTAAATTCGATTGAATCATTTTTTTCCAGCAATAGGTCATCATTACTCTCAAGGCTTTTGGAACAATCTGAAACAGGTGATCCTTTATCAGGTTCTAATAAGTTTTCATCTGATTCACTAATCAGTTCTTTAGTTGGGGATTTCTCAGTATCGCTATTATCACTATCGCTGGAGCTATCTACACCACTAAATTGATTTTGTTCTTTATCATCATTAAGTACTTCTATTTCATTATCATTCACTCTCAGCAATGATGTCATTCCTTTGTCTTGTGCAATTTTTAACGGTGTAACTCCCTTGGCATTAGATTGATTGATATTAGCATTAAATTTGATCAGTAATTTCACAACCTGTAGATAGACAAGGATAGATAATGTATAGTTAAAATTTTATTTTTCTTTGCCTCAGCAATCAGCATACTACAACATTCGCAATACCGTACTATACTATCACATTACTTTTAATTAATCTAAAAATCGTTGCTAACCTCCTGATGGTCATTCGATACGGCGTCGTGCAAAGGAGAATCCTGGTCTAAACCTTGAGCATTGATATCAGCACCAGCTTCTAGCAATATCTTAACTAACTCGTGATGTCCTCGAATGCAAGCTTCGTGTAACGGAGTCCATCCTTTTGTTAATTCGATACCAAAAATACGCATATTATTTAGCTAATGTAGTTATAGTGTAATACACATACATACAAACCACTAAAGCGAGCTTAACTTAAAAACCCGAACTACTGCAAACCTGTGAAAAACCTCCACTTTAGACATGTATTATTGTACACTGTATCAACAGGATTAATTTTATGTACAAAACTGTTCAGTCTAACCCAAGCATGAGAAATTCGACAGATACTCAGTTCATAGGTTAACGTTAATTACATTATATAGAAAAGTGATATTATGTGAAAGGTTGTCATGTACGGTACATGGTACAGTACATAAAAGACGAATGGCGTACGAAAATAGTTTTAGTCTGAAAGCCACTATATTTTAAGGACATAAAAGCGTTCTGTGTCATAAATAAGGGTCTTACATATGAGTTGATAATTTCGCAAAGTAATCTTATTGGTGTTAACATATGATGTAAATGGTATTAAATTAAGACTATATTCGCAATCGAAGGGAATTACAACATACTTATGCTGTGATAGTAGACAAAGTTATGGATAAAAATAATCGTTACTACCGCCCAGAAAAAGATGATGAAAACATTTTATAGCTATAATATACTAAGCATCGGGTACTTTCCTTGTTAAATAATATCGGTGATATAAGTTTTAATGTCGCGTAAAATAATCCTCAAAAAAGTCCTCATTCAGCAGTTAATGCGAGCGACTTTCTTTCTAACTTACCCGCGTTATCTCTGGCATTGACATCGGCTCCTTCCTCGATCAATTCTCTTGCTTGTCTTGTATCTCCCTTTATAGCGGCAGCATGAAGCATAGTTTCACCACGCTCATTCCGTTTTCTTAAGCGATGTCCACTGCGATGCCTACTATTACCATTACTATTACCACCGCTAACACTAGCACTAACACTGACATTGGCGTTATTAGCACTAGAACTACCACCATTATTACTAATGCTACTAGTTGGCGTATTGGGGTTGCTACGAATCGGGGACGCTTCTTCATCAACATCTTCATTCTTTACAGCTTCTGCCGCTAAAGATTGAGAAAGACGGAAATGTAAAAGAACGTAAAAAATAATATTCAAATAACATTGTACAGCATCGGATAATGAACACTAAATGATATTTACAGTACGCTAAACGTAAAAATTACCACTCATTTGAAGTAGCATGGCCATTTGTTGGCGTTCCGTGTAGGGCATATTAAATCTTCTAACTGACGTTGATGATGCTTTGCCGTTGGACGTATTGTTATTATTATCATTAATATTAGTAGAGTCTAACCTTCTGCTACGTTTAGCAGGAGTTCCATTTCTATGTTTTTCTACTAAAATCATGAAAAGAAATTTAAACGTTACACAGATTGTCAGGATATCGTTTCTTGATTATAATGAACGGACCCTGAAACTACAGCATATGAAAAGACGGAATATCGTAGTTTTGGAAATTAAAGTAAGGAGATCAGTTTGATTGCAATGGCATTATTTACCTGGGCTATTACCACGGTGATTTGGAGAGAAGAGTTTTCGCTTAGCTGTCTTACTACTCGAACTCAGACCGTGGTTACCGCGAGGCGTTTTACGATTATCACCGTTAACGGACTAAAAGAAAAAGGAAAGAAAGCGCCCTGGATTCAATACACATGATGATAAAATGCTACAGTCCTGTACAACGATTTAGAAACGATCAAAATGCAATGTTGGTACGAAAAGTTCAAATTTATTAACGACAGATAGTGACTGGCTTCGTTGATTATAAAAATCGTTCGAACGTTATAATATCATGCGTCAATACCATCACGCTTTGTTCATGGTTGGGAGTAACAGGGTTGAAAAAGAACGTTATAGTACATAGATTAAAGAGGGCCAAAACAATATCGAATAGTAAAACTGTTTGATACGAAAAATATCGCTGAAGTGTTTTCTCAAGGTTAGTAGAAAAACATATAATAATTATTGAATGTACTATTGTTGGCTAAAAACAGTTGTAACTTTACCTTGCGTTGACTCGGTGTGCTTGCCGTAGAGCGACTAATCGATGTTCGTCTGTGGCTGCCACCATTGCCAATAGTGGATGAGCGATTTCTCTGCTGTGTCATGTCCACTTTATGGCGATGGCTGTATCGCTTGTTAGAATCTTCCTGACTCTTATTACGGGTAGTGATTGAGCGATGGTGACGCCAGTTGGAACTGCTAGCCGGCATTCCTTCTCAGTGATACGAAAAAAGACCCTTTTTCTGTGTAATAATTTTCCGTAATTAGCAACAGCGTTTAATTAATTATCCACTCTCCATGTCGCCCGTACTTTTTTTTATACCCTCTCATAATATCTATCGAAATTGTGAGTAACACTGGCACACTGTATAATCATGTAAACTGATAAAAAATAGAAGTCATTCGAGAAGGAAGTTATAATTTCAATTCCGGTAAAGGCTGAGATCACGAAATAAAATTGTATATCATCCAATAAGAAATTGGCGGGCCTTGCCGAGTTCTGTTCCAACTTTAATCCTTAGTGTGGACGAAATATTTACTCTATGATTCTTAGTAGCACACGCTAGCTCAGTAAGTACGAGTAGCACCGTACTGTAACTAGAAAATTCGTAACAGCATTATTCGCGAACGCGAACAACCTACCGTACATTGTACAATAATGTACTGTACAGTATGTACAGTACCGTGCGTCTGTGACGCACGTTGCTACAGCTACAGTACGTACTGTACTGTACTGTAAGGATTTCTTTTTTTCTTTTACTCTTTATCATACTGTACACTTGTACAGTACAGTACAGTACAGTACATACAGTACTAGCAGTCCATTTACAGACGTTTCAGTATACTGTACAGTACAGTACTGTAGAATTCTGAACATCTAGTCAAAATCTGAAAGGTCTAGTGAACTGTACTTGTACTGTTCTTCAGTTGACGGATACAGTACGGTACATGTACAGTACAGTATGGGATCAGTCCATACAGTACTGTACACTGTACGGGACGTACAGTACTATACGTACAGTACACTGTACGGGACGTACTGTACTGTACACTGTACGGGACGTACTGTACACTGTACGTACCCGTGCAGTACAGAAGATAAGCAAAAGAAGAGCGTTAAAAATTCGCCGCTATCCAATTCGTTTTGCTTTCAGCGATAAGCAAAACAGGAATAGCATAAATGGATTTCAATGAAACGAAACTTTTGTTCTATAATTTATTCTAAGTAATTATAGTCAAAGAACTCCATTTTCGGACCTTGCTTTCTTTTATCATATAACGGCAGAGTGATCAGTGGTGTTTTGTTAATAATCAGGAAAATTTAAAGTATTAAACAAAGTGACTAGCTCCTACAAAATCCACAAAATATTCTATTGTTCGTAGAGAACCGTCAGGAACTCGTACAGAAACAATTTCACCCTCGATTAATGATACTGTACCGGTGCAGAAAGTTCCGACCACCTTTATCAAATTATAGATTTCTGTACTGCACAGTGCAGTAAAGATTTCATCTATTGTACATCCACAACAAATTTATGGATACGATTGCCAGTTCCTTTCTCTTCTTTTAAGTGACACATACAACTACTACATTGACGGTAACTACTTTGGACTGGATATGGCTCAAGTAAGCCTATTATTCTATGCAATTGTTCTGACAATATTCATGGCTATTATTCCGGTTGCGAGTGATCAACATTCATTGCCGAGGTTATATTTTCGGGGTAATCATTATCAGCTGGGTTTTGAGACGGTCAGTGGTTACATACTGTACTGCATTTCCTTCGATTTGCATGCAACAATGGTAATCGTAATCCGACGAATGTATAAACATCTCCATCATATTTTTTGATCTGTTTTAGGGTCGGACTTTTTCTCAGCGGATTCGTTCAGCCTTCAAAGAGAGTAGAAGCTTGCATCAAACTTTGTTACCATTTTATAAAACTGCTCAAGGTTACGTCCTTTTTAAGAAATATCTGCAATCAGCCAACGAGACATTTCCACACTACGTTAGAGAGATCAAAGGTATTGCGGATGGATCACGGATTGCATTCGATCAAGTTAGTGTGTTAATGCAAGATGTAGTAAAAAATCATCCATCTATTGCGTATATAGTATGCAATGATCCTATTTCATCCTTAGCTACTGTACACTCAATGTATAGTAGTAATTTGCATTTACGCGAAAATTTATAGCATTGCTTTAGATTTCGTATCAAATCCGTGATTGAATTTATCTTTCATGCAAGTGTTGGTCTTTATCAATTATATAAATAATAGACAAAACGTGTACACTGTACATGTACAGTAGTACTGTCAGTACTATTCTGCACATTAAGTATAGTAGAAGGAAATACTGTATTACCGCTAGCTGTTTATAAGATAAATTTAGCTAACTGTAAAGTGTTGCAATATATTTAATGAATGGCTAGAGTAATTGTCTTCTGTTACAATTTGTAAATTTTAAAAAAATTATTTGGTACGTTCAGCATATACTGTACCCCAGCATTTACGGGTATTAATGTATTTTGTACCTTTATTAATTATGCAAATTTCAGGAGACAATATTATACTTTAAGATTAGTCATAAGTTAATAAGATTTTAGTATCTTAAATTTACTATTAATAGCTTTCAATGGAGCATACAGTGTACTAAGATAATTTGAAAATCCAAGCATGTTACAGTAAATAATTTAAGGCTGTCTGATTGTATATATTGTACAATACAATATGCTGATAACTTTATTTCATCCGCATAACGCCAACGTTTATGTAAGGACGCATTATAATAGTTAACAGATGAGAAATCAGTTTTTTAATATACTTGTACTGTACAGTATATTATTTCTTTATAGTAAACCTTATTTAAAAATGACTTTGCAATAATAGCTGTTGAGCATGCAATCAGACACTGTTAATACTACTACTTTAAATTATATAATATATCCAGTATAATCAGTGCTTTATAGAAATATATATTTCTTGGTTGTAAAGGTATTTTTAATGCATATTGAAAACGAAATCGAGACATACCTCAAGAAATTTAAGAATATGACCCCATCTTGTACTGACATTCATGTCAAAACAAACAATCATGTAAGACGATTAGCAAGCAGGATATTGCGTAAAATAATGTAAATTGTCAGTCTAATAGTTGCAATAATTTATATAGGGTAGGGTATGGCGAATCTGGAAAATATTATTATTACCATTGAAGCAATTTTATTATTATTCCTATGTTTTTATTATGATGGTATTGTGTTTAGACATTGCTTGGACATAACGAAGATGCAGATAGTGCAGTAAGAAGATATGGTTATATAATCACAGCCGAGATTGTGTTAAGTAATGACACAATTAAAGAGAAATTCACTGCTTACACATATCCTGGCTTAATATCTGGAAATGCTTTCGGATTTAATAATCATGGTTTTTTATTTACTTGCAATGCCGTATTTCCTAGGCAGACCAATCAAAGTGCATTACGTAAGTCTACCACATCTGTAGTCGCTGTGTATTATAATTATGCATTAAAAAAATAACAAAATGGCAAACCTTTTTCCGACAATATACTACAAACCCGTTGTACAGCCTAATAAGTTAGGACTTTCGTATACTTTGTAGCTTCAGAGTTGTTAAAAGCGGCTGTTACCATTGCTACAGCATAGTTTTCACTTCACAGTTAAAGATTTCGAATAGATGTTATTGGCGCTCAATGAATATTCAGTATGTAACTAAGAAATATTATTTGTATTTATTGTTTTTTTCTTGCGCGTGCAATTATTTATTACCTTCTGTGCTTCCATTATAGCCAGAAATATTCTTACTAGAGCGATATTGGCTTCAAGAGGAATCGATGATGCATTACAGTTAGTTAAGAACACTTCAGTTGCGGTTGGCGTTAGTATTAATATGGGAGATCTCTCTACAGGAAAACTTGTAAATATCGAACTTTCTCCATATCACGGAAATAAAATGATTCTAGTTGACAAACACTACTACCACTTTAATATGTGAGTATCACAATATGGGCTTTATTATATTACGATACAAAATTATCATATATCTAAGTAGATGATAACCGGACTCCTTATTCAATATAATAGGTATCAAAATTTTAATCCGCCGCAGTATGATGACCCTAGTTCAATCCACCGTCGAGCTAGAGCAAAAATGTTACCTTTACCCCCGGGCAAGAGTGGCATTTTATTAATATTAGGAGATACCAAAGACCCCAAATATCCGATATATAGGGATGCTACCCCGCCGGATCATGATTTAACTGTCGCAACAGGTTATTATTATTAGTATTAAATAATTTATAGCATTACAGCCTGATACGTATTTTCTCATTAATTGAATGTTTACCTAGGCCTTTTTGATATTAAGAAGAAATCACTGTCAATCTTCGTCAACAATCCTAAGTTGCACTCACAACCACTAATGCAGTTTTCATTGAGCAAATCCGCATTGTAGAGTTAGTATAGTATTGCATAGAAGTTTCCTAAGTGATCGTTTGTGGAGACAGGCATTGCCTGACTAAGTGCAATTCAGAACTTAAGAAATGATTGCAACTGTACCATTTATGTTCCTTTCTTTGTATATATATATACATATATTTCAAATTTTTATAAATACATGGTTATAACGTCTGGTGTAAACGATTTATTGATAAAAAGATGTATCCAATGTTTTAAAATATGCAAGATATTTGCGCTTTAATATTGAAACAAACTTGCGTAAACGCAAAATCTGTTCAAATGTTAAATTTTTGAGATCAAGTTCTAATTTTTTTCAACAGATATTACCCCGTAGAGTATTAGGGTCTTGTTTATGTTATTAGTACTACAGAATTATCAGATTATACTGTCTGTTTGTTAGCATTTGATTTGCCAGGTAAAAATTAACAAGACTAATGTCTACTTGAATCCTAAAAGAAAGGTTTCCCGGTAGTCCACGCGAATTATATGCTAAAGCAAATTCATTTTTTATTCACTCTATACTGTACGTTCAAATTTTACTGGATCTTCATGGTTAAATTGGCAAGCCATTCCTTTCATTTTGCAGTGTAGTCATTCTTTACAACTTTGAGGATTTTCCAAATAAATTTTCTAGCTTCTGAGCGAGCATAATATTACCGCTAACCTTCAGTTTTCCGTTAAAGAATGCCTTCGAGATGACCGAAATAGCATAAATTTTTGTTACATAAGGTAGCTTTTTGTTATTATTGCTAATGGTAAGGTATTGGGATGTAGAAAGTAATATAATTTAGATTACAGTGTACATACCTTTTGAGCGTTTAATTTATTTGTAGCTAAGGCAACAAAATCATCGTCTGACGTCGTCAGAGTGCAGTCTACAGCAGTAGACGTAGAACCAGGGGTAACCGATGGATTTTGACTTTTCAAATCAATTACTGTATAATTATAATCAACGACAATATAAAATTATACTTTAGTATTATAATTAAAGAAAACAATATATTCTCACAAATTTGAGAGTATCAGTTATGATTTCGTAATCATGTAACCTACCCCAAGAAACAACTTTTTGTCCTTTTTCGTTTGTAATATTCCATAAGTACTTGCAATTAAATTTGTTAATTATTGAGGGATTTGCTAAAAATTCCTTTTTCATTCGTTCAAATATAATCGAACTTTGTAGCTGCAATAATAACAAAACCTTTAACCAGAATACTTTTTTCAATTGGAATTGTCTAATCAAAAAATTAAGATTCTAACTTACAGCATTCGTAGTTATCGCTAACGATTTCTTTGATCTAAATATATAATGTTTATATCATTTATTAACGATAAGGTTGTCAAATTTCTAAATCAGAAACGAATTTCGAATTAAAGATTCAAAACATACATTGCGACTTCGTTGGGTGAATTTAATTCAATATAACCACCTCTGACAACCGGTGTGTTGTTACCCTCAACCTGATAAGAATATGAAATAAATAGTTACATAAACTCTATTTGTGATGATTACTGAAAGTACGTTAGACAGCCTATAAAGAAAATGAATGCGTCTTTGGTAAACGGATAATCTCAAATACTATATCACGTGATTATAAGGATAAAAGATATTTGATGGGTAGAATCAGTTTTACACAATATACAGTAATAGCCAATATGTTATAAGGAGCTCGCTGATGAGTCTATTTTAGATTAGTACATATTAAAACATACTTTACACTGAAAAATTATTCTATCGATTTCTTTCCACATTTCAGTGATCAGCACTTGTCCTGGTATGACAGGGCGCATAAATCGTACCTGAAACGATGGATAATTCAGGAAAGAATGGATCATCCAATCAATCCGTGATTAGCAGTAGGTAGAATAATGAAATGATATAAAATCGGACAACAACAAAGTGATATAATGTTTTTTAAGTTGGCCAATCTCTTGGCTAACTAATGCGATAGAATGTTCAGCTAACCTTCATGGATTTAAATTTCTTTACGTCGTTATCGCCATAATGCTTCATGACATGTCGTGTTGCATAGCCCATTGTACACAAACCGTGTAAAATTGGTCGTGGAAAGCCTTATGTAATATAAAAATGATTCTTAACGCTGTGGAGTATATAGCAAATATCAAAAGTATGGGTAATTTCAGGAGGACAGTCATAATACAAACTTTAATTTTATTTAACAGGATATAGTATATTCATCCACGAAACAAAGTCCTAAAAATTTATTTAAAATAAGGTGCAATTGTTTCACCTCCAAGAGCAGCAAATTGTGAATCGATGTGTAATGGATTTAAGTCACCGCTCATTCTGTATAAGGCAGCCTAATATGAAGAGCATATTATATCCGTAATTATTAGCGTAAATAGCTAACTTGTCTCACATCTTAATTTTTACTTAAAGTTCTTGATTTGGAATACTTTATAATAAAGACTGCTGCCAATTTGTACACACAATATTATATTGTATTTTTGTACTCCCGACTTCAAATGTCGTTGTATTAAAAAATATACCTGGCTTTCAGGCACAATTTCTTTGATTATGGCGTCGGGGGGTCTCGCCGGAGTATCTGCTGCTTGCTAATCAGAAAGATAAAAAATTAATGATACCACCATTCACAAGGATATAGTATTGAATAGCGGAAACATCAAAGAGTGTCTTATAAATTCTTTGGCAGTATAAGAATGATAGTAATGCTGGCTTATCTAATCACTTAGCACTTTGATAAGTAAGGTTTAGTAGAGCTACTTATACTCACTGAAAGCGTTAATTTAAAGCCGAAAGATAGCATCGGTTAAACGCATCCGATCTTAAAGTTGATATATTTATACCTTAATCGCAGTGGACTGCCTTTTACCACCAAATCCGCCAGCTTTTTGGATATACGTGACGAACTGATTCATGCATAATTTTTCGTTATTCTCATTCGTGGTAGTAACTGTAGGTTAAAATGTTAATATGCAATTATTTCTATACCGATTTTTTTGGCCAGTTCATAAGAACAAATTAAGTTATATAACCTCAAGTAAGAAATGCATAATGTAGACTATAGCAGAATAGTCCTTACCTTCTGTTACAACGACAGCTCCCTTTCCTTTATCTAAGATTTCGACAATTTTACTAGAATTCCTTACGGAACCTATGATAGCATTAGTCTGTTAATAAGAGATTGTAATTAAATATAATAAACTTTAAATAGAAAATCTATTGTACCTGATGTCGGTAAAGGCTTGTATAGTTCTATGTACTGTTCTCCATGTACAATCTGTAATATTACATTTAATAATAAGCATCTAGATATAACATGCATATTACTGTATTAAATCGCATTAACTATTTATCATTAAGTATTCACCTTCGTGGGGTCAATATTGAATCCTGGGCAAGAAGCAAAAATGTTACCGACCCCGCTCTATCGAAAAGTACAGAGTAAAAACGGTTATATAACTAATTTTTCTTGCATTGCCGATTACTTTATAGTATATAAAAGTTAACTTACAAAACAAATAATTGCTGCAAAAGACGGAAAAGTACAAAAATTTTCATGGCCTTCGTACAGAAATTGTAGATTGTCATCGTTGACCTTCATGCCAACTACAATATAATGAGAAGAGATGCGTATATTGCCATATTTTAGTGGTTACGTTATGTAGAGATTGTAATTATCATTAACTGTTACAAATCGTAATTTTATAATAAAAACTAAGACTGTATATTACTTCCAAGAGCGTAGATGATGATATCTCGACTTGAAAATATAAATTCAGTATCTGGTATTTTATATGACATCGCTTTCCCCTGTTATAAGTGGTAAAGATCGGCGATAAGTTTATAGATTTATGAGTATGTTAAAATTTATTTAAATTTACTTCAAGAATAGGGTACTACAGAGTATTTACTAACCACGTTAATACTGTTATTCTTATCGTCTTCTTCTCCAAGCTCTTCGGCTATGTAACGTGTAAGAGAACGAAAAAATGCTTAGAATAAAGGACTACATATAATCATTGCGCTAACTTAGTAATTGTACTTACTAGTCGAATTGTTTGACTTATTAATTTCTTGAATCGATAGAGCCATCGATTCTAATGATATCCAATAATAGAAGGTTAACGCTTGTGAATACAGTATTTACAGCATGTCATATTCTGCTAATAATACCAAATTACGTGCAAATATTTTACGTAAAAGCTAGCCCTTGAGGTAACTAATCCTTACCCGATGTGCTCGCTGGATTTGTTGCATCTTGCCAGTCAGTAATTTTGTCCCAGTTTTGTTGAACTATGAAGATGTATTACAACTTTTTAGATAATAGGTCGCAAAGGTGGTATCTCAAGATGGCACAGTACAATTACAGAAGTAAATAACCGACTAGCCAGGTCTACTAGGCATACCTACCGGATTCAGGTGCAGTTTTCGCAGATGCATTAGGTATAACAACACCGTTAGTGCGTTGCCACCTTACTAAATTTTATAATAAAATTATAAGTTGTAACAATAGTTATCGTTGTTGTGTGTATATTATATATGCGTATATGTGTACTATAAATACTTTATATAAATATTCATATTGTGCATAAAGCATACATTTGGAAATCCATCCGCCACCAACCTAACAGATCAAGAAAAATAGTAAATTCGAATAATTGCCTGAATTATATTCATTAATAGCTAATTAATAACTAGAATAGAGATATCTATTTCTATAATTATCATAGATAGTATGATTACAGAAGAGAAGTAACGTACTTCGAATAAACCTCCATTTTCTTGGCAGCTTTCGTGACATAAGTACACCACCAACGGAGGAATATCTTCAACTTTAAATTTACCCATAACCTCTGTAAAGGGCATACAAATAGTAGTTAAAATAGGAAACGAAGGTAGACGAATAATTTGGCTTTATAATTAGCCGTTACCTGAAGGTAGTTTAGCGGTAAGTCGGGAAGCAGCAAAAGGACAAATTGTGTTGGAATGGATATTAAGTGACCCACCTTCTATAGCAAGGGTGTTACAAAGGCCGACTACAGCTAATTTTGCTATTTCATCGAAGACAAATACCAATTGTAAGTTTAAATTTATAAATAAAAAAAATTATAGATCGTATCTGGCAAAAACTTAAAACAAGCAGAATTAGGGTACTGACAGTACGACCTACCAGCACTATAGTTTGCTTGACCAAAGTTTCCATATACTCCGGCAGCGGACGTAACCATGATTATTCTATATAAAATTATTCATTATTAATAGTTCGATACATTAAAATTGGGATAATAATTGTGCCGTTAGCCGATTAACGTTACCTGCCATAACGTTGTTTCTTCATGAAAGACCACGCAGCTTTACTGACTTTGAAGGAACCGAATACATGAACACGATGAATAGTGTCTACAACAATCAAAGAATATAACTTCCTATTTCAGTAATTTTCTCAAACTTTTCATCTGCATGTCACAATAAAGTCAGATTTTATTGCATAAGCCAATTCCTTCTCTAGATTACTATTCACTTTGTATCACTACTAGTCTCGTTATAGCAGTAACATCCTCCTGTATGTTATATAATGCGTAATACATGTAACAAGTAAAATATGAATTACCCCAATCATTATCAGTAATATTTTCGAATTTTCTGTCTCTTAAAATCCTAGTTAAAGTATAATAACGAAGCTAGTTATAGCATAATGTAATTTCGTATGACAAAAATAGGTAAAATAAAATAAGTGTAAGTAAGCGTTTACGAATTTCATTTATGAATTACTGTACGCATAATTACAGATGAATAATGGAGTAATAAAATAGATAATAGCAATTCCAATATTAACTTTAAAAATTGATGTATATGAATAGCTTAAGAGGAATGATTAGATAGGGTATATTCGTATTTTAAAATTAAGGAGCTACATTGCCACTAATCTATTGACCACATTTTACTATCTATTGACCACATTTTACTTACCCAGCATTGTTGATAACCACGTCTAATAGAGTGCAAATTTGTATGATATTGGAAATTAAAAATTATAAATCAGTAAAAAGTCAATCTCAGGAAAGATGATCCAGTGTTATTCCGAATATGTCTTTCATTAAAGCATTATCTTTCCATCGACCAAAACTATCAATCGTATTGATTTTCTTATTTATATTGTTTTGGGTACTTACCAACTCTTCCAAAGTTTTTGATAGCTGTATCAATTATCTTCTCTCCTTCCGTTACAGAGTCTATAAAGTTTAATAATGAAAGCTCTCATTTCCTGGAATAATAATTACTACATCTACGGATAAACATATAGACTCCAGAGGGATACTACTTGCATAAGCTTGAAATTTTGACTAGGAGAGAACTGACAGCAGATATGAAATATATTGATCTACATATGGGCATTATTGCGGATTATTTTGTTATAAAATATCATAATGAGGAATTGATATTCGGTAGAAGCTGTAATTGTGCCTTAATCCACAGTTTGATGATAACAGAAATAAACTAGAGCTGCATACCATAATTAGCTACGGCAGTTCCGCCAGCTCGTCGTATCTCATTCACCACGTCATCTGCATAGGATGCACTCTTACCACTTCCTTTCATATCACCGCCAAGGTCATTTACTAGCAGACATAATAGAAACATGGAAAAATGCGTAGCGATTACTGTATAGTATATCGCTTATTATTCGGTAAATAAAATTTGAAATTATAGCTTATAAATCCCTGTAAGGTATAACTAAATCTGCGAGTAATTTACTAACATTTTATTTAATTAAAATCAAGTTAATTTAAATTGATTTTAGACTATTAAATATAAGCGTATATCATGTATTCTAAACAATATTATGTCTTTGGTTAACGAATAAACAACCCTGACACTATATTTGATGATGTAAAACTGATGAACGATAAAATGCTGCAAATAAGGTGTTACAGAATATTACATCAGGCCTACCTACGACAGATGCTCCTCTAGAAGCAAATTGTAAGGCATATTCACGACCGAGGCCTGTAAAATTTGCAAAATTAACATTGCAGAGTTAAATTACTGAGTTTTTGGCTTGAATTATGAAATTACTGACTATAACAGTACGAGTTTCTAGGATATTGTTCTACAGTATATGCTATACGCTAAGACTTACAGCAAGAAAGCACTCATATTTTAGACTGTAATATTGATGTTAAACTACCACGCTATCATACCTGTATACTAATTTTACAGCAAGAAGCGACGATTTAAGAATAATACTTGGCATAATAACTATCTATGACTATACCGTGAAATTAATTAATAGACGGTGTATACGTCATAAACGTAGTAGTTTTGTATTCTAGTAATAACATGATAGTAATTACTGTTATCATTTGCTACGTACAGTATTCATTAATTACTAATCGAAGCATCCGTTGCTTCTACTATTCTACGAGTCTACTGTATCCATGTAGAACATCTAAGATATATCCATTGCTTCTACTATATGAGCATACACGTATCGATGCATAACATGTGAGATTACAGTAGAAAAGTCACTCCATGTTCATACACGTATGCACATTATTTATTGCACAGTACGCGTACAGAACTGCATTAGCATTTTGATATGTTCGACTTTTTCTACATCTTTAAGCCATTATTAAGTTTAATCATGGAGAGGATCAAGAGTGATGGTTATGGCAAAGCTTGGTATAACATCGAACTGATATTTTTCTCTTTAGCTCCATTACGATAGGAAATTGACACTCATTTTTACATAGCGGTATTGCAATAAAATAACTTGTGTGCTGTACCTCTACCGGCTCCAGTAACGACAACAACTCTTCCATCATATCTCAGTTCCATGTCTTGATTGTATGCTATAACAAAACTAAAGATGTTTTACAAAATAATTCACCACATTAGCACATTACCTTAATTAAGTAATTGAATTAAACCGACTCGACTAATATCATTATTATGTAATAACCAGTTAGATTGAAAATTTGTAGAATACTCAGGCGAGATTATGGATTTATCTTTCGTAGCTGGCGTTATCCAACACACTGACGCTGAGTTCGTAGGATATCGACAGTGATCTCTACTGTAAAAGTAAACGTAAGGTACAGTACGTACAGTGTACATTGACTACGCCAGCCATGCAGTATTTACTCTACTGAACAGTATTATTTTTATTTTCTTTTTCAATCTCTAAAAAACCACCATACTGAACCATATTTACAGTAGAGTACAGTACAGTACATACTGTACATTACAGGGCGTCCGGACACATTTTATTTGGCTTTGTATGAAAAATGTGTCCAGATTTTTTTACACTCTTTTTTCCTCGTACTAAAGCTGTTAATCTAGTTTTTTGCTGATACCATTATCTAAATTCTAGAGTGTACAATACAGTATCTGCTCTGACCTATGACCTATGGCTGCAGCACAGCTACAGGGTGCTTGTGAGGTTGTAGAATGGATTCAGTAGTCTCTGATTCAGCCTGCAAAAACACCAGCTGTGACTTGTCCGATGTCTAAGTACAGTGCAAGAAAATTTGAAATTATCCTCTGCTATACGAGTCAATTAATTACTATAAATTTCATGCAAGTCGTAAATACAGCATAAGTTGAAGTACTGTACTGTATACCTAGTATCTAGACTTAATTTTAGATACCGAAGTGATTGTACACTACTGTACTGTACTTCAACAACATCATCGTATATAATTTACGTACGTGCAATATTCACGCATTGTTAAAATTTGGGCTACAATAATTAGTTTATTTATTTAACCTCTATTAACTAACTTACATAATTATAATCTGACCCTCATTATTATTAAACACGTTAGATGCTTAATAGTTAATAGTTCAGGTTTGTATATATGTTATATACGTTATATTAATTCTTGAAAGTTGTTACAATAAGTTAGCCTGTAACAGTATAGCATATATGTACAATGTTTTTACCGTCATGATGTAATACTCACAGCTAATGGCGTTATAACGTCTAAGTTAGTTAAGACTTTTACTGTTACTTTAGAACATAGTATACTACAGCACTTTTTTACAAAAGTGTATTTAAATTAACAGTATGATTAAAATACTTTGTTAACATCCAAAATAATAGGTAATATATATTATGGTATATTAGAAAACTAATTTAAAATAAAAATTATTGCGACATTAGTTGAATGAAATAATGCCATTATGTTAAATAAAAGTTAACAATTCATATAACTTCATTTATAAATGTAATAGATGTTTACAAGTAGATACCAGATATGATCCTATATACATAAAAATATATTTATATCGGCAGATCGATCCTTTGATATTAAAAACTCGTGAACTTGGAGGTCCGCTAATTGATAATCATTAATGATAATAACTATAAAAGTCGATAGAACCGCCCATGACATTGATTCAATCGATATTTGAAGCGTTTAAATCTACAACAAGCAAAGCATCGCAATACATAAACAATCATCACTAGTGCACAAAATAGAGCGCAAATAACGAGGAGAATATCTCGACGTTCGGTTTTTCGGGGATGGACATAATTGTTACTGTTACTATTTTTATCTTCGCTAATTCCTTGAACCTTTCTTGGTTTATCCTAAGAAGTAAGCACGAAAAGAATTTAAAAATCTTGTGAAAATAAACTCAGTAAGTGATCTTTCCTTACATTTCGTGCAGAGCCAGGGATTACTGGTGGTTTCGGCTCTTTTCTATTATTATGCATTGAGATATAGCAGATCAAAGTAAAAAACAATCAGATCTTTATGCTTAATAATCATAGTATGTAAAAGACATAAATGTAGAATGTTTACAAATTTACATTTCAATCCCAATATCCAATGGCACGGTATGGGCAGGAATAAAATAATTACACTTTGGCATTTCTCTGAAGCGACTAACATCATCCCTAATATCGACAACTTTAGAATATTTATGAAATCCTGAATCTATTTAGGAAAAGTAAGTGAAATGATTTTCTATTGTTAGTAACTACAACTCTGAATACTTATCGCTGCAGAATTAAGACTTTTATTATAGAATTCCTTTTACTCACTAGTGTATTCTTCTACAACAGCAAAAATTTAATATGAGGCCAATACGTAATTAAGTGGCCCGTCATTTTAAACTTAGAATGTTACGAGTATAGTGGTGTATCTTACTTTTCTATTATGTTGCTTATGATGTCTATCGAATATAATTGTTTAGCCACAGATTATTTATACCATAGCAGTTAAAACTTATAGCTGTAAGATTGACAATTACTCATATTTATACTTCTTATAGTCTATCGTCTTAACAGCTTTATCTTTCAGATTCATAATATAAAAGAAGGTTTAATTGTATCAATATTTAGAATTTTTAATCTTACTAGCAGATCGCTTCGGATTGCCACTGAATAAATTATTTATCGAAGACCACTTTGTCATCGGAAAATCTCTAAGTTCAAAAGGATTCGTTGCAGATTTTATTAAGGCCAATAAGAACCAAAAGCAATCTAAGATGAAGAATATATAATGTTATTCGGACTTTTGTTATAAATACTGTATGATTTAAATTACATAGCATCTTTGTACTATTGTGACAAATGTAATTCAATCTATTCAAACAGTTTATCAAGTTAGACACCTTGTTGCATATGACTACCATCAATACAGTTAGAATCTCCGTAAAGTGCTATTCGTCCACCACCTATAATTTAAAGTAAATGAGGTACTTAGGTTATACTCAATAAACAAAATTTACAGTACATAGTTTTACTCAAGGTATTATAAGAGCTATCTCTGCATTACAGAATAATTAAATAATTTTTCAAAACATCAATTTCAAACCTTTCGGTATATTGTATATTCCCAATATAGGAATATTACTTTCATAGGCCTTCTTGCCAGTTGTAATAACGGAGCCTACAATCAAGAATATTTAGATCTGTTTTACAGTATCAATAAATTCATTGAAAAATTGCTGCCATACCTTGATTTAGTAGTGAGGCAGAAAGAATTAATCCATCTCGCGGAAATTTACTAATACTACTCCCCGAGTTAAAAGATACTAACAATTACAGTTTAAATAACAAAAACAGAGAAAATGTTAACACATCTTTCAAACAGTATATGAGCCTATTAGTAGTTGATCAATATTTCTTACTTTTCTTATTTCTAACAAATAGGGAACCATCGTAAACTCTATCGCTAAAAATAAAAAAATTCAGTATTCAAAGCGTTTAATGTGTTACTGAGTAGGATTGATTCTATTAAAGACAACTCATTGATAGAAGATGGTATAACTGAAAGTCTCACAAATTTTAAATAAATTCAAATAGAACCTTAACGCAATATTCCATTTGGACAATAGAAAATTTAGAGCAGGAACGTTAGCTCCGCCAGTGTTTGGAGTCCACCATTGCCTAAAAGGAATGATACCAATCCTGAAATATTACTAGTCTTGGGGCAAAAAAAATTGACGTTACCATACTTTGTATTTTCGTCAAAAAATTTTATCTTTTTCATCACGTCGGTATTGTACCTGCACATTAAAAATCAAAGCGATGTGATAAGCTGACTATACAATAAGAATACAATAAAATTTCATCATCGTACCAGTCAGCAAATATGATTACAGACAATCCAAGTTTCTCAACATCTCGTCTTAGCTTTTCAACCTCTTGAGGAAAAAATTCTTCTTCACTATCAACGATTAATAATGTCCCTACAGTGCATCATGAATAAGATTCTAGTTTAATGCATACCCCTGTGATCTATCTACAGTATTTAAGAACAGTATTTTTCACAATTATTTCATACCGTAGTTTGACGCGTTGAAACAAGTGAATGGTGATCCTAAAAATTAAGACCGTAAACACATTTGTACGATTTCGCAAAGGTAGACAATGCTTACAAAGTTTGAGTTACATAATGCGATACATTATTACAAATACTATACTTATGGAGTACCTAAGACTTCTACATAGTAATTGTTTCGTCTTAAATACATGTACATATCCTTAAAATTGGTGTGAATATGATCTCCGTTCCTGTAACGAATTTCGCGTATTTCATTAGCATAATATTAGTGAATGATAATCATATACTATTATCTATTATATTAACCAATCAAGGGGATCATTTTTCATTTTCAAATTGTCCCTTGGAAAATATCCAGGTGGATATCTAAGATTATGATACTGATCCCATAAAATTCTCCGCCTTCAATATTTGAAACATATAAATTCGATAAGATAAGCTGGATATATTGATCATCTAACTACTGTTGCAAATACAAAGAGATTTTTAGGGTCTTTATACTATCGACTGATTTGATTATTACCGTCTATCTGGAGTCGGAATGATTTTTACTTTTACAGGAATTTTGATTACTGATGTAATTTCCTTCATTGCGGCATCCTAAAAGGCAGTTGATACCAATTAAAACTGGTAAAATACTCAGTGCAGAAAATAAAAATCTATTTCGCATTTACCATTGATTTTACGGTGATGTTTATGTGCCCTGCTACAGTACCGTTCCAACGAGCAGCTTTTTCTGATACGCTGAATGCAATAGCAACATATCCTGCCCAAGGCCATACACTTTGAGTGTATGAAAATGATACCTTCATGATATCATCAAGTTGACATGAAGTAAACGTTAATGAGAAGTTATATCAAAGCTTACACAGCAAAGGTATAATCATACGTGATTAAGACAAATGTGTACTATTTGAGTACCTTTAAAAAGTTGCCATGATTTAATAGATATGGATGCCATATTGGCTAAAAGTTTAAAAGTTATATTATAACATCACCGTTAATGGGATACACTTTTCAATATAGAAAGTTTACATTTCAACAAAATCTCTCTTTTATCGTTCCTTTGGTTTGAATAAATTGCATTACCATATACAGTACTGCGTGAATTTACATACCTCATCAACAATTTCTCCAGAAACACTCATCCCATTTAGTACAGTTAGCTATATTTTATATCTTGGTTAGCACGATTGGTAAGCAAGTAATATCTAGAAATTTACATAATATTATATCCGATAACATACATTCACAATAACTGGGATGCCTGAGTAGTATAGCTCCTGAGAACAATATGGCCACATATATGGACAATCGGTAAAGTCAATTCGATCTGGACTAGCACTAGGTCATCATTCAATCATAAGGGTAACAGTTAGTCAGAGTAAAGAATTGGTTGTAGGTATTTTCCTACCTTGCGTGTGGCGTATATGATCTTAAAAATTCGTAAGCTCTAACCAAATCCATCTTTCCATGACCTAAGGGGAATATATCCAATACAATAACACTCAGATGATAAACTCTTATTAATACGATAAACCATACGATCGCTCAATACCTTGTTCAAATATATTTACATTCGGCAACTTAATAGCCGAATGAAGTAAAGCTTGTTTAATACTTGCTGGGTTTACAATATCGAAATGGGCGACAGAGCTTATTTAAAAGAAATTAGTCCAATTATTCATTAAATAATTGACATTCATAAAGATTAACATTTTACGAAGTAAGAAGCCTTGCAATATTATATACTTCTAGCTATATACACATGATACCTAGCTAGCAAGGTTATAGCTCCAGCCACAACTGGTGAAGCAACACTTGTTCCGGATAATACTCTGCACCTTCCACTATAAATATATGACAATGATGCTCTGTATGACTAATTTCATTTACCATATTAATATGAGCATTATCAGCCTTTCTTTAAGGCTACTGATTCATAAAAATCTACTTTAAGCTTGATCCTTGAACATTCGATCCATAAGCTACTATATCAGGTTTAACTCGGCCATAGCCGCTTGGTAACTCCTAGGTTGTATTTCATAAGGACAAGATAAAGATTACTTTTATATTTATATTAACGGTAGCAGATTGACGTAAACAAATGTTAGGCAAATTAGTATTAATCTTTTGTAATAAAGATAAAGATATTTCTGACATAGACGTACCCAAGTTGTCATTCCACGGGATGAGAATTTAGCTATATTGTTTTGAAAGTCTATTCCACCAACTCCTATAACATCCATTTGGTCTGCAGGGTTATTTAATGTTCTAATAAAGTGTAGTTTTAGAATTTGTGATAGATATTGATCATAATAATAAGAGATCAGAAATTAACAATGATTAAATCTCTGTCAAGGTAAATCTCTGTGAAAGTACCCATATAAAGGTCCATCATTTCCTATCGCTGATACCATAATAACGCCATTAGCCGTTAATTCCCAAACCTGTTATTATTTTAATTACAATTAACGTAGTATGATGAATGATGTTAAATATTAGCTATAGCTACTAAGCTTAATATTCTCATTTATTCGTACCTTATCAACAAAAGGCCTATCCATAAAATCTGGGCCTCCAATGCTAAGATTTAAAATTTTAATTCTCTTCTGTATAGCATGATTGAAAGCGTCTAAAAACCAAGACGTATACGATACCTAATATTGTAAGTCAATACAAATTTTATTGATTGCTTAATATCCAATCCTCTGATGGAGAGCAAATGAATAGAGTAAGTTATTGTTTACGATGCTAACTTGCTTGCTCGTAAACACTTTATAAATATGAAGGTCAGCATCTGGAGCGAATCCTAAACAATCTTTAGAACTCGCTATAACGCCTGCTACGAAGGTTCCATGACCAATATCTATCGAAAATGTTATTTTTATAGAGAGATATGTCAATTGATTATGAATTAATCTAAGTGCATATGCGCTGATTTCTGAAAAGGTGTATATTAGTTCTTACTGTCATCTAAGGTTTTTTCATTTGTCCAGTTACTGCGGTCTTTCACCTTACGAAAGTGAGGATGATCTTTAGCTAAGCCAGTATCAAAGACGGCAACGGCAATACCAGTTCCTGTAAATTTACATATTTTAAGGGTATAGATTCAGTTCATGTCGCAGCTAGAGTATAACGCACGTTACATATAGTAAGCTATATTTTTCTGATGCTTGGAAAATAATACTAGTATCTATTCGATATTTATCATTTACAAATTTTTACCTAATATATAGTTTAGCTAAAACGAACCTTTGTATCCCTTATTCCAGATTGCTTTGGCGTTCATGACCGACGTTATCTATTCACATAAATAAAGTGATATCTAAAACATTCATTTATTTACGAAAATTTGTAACGTTACAATTTGGTAAGGAACAATAAATTTAGTTGTTATCAGCATGAATTAGTCTGCTTTTAAAATTAGGTCATAACGATAACGGTAGGCTATCTTACCTGATCAATTACTGATTTTAATAGTCTTCCAGTGCTTTTAGAATTTTGCGTATCATTAATTTCATCGACATCAAGATTTGACTATTAAGAATATTATCAAAATAAGTTAATAAAAATTTTATTCCTAAATATTATATTGAGCAGCTGGAAAGGGAATAGAGACGCCATAATTGTACTTACATATGTGAATGTTTTAATTTTCCTGGAAAGTGTAAGAAGCATACATGTACAGTATAATTAGTTTTGACATTTATCTTGAAATTAAAAGATATTTACACATATGTGACCGCATCGTAGCTATCCCTAGGATGTTCTCTGTATAATTGTTGGTTTATGTTCTTATTGTATCGCAATACTTAAAAGTGTTATAATTTATTTATACTAGCGCGAAGTAAGTACCAAATAGGCAATATATACAGATTCTATGCAATAAATTCAATTTTTACTTAGAATAATCAAATCTAGTATCAGAATTATAGACGGTGCCATAAATTATTATATCATATAAATAGTATTGTATTTATAACTTTTAAAGAAAAACTAGACAAAGTCTAAAACTATCTCGATTTTTACGTACCTTGTATTCCAAGCAATATCTTTCTCGTAGTTGAAATCTTCAATACTATCTTCTAAGTTGATAACAATGCAGTAATATAAACATGCAGGTTGATAGTTAGTCTGTTATTTCACACTAATCATGACTATGATTAGCCTAGAATGTTATTATACATTACTAAACTGAATCTCGTTTCCTTTACCTGAGCGAAATTCATTTAAAGTTCGCTGAATTTTCCTTTGGGGAAAGACATACTTGACATATGAATGACTATTTAACGATGATAGTACTTTCGCTTGGTAGTCGATGTCGGTTATCTATTAAGATTACAATAACGATATATTAACTTGCTAAGTTAAATAGTCGTTCTCCACTCGTTATCAATACTAAAGCCTCAATCAGACTTAATTTTAGCCATAAGCAAAGATAGCTAAATATACCTGGCAAATGGACCGTTTTACAGAACTGAGAATTTATTGCATATAGTGCGCAAAGTGTGAAAATTACTGTCACTCTAAGAAATTATTTTATTCGGAGAATTACAATAGGTAAGCGAGTTTATACACCATCTAGGGGAGTTTGAAATGGATGAAATACTATTGCAATACTAAAGGATTTAATAATATTTGAGCACTATAGTATATTATGACTGAATAATATTATAATAAATCAACAAATGAGTAAATTGTTAGTAACTTAATACCTTGAGTAATGAAAAATCGCTCAATAAAGCAGCTGCAGGATTACGTCTAACCACAGTGTGCCAGACTAATGATGGAATAGCTTCAAGGGAGGATTGAAGAACATTACTTCTAGCTCTTTCCGTTAAGTACCGATTGAATTGAACTATATATTCTGAAAAAGGTTATAAGATTAATAATTACATTATTTATGGGTACACGTATAATGACTTCGGTAAAGCTATAAAGATTAATTATGACTTTACAGTATACAGGTGAGATTGCATAAGAGAAAAATGTGTAACAGGAAAATATTACATTTTCTATCTTTTAAAATGTACACTTTTACATTGAGGTGAACTATTTATGATCATGTTGATGACAATACAGCTTGTCATTAACTTTTACGTCTAACGTTTGTGCTATTCGTAATATAAAGATCAGCTCTGCAGTCTATGGCAGAATGCTTGTCAATATTGTGCTAATTGCGAACCTGTAAATTGTACAAGGTACTACAGAAGAAAATTATTATCTTATCGAACTAATTGGACGTGATTGTAAGGTGCTTTTTCCTCTGAGCTACTAACAATATTAATTATACTCGCTCTAATAGCGAAATAAAGGTGACTGGAGAAGAGAAGTATAATTTACACTAAGATGTTATTAGTATCAACTACGATTTGCTAGCAATACGTATATTTCGAAGTTGCTTCGGTAAGATTAGGTATCGATAAGTAGATGTACTTGTACAGTATTTACGTAATTACATGGACTAATCGTATATCTTTTGGCAAAACTGGAGCAAAGAAGTAATCCGTAAACGTATAGGTAATTTCGTAAGATGATGTCCTTACCTCCATCAATAATCCAAGTCTTTAACTCACTATAGGCGGACTCACTTGATTTACTTCTACAATTAGCTCTTGAATAATTACCATTTGCGTTCAGCATGCTACAAATCCCTGGTATAAAGTTGACTAATACGAGCAGAAGGAGCATGTAACGCACCCAAGGAAAAGGGCTAATTTTTCTTATCATGCTTGAATCCTTGAATCTTGACCTCAGATTTGTACTATGAAATTGAAGATATTCTTTAAGTCTTGTTTCATACTCGTATACAAGAACTACATTAGAATTAATTGCTTACATTGCGCTATGCAATATTTTACTAAGTTGATGAATTTTTAATTTAATTTGTAACACTAGTAGATGAAAAGACAACAATGTAAGACACTTATCACATAAGTGCTATTAATTCTTCACATAGCTATTACATTGTAGCATGTCAAGTTATTTAGTATTTCGACGAGATATCTTAATTTATTTATACTGTACAGAATGGTAAGATGATTAGATAGAATGAAGCTTAGATGATTGTTGAATAAGAAATTCTGTGACGTTAACATGTGTAAATTGAGAAATGGTTATGAAGCTATTAAAATATTACTGATACTAAATTTTGTAGCAACAAAGATTATAGGCATAATACTGATTAAAAAGATTTCAACTCATCATCATTTTCTTTCCTTTCAAGTTAAGACGAGAATGCTGTTACTACTCCATTTATAATACGTATACTCTACTGTCATGGACTACTACAAATCTTACCAAAATCTTCTTATAGGGTATGATAGTGTTATACTATATACGTACGAGTACTTGTAAGATAATGTTTAACACTTCATTAATCAATATAATCAACAATTTTGTAATTCTGTAATTAAAGGAATTTTGCGGATGTATGTTAGCATTCCTCCATACAGTTATGGGTGCTTTAAATTATAGAATTAACTTTTTAGTACTTTTATATGCAGGATTTATTTTTATAACATTGTAATACCACAACCTATAGGTATTTTCAAAGCGCTAAAGTCGTACAACTGTCAGCTGTATGAATGAAAATATTCGCGTTTCAGGTTACTTACTGTAGAATGCAGCAGGATACCAATCTTTTTAATGCATGTTACGAGAATAATGCATCATTGATAGCAATAGAGTGAATTCCTTTTAGAAGTTGGGCTGCCACAACTTTAATATTCTACGCATACAGTCGAGGCTTTAATATATGCAATGGCTACCTGGATGGATTTGAGAATAAATGATGACAACATTTGGTGTTGATTCTCTCAACACATAGATGACATTTACTGTAGTACGCATGTGCAGACTGAACAACGACCATGCCACCATCCACCTGGTGCACAGTAAGGTACTGTACCGTACTTTCATGGACTACTGTACTGTACAGTATACTGTATCATACTGTATTGCAGTAAGGTAACTCTATTACAAGTTACTATTTTACGCTACAGCTCACTGACATACTACTACAGTGAGCTTGGACGACATCTGCACGGCGAAGCGCGGCGGGCAAGCTAGTGTTCATAAAAATTATTATTATTTATTTTGCCTGTTGTGTTGCAGACACGTATCTAAAACTGAGAGCCCACATGCAAAAGAGTATGGAAATTTTAGAGGTGAAAGAACGAGATCAGATTAAGACGTGCTTTAATGCTTTTAAAGAACTTCGCCCACATTTAAAAGATTCTACGTCTTTCGTAGATCAGGTCATCGAACAGCAAAAGCAGGGTTATACAATTGCTGCTATATTTGATAATAGCGAATCTTCATCAGCTGCAGCTTGTATAGGGTATCGTGAGATAACTACCTTAGCCTGGGGAAGATGTATTTACATTGATGATTTTACTACGCATTCCGTGCATCGAAGGAAAGGGTATGGGAATGCTCTGCTCAAGTACGTCATCGACATTGCGAAACGAAATGGATATGACATGATTCACCTGGATACTGGATATGGTAGACATGATGCACATCGCGTTTACCTCCGTAATGATTTTCAGTTCAAAAGTCATCATCTCAGTCTAACTTGTGAATAAATTAGATTAATAAACTTGTACAATATTTATAATGTATGCGTTATGTTTTATTATTTGTATCTTCTCTCTACAGTATATCAATTATTTTTTACATGCAAACAAAGGTTATAGCGATAATATGGAATAGGACCAGGGAACTTCATTTGTACTTTTTAGTGTCCTCTCATATGAACTACTGTACTGTATGTATCAAGAAATGATCTTGTTTGCAAAAGACAGTTGATATCATAGAGTGCATTAGGTACACTGTACAGTGTACAGTACAGTACTGTACTGTACGGTACTGTAAGTTATACTGTATGTTCGTATGCAATACAGTATACAGTACTGTACTCGTAATAGTGGCCCATTGAGTGAGTAGGTTAGTCCGTTTGTTATATCATATTATTACTGCTGTACTGTACATCTCTCTCTGTGATGGCTCCATCTTGCTACAAAATAAAGTCATTTAAACATTTACTGTAGGTATTACTCATTTAGATATTTTTGTGTTATGATGTAATGACAGTACTGTACAGTACTTGGTACCATGGGTAGGGGTAGGGCTGTACAGTGTACAGTACTGTATGGGCCGGGCGTACAGTACTGTACAGTACTGTACTAAAGTGAGTACTGTAATGTACTGTGCTGTACAGTGTACAGTACATTCTTAAGTAAGTATTGTACTGTACAGTGCTCTACTGCGTTGGAGACTTGTAGCTGGTTTTAGTCTATACAGTATCAGTATATACGTACGTATGTTTAAGACACTATAGTGTTTTGTGATGGCGCTGCGCTGTGTAGTCTGCAGCGCATGAAGAGAGGATTGAGCAAACGATAACTTCATAAGCATTCACGTTTTTTAGTCTCCTGGATGTACTGATTTACTGTTTTGATAATTGTCATTTCTCAATTGCTTGCTGTAGAGTATATACAGTATCTTCATCACACTTATCGCTGTAATCGTATAACGTTAGTGTCTTACAGTAAATAAGTAGTTCAGTATTACTGCCGACGTGATAGCAGTAGAGTATTGACTTGGCTTGGCTGAGAATTTAACATACTGTACAGTACTGTAACGTAGTGTACTGTACAAGTGTACGTTGCTCGCTACGGTACATCCTCAGGTGATAAAGTGAAACGGGCAAGGGCAGTTTGCGAACGCCGTTCAGGTCCAATTCAAAATGTCAGGAAGCGCCTTACAGGTCAGTACTAAGTTGTAATGGCAATTTTTTAGTAAATACCTTTCCTATCGTCTACTACAACTGAATGCCATACAGCATACATATGACAGTTGTAACTGTGATATTCGTAAACTGGTAAATCTGATTAATAATACAATGATGTCCTGAACGCACAACCGTATTAAAGTATCAGTCTTGGTATGAATAGAAATTTTGTCATTTCGCTCTACTGAAGATCGACGTGATTGAACTAGAGATAGATTTCGAAGTAATCGTAAAGGTCGATGCTGTAATTACTTATGATTATTAGTGGCAACAAACTTCTGCTTACTAGTACTGTATCTGTACACGCCTTTAATCGTGTTTTAGCATGCTTTTATTCGCTGTATACTATCGATTGCCAGTTTTTGTTAGTCCGATACAAGAACCAAATCTTGTGTATGTAGGGTTTGTCCGGCTTTAGATACTCTCAGTGAAGACATTTTCATTATTGTACTAGGGTGAAATTGTAGTACTTTAAAGGGAAGGTACTCATAATTGCAAAAATCGTGTAGTACTCAGTATTAGCATCAGGTTGTTAACGATGTTTTTAGGGTCTACTTTAAAAAATCCAACATTTCAAAGACGAATTGTGTCAACCTGCTGTACTGTATTGTACCAGCGTACTGTAAATACACTGCAGATGTGTGTAAGTACGTACTACTATACAGCACCATGGTAGCCTTGCCGTAGTTATCATTAAGTCTCGATAGTAACTTCAATACCAATCTGTGACAGTAACGTTCACTATGCGGTAGTCTAGTACTGAATCGGGTATAACCTTCTCGCAGAAGGTACAGTACAGTAATGTACCAGATAGATCAATCATCAACGATTTCAATTCTAGACATTTTGATTACTATCGCAATGCTTAAACTTACTGTAATGAAACATCCGTTAAAGTTAAATTAAATTTACTTTTACTAAGCTTTAGTTTGATGCTTCACGATTATAATCATACCTAGGTTGCTACTAGTGTGTCTTATATATCTCTGATGTAGCCGTAGGGAAAGTTTTTCAATTGAAGCGTGACTCCATACTCTTTATCATAAATATTAATCAATGTACACCACTGTATTGCTCTTTGAATCATCGATTTTGCATGTTGTATTCAACTTGTAATTTTAGTGATGTACATTGTACACTGATCAAGATTTCTTGTATCAATTGATACGCAATTTATGTAGTATTGCCAACATTTTCACAATGCGATATTAGATGTGGTATTGTAGATCCATTTCTTACTAAGAAATACTATAGTGTGCGGCAATATCTTCTCATTTCATTACTCATTTCATTAATACGAATTGATAATTATACTGTACACATAAAATCATAAAATTAAAGAATGGTAACCCCTACCTTTAGTCTACGGCAATATACAGAATTGATATAGTGCATTTAGTTTGTCTATTGAACTATAACAACTGTTGTGTGCGATATGCTGTAAAAGCAATTGACAATTCCCTACATACAATCTATACTATACTTCATTCATTAACGCATTATAGTTAGAGTTTACCTGTGAGGAAAGGATACATAGCCATAGGCAAAAATGGACTATCGCTAAGAGAAGGAAGCATGTCAAGTCCTTCACTTTTCGCGTACGAAAGAAAATTTGTTACTCATTTTTGCGCTGTATTCTGGCTATAGCGTTATAACTTTTACGATACTGTATCAGCTCGCTGCCCAAGACGTTATCATGCAATATAGACTGATGACATGTTACTACTGTCTGTAATGGTAGTAAATTGAATTTTGGATGATGTGTTGTCCTGTACGTATATAACACGTAAAATTAATAGCGACGTTATTATCTTTCCTGGCAATGTCGATTGCGGCACTCCTTTATCTCCGTGACGCAAAAGTTGAAGTTTCTTGTTTTAGTGTGATTTGTTTCGGAATGTTCATAGCCTACGTTACTAAGATGTTAATACAATTAAAACAGAAAGCTATTGATCTGGTATCGCGAGCCTGTGAGGAAGACAACAAGAAAAACTATACTGAAGCCTTGAGACTTTACGAACATGCGATAGATTACTTCTTACATGCAATTAAATGTGAGTATCACTACTTTAAAATCGTTGTGCAATCTGTAATATCATATGTGCATGTTTGCACCATAAATAATTATTTCATACTATATTATGCACCCCTTAGAGAAGATACGATTGTTTTGAAAACTTAGGTAGTAGCTGGTAAAATAACGTTTTCAGTCATATTTCGTGAAATAGTGGATAAAATTTTACGATATACGTCACTATTTGTAAAAGTAATTTACTGAAATAGCGCTAACGCAAACGCCAAATTATACTTAGCTCAAAAGATGCAGCAGTTCAGTTAAATTGAATTTACTTACGAATCATTAATTCAGGGTTGTGATGCACGCACACTTGTATAAACATGTTATAGTATACTGTACGAGAATTTTATGAACCTATTAACTACAACTTCATGGGTGATATGCTCTCATTATGAGCCGACAATGCGCTGATTAATATATGAGTAATATGCATTAAAGACCTTGATATCCTATACTCTAAGGTTTTTTTGATAGATTCTACAGATGTATTTTCATACAGTACACTATTGATATTGCGTATAAATTCCGTCGATCACGAAAATTGAGTATTCAATTGCGTTATCGATATTGTTAAAACATGTAGATGAAACTCAAGGTGAGAAGTCCAAAGAGAGTATTAGAGCTAAATGTGTTCAGTACTTAGAAAGAGCGGAAAAGCTGAAAACTTACCTAAGTGGTTCCAAAAAGAAAAAGCCTGTCGCTGACGGTAATTCTGGTAACAATTCCAATAACAAAAGGTATTTAATTTAATATCTATCTAGTACCAGTATTTATTCTTGCTGTATTTATCATGTTGGATAGTTTGTTGGTAAAACAGCATACTGTCCGATATGTTAATACGTGTAACCTATAAAGAGTGCACGTTAATGGGTTAATTTTATGTAAGTATCGTAATAGTTATGTAGTACTTTAAGGTTAATACTTTACCATTATGTACTACTGTACTGCAACTCGACTCGTTTTACTCAAAAGTTCGCTTAATTTGAATTAATCATGACTGTTTGGTAACTACAAAACTGTTTATACATACTTGAGATACTTGATTTCCAAACGTAGTATAGTGTATTATTGGCTTTAATTGAAGTACTTCCATTTACCTTTTCAAGTAATGGTAGTAATGGTAAAGATGATGAAGACAGTGACAATGAAGATCCTGATAAGAAAAAATTAGCAAACCAATTGTCCGGTATATATTTTTATTTTATTTTTACTTTCTATTTACTCATTATTAGTAACTGCACTGCATGGGGAATCATTAAATTGTATGCTCAATTTATTTCAGGGGCGATTGTTATGGAGAAGCCGAACGTGAAATGGAGCGACGTTGCCGGGTTAGAAGGTGCTAAAGAAGCACTTAAAGAGGCTGTTATTTTACCAATCAAATTTCCCCACTTATTTACTGGTATGTTTTACTATAGGTGGATAACCTAAATTCACTTATTCGGAGCGATTTTTAGGCATCATTAATAATGTGCTTATGCTCCTAATTACAGGCAAGAGAACGCCATGGAAAGGAATACTATTGTATGGCGTAAGTTTCACTATTTGAAAAAGTTTCAGCTTAGGTTAGTAATAAAAATTTTGCTTTTGGTCTTTATTATAGCCACCTGGTACTGGTAAATCCTATTTGGCCAAAGCGGTTGCAACGGAAGCCAATAATTCCGCATTTATTTCTGTATCATCCTCAGATTTGGTTTCAAAATGGCTTGGCGAAAGTGAAAGGTATTGTTAGCCAATCTCACTGTCGGTGATACATCATTGATACCTGTCATTTTTAAATACGGCGAAATCTACATTCTCGTATAGGCTCGTAAAGCAGTTATTTCAGATGGCAAGAGACAATAAACCAGCTATCATCTTCATAGATGAAATAGATTCTTTGTGTAGTTCTCGAAGCGAGAATGAAAGCGAATCTGCTAGGAGAATAAAAACAGAATTTTTAGTTCAAATGCAAGGTAACTAAAGTTTTAGACGATAGATTGTAATGGATTTATTATAATTTTTTTACTTTTATACACATTAGGTGTCGGCAACGATAATGACGGAATACTAGTACTTGGCGCAACAAATATTCCGTGGGTACTTGATCCTGCAATAAGAAGACGGTGAGCATTGTTGATAATATTCTTATAATGAAGGTGTTTTTAAATATGATATACGAATCTACGAAAAATAGGTTTGAAAAACGTATTTACATTCCTCTTCCGGAGTTTCCTGCTCGAATTAAGATGTTTGAATTACACATTGGCAATACCGTAAACACCTTAACTCAGGAAGATTTCAAGGAGTTAGGCAGACATTCGGATGGGTAAATTAAAAAGTAATCATGGTATTAAAATGTATGTATTTTATAGTGAGACTATTTCCTTCTCAGTTACTCTGGCGCAGATATTGGTATTGTTGTCCGTGATGCGCTTATGCAACCCGTACGGAAAGTTCAGATGGCAACGCATTTTCGAAGGGTAAATTCTTGAACTAGCTAGATTATAACATACGTCCAGATTCTGCTTATATCCTTTTTTGCTACTGTTACCTACAATTTTGGACTTTAGGTGAGAGGACCTACTAGAGACGATCCATCTGTAATTATAGATGATTTACTGGAGCCTTGTTCTCCTGGTAATCACTTCATTCTTTCAATTTTTGCTATCGATTTATTTGAGATATTTAGTAACTAATGTGTCGCTTAGGAACACTGGGAGCCATTGAAATGAATTGGATGGATGTTCCTGGTGATAAACTATTGGAACCTAAAGTATCAATGGTAATTGCACCCCTTTCTCAGTCTTTAAAACTGTACTGCTCTAATCTTTCAAATACGCGTTGTTGTACAGGGAGATATGGTACGGTCAATTGGTTCAACAAGACCAACTGTAAATGATGAAGATTTAGATAAACTCAAAAAGTTTACGGAAGATTTTGGACAGGAAGGTTAACGATACTGACTCTTCAATCGTTAAGACTTTGAAATGAAGCCTAATCATGATATAAAAATTAGCATTAGCGGATGGCATACGAAGGTCCGCTTATTTAGTACACATTATAAATTCATGAACAAAAACGTATCCGTGATTGATCTTTCACACTCTCTTTTGATTGATAGCTTTGCCATAAGATTACGTTGCATTGGAATGTTAACTTTACGTACGCGTATTTTATCGTTTAACATGTTAAATGGTTACGATTGAAATTTTGTAATCATGTTGTATCATACATACATCGTAGGATTAGAAAAATAGATTTCATTCTATCTGTAAGTTATGCTTTAACCGCTTTTACCTTAAAGATAGCTTTATAATCGTGATAATCTGTACACTGTGCTTGAGTACTTTTCTTACTTCTTGCAATTTCGTAAACTAACATTTATTCCAGAATACTTATTGGATTGGTTAAACAAGGCGGCTAAGCTCTATATACATACAAATATACGTACACTATACAAGAATAGCTACTAGCTACGCATAAATACTCGGTAAAGTGCAATCACCGATTCTTATAGCGGCCTAATTTGACAGTTGCTGATAAATGTAGATTACCATATATATTTTTAATGTCAAGAAAATAGTATTAACTATAAGTTATCCATAGTTAAGTAATCCACTACTAAGCTGTGATTGTGTTAAAGTATAAATAAAGGTTCGATTTGTAATATTTGGTGTGAAACGTTCTCTTAAGAACCTTTGAGAGGATATCGTCCGTAAAGTGCAATTTACAGTTGTAAGTTTACGTTTTGGTACGAGTTATTCTTACCTTACATTCTCATGGCTATATAGTCTATCCAAAATGAGTGACTGCGAAAAATTTGCGTCAATCAAGTTTTTAAACACAAACCATAACTAGATCGGATGTGCGCTGTTTTATTTAGATATTATTATTATGTACAGCATAAAATAGACAAATATTCATTATTAAAACTATAACTATTTAATTAAGTCAAAGCTAAATAAATAAATGCTATAACACACTAACAATATAATATTGCAGTATGCATGTTACGGTTTAGTTGCTGCCGCAGTCGTAAAATAACATTTGTTGCTAAAGAAACAATTTCGAACTACGACTACAAGTGCTACAGTTACTACCGAAATCTCTTAATGCCACAGCTCGAAATTGTAAAAATCTATCAGATTTTTCACCTAAATGAATTAAATCTAAATAGCACTTACTAAACGCTTAGTTTTTGAATAGATAAAAGCAGTTAGCGAATAAATTTGTAAAACATATATCGTTATACCCCTAACATAGTATTGCCTAAGAGTAATAATACGCGTATATTTTATGATTTATCATGTTTTGTTGATGATGTTATAAAGGCGTAACAAATAGTATATTCAATCATAGTTCTAAATTTCAGTCAGTGACTAGTGTTTTACGTTTTTTCTTCCGATTACAATATAATCAATTTCTAAAAGTCAGCACACATGCATTTTAATTTCATCTAGCTTTTCATTAATGACGATAAAGTCTTAGACTGACTATCACAGCATTACTGCCATCGATATGTAAATATCATCGCCTCTTATTCTGATATTAACCTATTTTTTAGAATATAGGAACATAGTTATCGATTTTTCCTCGATTTCGTTGAGCAATACATTCAGCAATCCAAACGACATTCCGGCTTTCTTGTTCTTTTAACTTCAGCCAACCGTAGAAAACCCCAAAATGAAATTGCTGCTGGAACGCTAGCACGTTCAATTTTACCTATGAATGATTAGAATAATGGTACTCCCATTACCCGGTTAATTTTCAGAGATATGGTAAAACTAAGATTATCACATACCTCATGCTCGAAGAATCTGTCTTCGAGTGTTTTTTCTGAAGGTCCGTTACCGACGTTGTCAAAGATGTTACGATATTCCTAATTAATCGTGAGAGTAATATATTAATTGTCCATAGAAATTACTACTTCAAACGAATAGAATTCGTAATTGTCTTACACCGTAGTATTGAGCAACATTTTGCACTTGATCATAGTCGTCTGCCTTAGCCAGCTTCACTAGACCGTCAGGGTACAACTGACCACAACGAGGATAAAGCTTTGCTCTATCATCCTTGCTCAATTCAGTGCCAAACGAGTTGATGGTTATAATGAAAGCACGCCTGTCTGCTTCAAACTAATTATATTTTCACAGATATGAAGATATTGGAATTAAGTGAGCTTATTAAATTAACGGCAATTCACGATTCGTTTTTATATTGTAGTATACTCGTATTTTCATTAAAATCAAATCGAACAATTTGTAATAAAGTATATTTACACGTAAAATTTGCCCCATAACTTCAGCCGTTGCACCCCCAATATTTTGACAGAAGTTGTAGAATGATTCCAGGTATGCCTTTTTATAGATTGCATACTAACGTCAATTTTTCAGTTTTCAACCATTTAAATATCAATTTTATAGTATTTTTGTACAATTTCTATTAACAGCTATCTATACTTAGTATCTTTCCGTAAGCTATAATATAATATGCAGTATACTGAAGTATTCTATGCTACTTTACTTTCCTAGCGCGCTGTACGGAATGTTAAAGTACGATATACAGTACCTTATATAACGTATTTCTGATTATTTCTATGTTCATTTCGTCCATGTCTTGTTCGGAGATACACTCGACAAAGAAAGGAGCTATGAATTAAGCGAGAATTATTTCCATTAAAACTAACTTAATGCTAGATTATTAACATAGAATTGATGGATATTTACATATCCTGGCGTGTATAGTAGATACGCTTATTATCGGACCCTACCTAACGGTGTGTCAACAAGGACAGCGTTATACAACTCAGCTGGTGTTGATGCGATACTAATTGAAGCCATTTGTTCGAAACTACCTAAAGGATGACATTTAGGCAATAGTTCCGAAATAGCACGTTGGTGAAGTGTACCAGTAATAAGTAAGATGATGTTATCAATCATGTAGCTGTAACTAGAAAAGTATTTAGGAATTTCAGTAACGTTTTACAGTCAGGTCAAAGGCATATGCCTTCACCATATGCTATCAAGATGTCCTGTAAAATAAGACTGAAAACGAATTCGCATATTTAAGCCTTACGTGATATAATCCAAAAATTGGGATAATGGTGCTAATGAATGATTCCTAAGGTGTTGAAATTCAATTACTAGTTTCTCTCGGAGTTTATCATCGATAGTTGCGACCTGTAAAGGTGATGGTTCATTCTGAAGGAAAGTACCATAATCCGTACTTTGAAGATGCAACTTTAGATCTACGGTTATTGAAACAAATTAATTCCAGTTAATCAAGGCCAATGCGCGTAGAACTTTATCGGATTTACATAGATTCCTATATCTATTTCTTAACTCAAAATTGATCTGTTTAAAGCAGTATTACAGCACAACTGACAAGAAAAGTTTCAAATTTACAAATGTCTAGCAGGCAAAGGATCGGCGTAAATATAAATTCACGCACTAATCTTCCACTATCGTACTAACTTGAAATCCATGTAGACTACAGTACGCTTCGGGAATGTCGTACTGTAACATTATGTCTTACCTTCAAGGGTTTCACATTGAACAAGATTCAAGTAGTCGCCTTGGGTCAAAATACCACTCCGAAAACCGCGACACAGACCCTCTAAATAACCGTGATCTACGTTGAATAAAAATTCTGAATCGGCCATAGCGAAATGGAAAAGTTTTTAACGATTAGTCCAGCTGATAAAAAGAGAGTGGTCCAAATTGTACACTAGTTATATGTACAGCAAGTACTAGTACTGAGCGTGTATCTGTAAACTGCTGCACCGTACTAGAAGAAAAAATATGATATCATTAACTTTTATGGATAGGATACTACCCGTATATCGGTACAGTACATGCAGACCGACAGAAATTTGTACCGTACGATACGGTATTGTACAGTACATGGCTGAGTACTCACGAGTCGTAGAGTTCTGTACTGTACTGTACTGTACAACAAACGTTTGAAGACCAGACTCACAAGAGGATCATGTGAGCAACGAGATACAGTACTGTACATTACACTGTAGATTACAGTGTACAGTACGCCCATACAGTATACAGTACTGTAAGTATGCAGACCGATGTGCAACACTGTACTGTACAGTACAGTAGTCTGTACTATACCGTATGTCCGATGCCAGATTACAGTACTGTACTGTACTGTATGCCTGACAGTCAAAACAGAGTTTGGGTAATTTCTTCGCGTGTGTACCGTGTACTGTAGTTATTCCTCTGCTTCTAGTGAACACCGAACTATTCTCCAAAACGATACATGTATATACTGTACAGTCTATAGTATAGTGTACACATTCCATCATGAATTAATTACTACATAACTAGTTCTATGGGATACGCCGCAAATTAATTCATTACTTTAAACTTTCAAAATTGATCGCAGGGACTACAGTTAGCTCCATTGTATAATTTATGTTCTACAGTACGAGCATATTGACAGTACAAGTACATGCAATAATAATAATATTAACAATTAATAATAATCCACGACGTATAAATTAACACATTTTAAAATTAAAATTAACTAGGATTTCATCTACAATGATGAACAGCTAGTTCTTGAATTGAATTACATCATTCATATGAATAAAAGTAACGATTATACTGTAGCAGTTACTAATAGTAAGAAGTAACACTCCCTACGAAATCGTCCATATATGTACACTAATACAGTAGCGATTTCAATGACAAAATAAGAACACATTCAATACACATCATCGTCTTACGACATTCTCGAAGACTTTATAACGATCACATTTACGTGGCTATCAACACAATAAGAAAGTAGTCAAGTTAATTCAAGTGGATACGTAGCTTTATTAAAAATAATTAAAAGAATTCAGTAAATCGGTTTCTATATCTTTCGAATAAACAGAATTGCGCTTGTCAGTAACATTACAGATGGTGCTAAAGTAATGTATAATTATAATCGATCCCTGCTTAACAAAAATTTCAAGTGGATAGAAGCGTCTGAGCTTAGATAAATATTGCTACGTTTAGTGTTCGTGATTATTTGGAAAACGCTTCAAGTTTCATTCAAGATATGTTTAATGTGACAGTAGTGCTGTGCATTCACTGGCAGCCTTAGCAAATCGCAAAATTTTAGCTTATTCTACTGAGTCATAAACACAAAAGTTTCAAAGCTTTGCTTCTACACTTTGGCGAGTTTACTGCATGGTGGCGTATACTAAATAAAGAACACAGTGGACAGTCATGATAGCACAGTAGATCAAATTAAATTAACTGCTGTATATAATTTTTTAATAGCTTCAATCAGTCGCGTTTGTTTTGACCCAAGTTTTTCTTTTTCATACATTGAGAAACGATTCTACCAAATTGAAATTGGTAAAAAAATGCAGATATCCTTAGGATGGGGAGTAATATAATCTGTAAAGAAAATATGCACCTTATATTAAAAGATAATTTGTTGTAGATGATCTGCTGTCAATAATTATCAGATAGGTAGCTAGCGGAAGATGAAATCAAGATTGCAAATATGAGGTCATTTATCTACGCATACTTGTATGATCCCGTCGATCACTGACGCCGCTGGAGCCATACCAGCTGTTATTATTGTCAAAACATTTCCTTCAAAGCCAACGGGGATAAAAAAATCTCCGTTCTGTGTACAAATGATAAATACACTTTACGATGTCATTTGATAAGAAACTAAAAATATCAATTGCCATAGTAAAGATACTACTGCAGTTCACATCGTAAAAATACTGCAATACCCTAATAATACATTTTGACCAGTGTAAACAGATTTATATGTTAACACGCTCTAACCGTAATTCCCTTTAGAATGTTATCAGCCACGAAATCTGATGTATATAATCCCGACGATTTGCTAATAATCACGGTTTCCTCCGGCTAAATAGACGATAGAGATTTTAGTGATCTTACAACCTCGCAAAGTAGGAAGGTAGACTTTAGTTTAACAACATATGAAGTACTCTATGGATTATATAACATGGAAAAGCCCACTGTGTGATTATTCTACCCAATTTTATGACTAATATATTAATGTAGCATTAACGAGAAGATAAATCGTATAATATTGAACATACTTATAATGCAATATCTAATTCTATTACTTATGAGTTATAATAGATGTAAACTGCCTTAATAATACAGCGCAGACGTACAACTCCTCTTTCGATTTCTTCTTTATATCCAGGAGTATCTGTATCTGGTGGAAAAGCTATTGAAACGTTAACCCCATAAGGCTTAACCTATATTAAGAAACAATATACGAAATTTTAAATATAGTCTATCGAAATATTGTTATCGTAGTATAATCCTTTAGCCTCTTACTTCCATCCGTAAACATTCTGCTAAGCCTCGGAGAGCAAATTTTGAGGCACTATAAGCCGTATAACCATAAAGGCCAATCTTATGTATACAACAGTAATAATTGATCAGATAGACCATTTTGTAATAGTTTGTTTTATCCAAATGGGCTTTCGATATAGCAAAAGTCTCGTATATTTGGATATATTTCCTGCCTGAGATTACGCACCTGACCCGCCTGAGAAGAGGTGAAAACAATAGTACCACTTCTCCGAGATTTCATACCGTCAATAACAGCTCTTGTTGCAAACACACTTCCATGATAGTTAAGCCTCATTAAGCGCTAGTTAAAAGTAAAATATTACACATGTTTATATTTATTATGTAAAATGTTAGAAGTAAAATCTGTAATTAAAAGAAGATCTTTTCAACTTAAACTTACTTCAAAGTCTTCTACGGCAGTATTTTCAAATGCAGATGCAACTGATGTACCTGCACAATTAATTAGAGCATCAACTGGTCCTAGTTCTGAGCAAGCCTAGATGAACAGCAATATTCAGCTCAGTAATATTATGCATATTTGATATTATTAAATTGTACTTCTAGTAGATAGACCTATTTCTCATGAGACTTTCGTGTACAATCAATCAAACAATATATAAATCATTTATTAAAACATTTTGAATCCTTATTTAAATCGTTATTTGGTTTTCGATAGAATTATCAAGTGAACTTTACCTGATCGATTGCGTCCTTCACTTTCTGATAGCTAGCAGAGATATCACACGCAACGGTAGTGACCCTTTGCGACTCTTCCATATTTGCTCGCAAAGTTGCTGCTGCAGCTTTTAACTTCGCCTGAAATGATAAATTCTTATATCATTTAGGATGTATTGGTAACAAAAGTGCGGCATAATATATTGTACAAATACATTGTGTTGTAGATCAAAATTCATAACTCTTTAGAAAGGAAAATTCGCCTACAGGCATGTGTTCCAAGTACTGTACTGTAAGGTGTACACTGCATAGTGTATAGTCATCAATAGCAACAACATTAGTATCAGTACAATGCTTACGTCTGTGCGCGAAAGTAACGAAATATTTGCTCCTTTTTTGGCTAACCTAATAGCCACGGATAATCCAATGCCTTCAGACCCACCGGTAACCTATAATGCCAATAAAAAGATAAAATTTGATCACTCGTATACGCATATGTACGTACTACCAAATTGCCAATGGGCGATTTGTGTATGTTGCAATCTGAAGATCCATTCGATACATTCATCACGAAACTAGTTGTTTATTCAACAACTGTGCAATACATTGACCATGGACCCATGGGCCATGGGATAGTCCAGTGCTACATAATGCCAACTAGTGAATAGCAAATACAAGTATTCCCTAGATATTACTAGCAATGTTAATCATTCAATAATTTCTTTATACTAACCAAGACATGTCTATTTTTAAATTCTACTTTAGACTTTCTTGTAAATGAAATGAAGCCAATTAATACACCAATGCCCGCAGTAATCCAAATTGCAAGCATTTTGCAAATCTGCGTGGAAGCAACTCGATGGTTACTTCTACAATATACACTAAATATGTTATATAAAGTCTATATAATTATATTTATTCTCGAAAGTATAACCTGTAATTATTATTACTATTACAGTTACTGGAAAGACAATCAACAAGCTTTTATACAATAGATCGATCGTACGGTACCATTGATCTGTATGACTGGATACAGTACAGTACAGTACAATACAATACTGTACAGTATTGTACTGTATCCACTCATACAGATCACTAGGGAATACAGTGCACTTGCTGATCCTGGGAATAGTACCGAAGAATTATGTAGTGCAAGGCTATAAATAGACAAACAAACTGGCGGTTAAAGTAGTTTGCTGCGGCGTAGCTCGTTTACTTCCAGCAAGATTTAAACATAACAAGCTCGCATTAAAATAATGCCTCGATCGTTTTTAGTTAAGAAGAAGGCAAATCGGAAGAGCAGAAGAATATCGTGGCCTTCTTACGATAGCGATGAATGTAAGTTAACAGTAACTAAAAGTGTGCATGCTTTAAGTACAGCAACAGTAGCAGTGATGTACCTAATTACAAAGTTTAGAACATTTGTTGTCTCACGTAATCCATGATAGACTGGTCTCATCTCAGATAGCGAAAATCAAAATGCTATGCTTCGATCATAAAAGCATGACAAAATAAGTATCGGAAAACCACTGTGGATAGACTATTACTGAAAAAACTCATATTAACTTGTAAAAGTATTATTACTGTATTTGTAATCATTCAAGGTTTAGTTATGAATTGCATACCAAATACCTGTATTGATGCTCCCATTGCACTGTACACTGCACTTGAACTGTATTATGGCTTGTTCATCGAAGCATCCAAGTCGTAATCGTTTTCGAAATTAGTTAATAATGAACTAGTAGCCTATGAGCGTAAAAATACCCTATGCTCTGTAATTATACTGAGATGACTAATAACTATTTTCTAACCGCCGATATTTCTAGTAATAAGATAGATCTGCAGAAATTGACATACCTAGTAATCAGATTTGTTTACTGTTAAATTTACAACTATGAATCGTGTTACTGCAGGTGTTAAAGGAATAACTGTAAAGTACGTGCTTTTATAGTTCAGTAGGTGTTGAGGGTTGAGTTAGCCTCCGTTAGAGGCCAGTAAAGTACGGCATCTGCTACTTTGACCTCATAAATTCCAGACTGTAGTTGCATATCCATTGCTTTACAAATTTAAAATTATACATCTGCAGTCGGATTATATTATTATGTCGTACGTCACCATTTTTAGATCTCCGTTTCAAAAAAGCACTGCCTCTATTTTGTTAAACAGCAAAACAGTAAGAAAATAAATCTATATGGCAGCATCCTTCTACACAGACAGCAGTTTCACCCTGATCTTTTACCATTACATACATTTATTAACACCTGTTGCACCGGTCATTACAAATTAGAGTATGTTACCAGGTATACGACTGTCTGCAATCATTGAAAATGTCTTTTCGAAAAGTTTATTGGTTACCAAGTATCATAATTTTTGTTATCGAATCCCCTATGGTCTATTTGTGTCGACATTAGCTGTGTACTTGTCCTGCGTTTTACAAATAATAAAAAACGCCCTATCCAGTGCATTCCATTTAGAGAGTCTCTTGGGACCCATGTCTGTTGGGATTCTGAGACCCGTTGTACTGATCTATTGAAATTCTCTAAGGAGTCTAACGACTGTCAATGCTAAGAATACTGCTTTAATGTTTTACGTAGTGCACTTTAGTAATATTATAATAAATTTGGGAAGTTATGACGTAGAAGGTAGTAACGTAGTAACCAATGTCGAGATATAAAAGTATTTAATTACCTATAGTGTCTTATGTGGAGGAGGGAATAATTCCTTTCCCTCAGTGTATCGTAGTCAAGTAGTTCACCCTAACACTGGCTTGTAAAATGGGTTTGGACTGCGAAATGTTTATTGAGCAGTTCCCTCAAACGAGTCTATCGCTGATATTAATTTTAATGATTAAAAGTTGTACTTTAAACCGCAATTTCTTCAAACTGTCTATTGCTCTTTGCCAGTGATATTGTAGTATCGTGTTAGTGATGGTTTATTATCAATTAATACACTTGTCGTCTCTATTGACCCCTGATTATAGATACTACTGCTTTTCAAAAAGTTGATTCCAATAATTAATCGATTACCATTTACAATCACCTATACCGTAATCCTTGGGTAATTTGTTTCTTCGTTATAAAATAGGAACTACTGATTAAGTTAAATATGAAGCTATATCTCTGCAGGGTTGAATAAATATGTATACTGCATAAATACTAGTAGCTTAAATCTTAGCATGCTGGCTTAGATTAATGGTTATACAGTATTACCGTAAATTATCAGAACCTCTCTTTAGCATCTATTAATTAAGTCAGAAAGTGTCCTATAACTTTAATCGACCTATTAATCTTAAATGTGTTTTCATGAAAACATTAATGGGCTCTATGGATAGGTATAAATTAAAAACCTACTTATAACCTCAATTACGAATTGGCCATTATATAAAACTCTAGTGTCTGAAGTAACAATTGAAATACGCTTGATCAGGATTTCTTTTCAGTAATGCAACATCGACTATATTAACTATTTAATAGCGGATTAAGCTACAATCATATATAACATTATTGTTTATTTCAGTAAATTAGCTGTAGTGATCATAACATCGCTTCTCATGTTTATTATTATTATTATGCAAGATTAGGTTTAAATGGTAGCTCGTATAATTTCCATCATATGACAGTACTATAATACTATCATAATTTAATTACAGTGATTGCAAATTTAATTGATTTTACAATACTATTTCTTGATAATTTATTGATATGATAGCTAGTCACCCGCATTTACAGACGAATGGGCTGGATGATGAAGATGAGGGAGATGATAACATAGAAGAAAACAAATCTATGCTTGCTGACCGCTATCAATCTTTGTCCGTCGGTAGTAGAACTCCAACTCCAACTAGCTCAGAGGAAGATGATAATAGACGTAAAGGAAACAACTGTATAATAACTAACCAATATAATACTGCATCGATACCCACTAACATAACTGAAGAAAATATTTCAGTTCAGAAGGATGATACGAAAGATATGATCTATCATGATGGAAAAAATTTTGTATGTAAGCATTGTAACAAGGTATATGCATCACTAGGAGCGCTTAAAATGCATATTAGAACTCACACTTTGCCATGCAAATGTAAAATTTGCGGTAAAGCGTTCAGTCGGCCATGGCTGCTGCAAGGACATATCAGAACACATACTGGAGAAAAACCATTTGGATGCGAAAAATGTAATAGGTCATTCGCTGATCGTTCTAATTTACGAGCACATATGCAAACCCATGCAGAAATCAAGAAGTATAGTTGTTATAAATGCCGTCGGACATTTTCTCGATGGTCTTCGCTTAAAAAGCATGAGAATTCGTCAAATTGTCAGGAAATCAAAATAATTCGATGCAATAATACTCTTAGCTAACACAAGTTGGAATGGCATATCACCTATGATTATTTACGTAATGCAGTCTCGTTTGCGAACCGAGTAACTGCTTCACTGTGATAATTACTATCGAAAATTTTAAATTCGTATATAAATATAGTTATAATCCACTCTTACTGACACAACTATCGCATTTCTTTGCTTATACGGGCATTAGCAGTATTGCAACAGGTACGTAAAATCTCAGATATTAACCTAATTAGTAAGTACGATATCGTAATACGTTTCATGTAGATAAATAACAAACAATATATTTAATAAATAATATGTACTTGCGACCTAACGCGACATGATCAAAGATACAATTGTACACTTAGCAGAAGATTTGCTGGAATTCGTAACCGATGAACAAACGCTTAAAATTTTACTATCCCTATCGCTGATAATAACGGATAACGAAGCTCGTTAACTTTTTGCTGTATTGATATTAATCTGACGTATACCATTTATTTTAAATCGTTCATTGAAACCACTTTGTACTACAACTGAGTATTTCTTGACATAAAAATTATATAATGATTGGCTGTAACTGCAGATATACAGCAATACGTTTTACTAAAAAATATGATGGCTCCATCTTTTTTTTTGAATAAGATTGGACCATTGATAGCTGATCACTCACAGTTTTAAAAAAGTGTAATACTTAAAATACCTAATATCTTGTTATGAACGAACACTCAATAGTGAGAATTATAAAAGCCTATATCTAATGAATTATAACGGAAAATGATTGTCGTGGCTATAAGTAACTTCATTAAGTACTTTTTTAATTTCACGCGCGCTAATTTTATACGTCAGTAGATTACCTGAGAATAGCACTGACTCTAATTTTTCAATTTTTACGCGTATAGCAATCTATTTATTTTATATAACAATACATATCAAATATTATAGGGTAAGATTAAAGTGATGTGCAGTGATATGACATGCCTTTCCCAATGCAGAGTATCTTCAATTTTGGATATCTGTTTTGCTGCGCACCACATATACGAACATGGTCTTAACCTAGCAATACTAAATCCATTTGCACTGTGTTGTATCATTGTTTTACTGTAGCTACAAACATAATTCGTAACATAACGTGGTTACTGACTATATACTAATTGACAATCAACTAATTCTGTTGTTAATCTATTTATTGGTGAAAATATCTGTATCTTGTCTAAACCATGTTACTACTGACGACCACGTCTCATTCGACGAGTAAAAAATTATCAGACTTATTTTTTCTTTCTAAGTTTATTTATAATAGATTTTATAAATTTTTTTATTTGCTAGTCTAATTAAATGAATGACTCAGACGTAAGAAAAGCATTTTTCGTATTATTACCATAAATGCACAGCACATATTACGATATATAAAATCGTATAAATATCTGTATGCTAATAAGGACTTTCTTGAATGTATACATCTCTAAATTATATATTATAATTGCTACGTATTTGCAACAATAAACTAATAGAAAGACTAAATTTTTTGTATGTCTCTGTGTTATAGAATGATGAAAATAGAAGTAATATCTCTAAATTTAAATGGAAAGTAGTGCAGCTTGGTTAAACTATATCATCAATATCACTGTTATAATCTCTTGGATGAATTGATTGGCAAATCCTGATTTGTGTAATTCTTTCTATAACCACGATTTAGTTAAAGCATTGATATCAATGTAATTAGTACGCATTAATAGTACCGAATCTATTCGAATCGGTAGCTCGTTGATAATGGTGTTGAGGGACCCCCGGGGGTTAATCAGGAACAGGCTCCGAACTGCTATTCGCCAGAAAAATATACTAAAAATGCGTCATATACGCGTAGGTGATATCTAATGACTCTTGACGATTACAAAATGGTCCTAAACGTTGTTTCATAATATAAAAAAGTAGATAGCGAACTACTTGTATTCTCATATATTGAAATGCGGCGATTAAGTGAACTATGAAAAGTCTTCAATTGATTATCAGATATCTGTGTATAGTACTGTTTGTACATGTATAGTAATCTACAGGTTAAAGATAACCTACCGATAGTATGCTAATATAATCAATGCTCAGAAATTAATCATAGATTAATAAATTTTCAATTACGTTTCATGAGATATAGGAACATTTAAGAGCTGTGGTTCGTCTATAGGACTATGTAGTGTTTTCGTGCGATGAGAATAAATTTAACTTTAGTCAAGATTAGAATATGAATTTCCATATGATTTGACTCAATTTATGCATATCATTTAAATAAGGAAAGAATAGTTATGCTATAAATTGTTAAAAATCAAAATAAGGCCAAAATTTGAAGGTGGGCAATTATTCCGATCTCATATGATAGACAGCAGAACTTATAGAGGATTGGTAAACAAAATCTTGATTTATATTACTTTTTTACTGTTATTCATTGTATCAAATAGTCTTTTACTGGAAACGCAAGTTTGTGGTTCAGTGAATTATTTTCTCTTACTTGCATTACGCTTGCAAGATACATCGCTGACGCAACATAGGAAACTGGCTATAACGGTAACATATGATTACATTACACTATGATAGGATGGTGATTTGATAACAGATTAGCAATTCATAAAAAATCTTTTTAATGGATTAAGTATTCGATTTAACTTGTTAACAACCTTGGAGTTCCTTCTGTATGTAGGCTACTTTATTATTCAGTGGCGTAATTATATGAAACACTTCAATTAAATATTTTTTATTATCTGCTTTTAGGCGTATAATATCATCAATGATATCTACCTAACAGCGCGCCATACTACGGTACTTTACTGATATACTGTACAGTATACTGTAGTATTATCATGATTACGATCGTAAAGCGACTATGTACTGTAAGTTCTTGTTTGTTTTTTTATTATAAAGTACTTGTTAGTATTGAATCTTGGATAAATGATTAAATGATGGCGAGAGGAGAAAGCTAATGCCTACTAAATTCTCAATGTGCAACATCGCGCTAATATAGATACCTTTGATTATATAGCTAGCTTTAATGGTCCTCCAAGCTTTATCCTCTACTGATATCAGTTTGACCACATTTTCAGTATAAAATTTAATATAAAAGAACAATAAGGGAACGCACGTAATTTATTAATAAGCCTGGTTGCATGAATTATTACCGTAGAGTACTACACTATATTCATTTAATAGAGTAAAATGATATCTATAATATTCTAAAGAAGAATATCGCTCTATATTATGAAAATAATGAAAATGAAATAAGAGTATAATTTTTTATTAGTTTATGCTCTAATGAAGATGCAAAATGAAGTACATGCTATTACAAGATCTAGTTGATTGGCTAACAAAATTACTTAGGATTGTAGTAAAATTTTAATGGCATGTATAATTATCAGATAAAGTTTCTATACGGATAATATTTAAATGCTAAATGAATATTACTTCTTTTTGCTAGCATGAAGTATTCTACTTCCTAGATTTGCTAAGATAATTCCTTATGCAATAGAGATCATACAAATGTGTACGAACGTTGACGATATTCTCTGATATTGTTGGAATCTATAAAGATACAGGCAGATTGAAACCAACAAATAATAGGCCGTAAATACTGTGAAAAGATAGCTTTGATTACAAGATAAAGACTTCAGGCTAAGACCTGAAATAACCATTTACTAAAACTGTATGAAAAGGAAAATATAACACGGAATGAATGGCTAATAATTTTTAAACAAAAAATTCTGTTTTTAGGTAAATACTCTCATAATCTTTACATATTTTTCTTGAATTGTTCAAAAAGTATTCTAACTAAATAAAAGTTGTTCACAACAATAATAGTAAAAGCGTCAGTGTATATTAAATTTAACAATAGATTATAAAAGAATCCGTAGAAAACATATGCAATTCTGTCGAAAAATGTACATCAGGTATGTTTTGAAAGTGGCATTTAACATTATTGTAGTATTGTGTATAGAATAACTAGCTATCAAATAACCAAGGCTGCGATCAATTTATAAATGGCAAAAAATTTTTCGACTCTAACAAAAGATTTACTGTGCTATTTATAGAATCCAATCACTCCAATCTTTTTCATCGTTCACTTTGTATCTATTGTCTGGGCCTTTTTGCCATCTTTAAGACGATTTTGGCATTTTCTTTTCATTAACTCGATAAAATCCAGCTACGGTTCAATTAAATAAGGAGTTAATTGTTGGTTGTATTTAATTGACCCAGTTCATAGAGTTTTTTATCCTGTAAAAATTGAATGAGAAGCTAAAAAATAGGACAATGAACAAAGAATACAATTTCAAATATCCTACTTTGAAGCACTTTCTCTTTTATTATTACGCTCTATTTTTTAAGGGTTTACATACCAGATCATACACTATTGGATTCATGGAAATTATGGATAGACATCATAACTATGATAAAATAGGTTGAATGATGCTACGTATTTAAAAAATGGTATTCATTATAGTTAATGAAAGTTTATTTAGTCCTTGATACTACTCATTCATTCATACGATCAACTCTACCTTCTCTTCAAATCTGTTTACTGAATTTCAGTAACTTCTGTCTTTTACCCAAACACGAGAAAAATGATTTCCTTAACAAGTCGTCGAAAATCTTATTCATTTTAGATCGTTAAAGTTTCTTTTTAAAAGTCAACAGGTGTTGAGTCTCTCCATTCAAATCCTGATGACATCCCACTTCATCAGCGATGGCACTGGTAGACATAATACTATGATCAGCAAAAGAGAAAAAGATCGACTTAAAAATGAAACAATACCTTAGTTACGTCATGAAATATTACTATAAAGAATAACATACAGACAGTGGAAATCGAGTAAATATTGTATTGCCATACAAAATTGGATTATGTTCTTCCAATCAAGTTGTCGTAGAACGATAGTACAGAAAAATTACCCTGAATTTTCATTTATCATCCTGGCTAACTATTGTTCGACAAAGTTTTTGTTTTAGTGAATAAGTAATGTGGATATACCTTGAATAATTTCACTAAATTCATTCTATTAGCATTTACCACGTCATTTATGTCTAGGTATTAAAACAAAAATTTCTTTTCCATAGGGGTATACGCTATATCTACTTTGTGAATGACTAGCGTCTCATTTAGGCAATATAAAATCATTTCTTACTACGATATTACTAGAAAGAATATACTAGTAGAGTAGAAAACTTAATGTATAATAGGTTAGGAACGAATATTGAAATAGCAGTATCTAAAGGTACCTGTTTCAAGTGAAATCTTTTAATTTTGTTATTTTCGAAGAAGAAAATAGAAATTTAAAGCGAATCTAGGTAAGTTTGATTAAATTTATAGCCTCGATTCGTTTACTATAATTACCTTGGTCTACTACCGTGCCGGGCAGTTACCTGAAATTCGTTGTCTTGAATTTGTGATCGATCTGATGCTACTGTACTTCGTTGATATCATCAGGAGTAAGCTAGTAACTGGCATTAGGGATTGCTGTACTCTTGTATTAGCCTGATCTACGTCATGACTATAACGCTCATACAAGTAGTGTCAATGATAATGAAATGATCAAGCTGTTCCTTTTATTCACTTTCTTATTTAAAGAAGAGAAAATTTTATTCTCTGCCGTATACATTTTTGGCTCGCATTTTTGAAGCAAAAATTTTGTTTTTGTAAATAATGTTAATTTAGATTCTTAAGTTCTTCTAACTTTGTCCATATATGCCCTTTTTGATCATGTGAATTTAAGCAGTATTGAGAGACCATTTTGTATTATTCAATAATTCATTCTTTCCGACTGGTCGTCAACTGAATGCATCGATTTCCTTAACATCTGCCTTTTGTATTAGTATATCAAGCAATTTAATATAGATATTATAAAAAAAACTGCACCGATACTGCACTTTTTTTCAAGAATTTTCATTTTATCGTTTTCCTACAATATCGACAGGTCGCAACCTTTGATTCAAACCGCAACGAAAGTACGGTAGATAATTTTTCCAAACGATCAATTCCTTCTCTTAATCTCAATAAAATAATGCCAAAGGTATTCTTGATCAAGAAGAGAAAGCTACATTATCCTTACTGTTCTGTACGTTCGGAGAAATACAACCATGATAAACACTGGGGAACAGCCATTTCAACCAAAACAGGTGATCATTTTTATTTTTATACTTTTACACGTTTTCTTTCTGTCGATTTAATGATTTTCATGTAACTGACATATAACTATCCTTTTACTGATACAGTAGTCTGTCTTGTGACTCGTCATAAATTTTAAGCTTCTTTTTGCTAATTTTAGTAACATCTACAACTTACGCTGTATTAATTTTTCATCTATAAGCTATCTTTGCCAGTAACTTTATTTTTCCTTAAGTTCCTTTCAATCTTATTTCAAATATGCAGTGATCTGGTAGTTCTCTCCTCAGTTGTTCTAGAACTTAGCGTAATTTTTTGCTTTTTTTACGTGAGTTTAAATTTCGTTCTTCTCACAGCCTGAATCTCCAATTATTCTGACATTTATTAACTCTATCTTGCTATTTCCTTTTCCTTTAATCGGATCTGATATCTCCTTAGACAATTGCAAGGTTGACGACTATGGCACAAATGAAAAAATTAAAATAGCTTGCGCTAACGGGAGTAAAGGGCACATTGAAGTTAGGACTGGCTTCATTGCGAAAAATACCAATCGATCGGTAGCTAACAATATCGACATTAATTCACGACAATCGTTGGATTACAATAACGTCGTTGAAGAGAAAAATCGCGGACAAGCATTTACTGAAAAAATCATTAAACCGTCAAGTAAACAATATAATATTGAAAGTCCTAAGAAACATCAAACAGATTTTACAAAACTTAGTCGAAGCTTAAAAGTTGCCAACGGTGCATCATTTCCAATACGGGAATGTGTAACGGCAGATACATTTCAAGTTAAAAATGGTCAATGTAACGCTAACAGCAATGACGATACCGAGAACAATAATTATTCTCATAATAACGCAAACAGTAGTAATGGCAAGAAATCTCGCTATACATGCGCTGAATGTGGCAAGCAGTATGCCACCTCATCCAATTTATCTCGTCATAAGCAAACTCATCGTAGCTTAGATGGCCAGTTGGCACGACGATGTAAGTATTGTGATAAAGCTTATGTTTCTATGCCGGCTTTAGCTATGCACGTTTTGACACATGAGCTTGCCCATAAATGCAATATATGTGGTAAAGCGTTTAGCCGTTCATGGCTGTTACAAGGGCATATGAGAAGTCACACTGGTGAAAAGCCATATGCGTGTGCTACTTGTAACAAGCGTTTCGCCGATCGATCTAATCTAAGGGCTCATATGCAGACTCATTCTTCCGTAAAATCCTTCCAGTGTAAAAATTGTGGTAAATCCTTCGCTCTTAAGTCATATCTAAATAAACATGCTGAATCAGGTTGTTGTAAAAATCGTGGTCATCGAAAAGAGAAAGGTGATTTACATGAGCTTAGCAACAGTAGTGAATAATCAACAATCGAATAAATTTTAGCGAATTGCTTACTTAAGAAATGTGGCTGGTATATCTCCGACTAATAAGAAAATTATCATAACTTATATAAACAGCAAGCAAAGAAAATTGACGAATCCCTAAAACAGATGTATTATGCAAAGATCGAAATATGAATGTGATTTATATCAAAGTTTAGATCCATAAATAACGTATAATAATATGCTAGGCAAATCAAACAACCAGATTTGCAAGGAAAATAGAGCATTGTATATCTTATGTTGTATAAACCAGTTTTGAAATAAATGATTATAGAGAGTGAAAGCTTCTAATAGGTTGCATAGGTAAGATCTGTTCGTTATTATCGATAACTATAGTTACTTCAGTATACAATAATATAATCATAAGCGAGTATAATATTACTGTTGTATTCGTATACGAAAGGCATGTATCCTACTTTATCCAAATCGATGTAAACGATATTAATATTCGATAACATATCGTATAATGTTGTAGGATATCGCGGTGAAAATATGAATTAATTGTAACATTCGATATGACGACTGTATTAAGTTCATGGCACTCGTAATACTATTCTAGAAATGAAAGTAGAATCATGATCCTTATTTGCTTGCAAGCGTTGCGTATATTATTATTACGTGAATGTTAGCTTGCAGTAGCTATGGTGGTAAACACTGTTCCCTATTAGGAGTTCTTGTCAGTCCTTATTTCTTTATGTAAGTAGGAGCATTCGAATACTAACGTCAGTTGCTATACTCAATTAATTTATTGATTAATTGAAGATATTATCATACTTTCATAGCTTTCCTTAAAGATAATTTTATACATTTTCACTGCTTTATAACTGACTATAATATATTTATAAACTATCTGCTCTATTATTACATGAAGATAAACGAAGAAATTTTCTATGTTAAATGTATTTGATGTGATATATCCATCGTTATAAATATCCAGACCCTAATTTTCAGTTTAAATCTCTATGAAATCTATACGAATTTACTAACAACCTGAAGAAATACATAATCTCTTTTAATGCCACAACGAAACTGTACAGAGATTTTGTCTTATCCTACATTTGGCAGCTAAAATGTATAGATTTATGATATGTTCAAATTTATGAAGATCGCCTCTTTGCGTAGAAAAATTATCTTGTAATAAATAGATCTAAAAATTTATGTAGTATAATCACGAATATCTGCTTTCATGGATAATGTGAAAGTCCAAGGCTACATACATTAATTGCTTAATTATTATTGGCAACTTCTTCGCTCTATTCGATATATCATCGCCGATATACAATTATGCCGTGCTGTTATAATAAAATTTCATGCCGTAAGTTTCAAATTTCAGTTTATACGTATAACTCTAAGCTTAATGCGGATACGATACTATAAATACTAAATACTGATACCGCCAAATAGAAAATTACATTACTATAATTCGTGGATATTGAAATTTACAGAATTCCATGACTACAGGTTGCAACCATCTGTTCACGATTCAAGTTTTGCTTCGAATTTATAGTGCTCATTAATATCTCATGAAAAATTCTTCAGAACAAATTTCAATTGTTGTGTTGTTCTAATAATATTTTACATCTGCTTTGGCACAATATCGCGTCATAACTTGAAGCAGTGACATTTTTATAGTCTCCATTATTCTTAGCAATTATAGTCAGTTATTATATTTGAACCCCGAATATGCATTATACGGCATTCGTATGCATTAATTAATTATGTATTGTATACAGTGATGCATACCGAATCGACAATTTTAATTTTAAATTTTATTTTAAAGTCAGGTAGTACAATATGCGAGTAGTATACCATTTATAGTGTTTACTTGGTCAATGCACCTGTCGGTTAATTTACATGAGTAGAATAGCAATGATACGGTAACCTTTGTGAAAATTGTATTATGTCGAATGAAATGGTATAGACTATGTAGTCTTTTGATAATATGATTATTGTTAATAATACAATGCATAGGACATACACTGAAAAGGGCTCACGTGCCATGGGTAAATTTTTTCGTTCAAAGAATGTTGCTTAAATCTGTCTACCGTACCAACAATTTGTCTAAACATTTACTAGACTCTATAAATTTCACTCTGGTGCACCCACAGTACAGTAAATTACATTAGCACTACGTACTGTACACACTACATACTCGTAGTATAATGTATTCGGCACTACAAGTAAGATAGCTAAGGTAGGGACTACTAAAGAAAGAATGGCTAAGGCTTACAAAGAGAGTGCATTTCACTGGAATATACAATAAATGTTTTTATAGAAGAGAACTAATTTTATTTTAAGAAGTATAGACAGGGATGAGGATAGTTCATGCAAACATGCGTGTAGAAGGCAGTCATGATGATAATGAATTATATGTTAGGTTCAGATCTGCAACTTCGTATTCAGACTTACTTCCTTATATCCAATTTCGGGAATTGACTACAACTTATGTTTATACGTATGTATGATGTTATGTGCCCGGTACAAGTATTTATATGGTACAATAATCTTAGGGTATTTATCCATGGACTATTCAATGTTTCTCGGGAATATTTAGTAGTTCATATCCTATCTGAGTCACGGGTACAATTACTATAACAATGAAATGTGTTGTTGGAATTATTTGAAATTATTATTCATAGTAGAAAAAATATAGATTTCGAAATTTCGCTTCGATGATGTTCTGTGACTTTTTTAGGTGCTATTCATGCAATAATCACTATATTTAACTGCAGCGGTAGTATACAGATTTAGCACAGTATGGTATAGGCTAGAGTCCCGATGCTGAGGCCTACAGAATAAGTGTTTTTCAGATATGACCTGCAAATGAACCATTACAACCATACCCGTCAAACAGTCTTTGCATCTTGTAATGAAAATTAAAGAGTGATAACAACATGGTAGTCTTCTAGAAGTAAACCAATTACTGATCAATGATACAAGGTTATAAGAGTATTTTTATGTAAAATGTTGCCGTAAATTAAGTAAAGTCCCTTAAAATAACGAAGCAGATATATGAGAAATCACTATCACTTTTTAGTTTCCGACCAATCCAACTAATATAGTCGGTTCGTTGCTAGGCGTAGCCTTTATCTGAAAAAGGTTTTATATACTACAGAACGAAGTACAGAATGTCTGACAGGTCTTTGTTCTCTGGAGTCCTCTGCATGTGAATAAAACTTTGTGTCAATGCTATTTTAACAATGCAGTAACTCTAGCTGTGCTAATTAGCGATACTAAAAGAAAAAATTTTGAATAGTCGTTGGTACCGACTGTAAGTCGTAAGACCTTTGAGAGAGAGACCGTTCTTCGCATAGTTGTAGTCACTACGTTACCAAGTTAGCTAAGGCATAGTAGAAATAATAATTACCACATAAAATATAGCCTATTTTATAGGATTTTAAGAGTGATCAAATTTAGAAAAAATCTATCGATACAGACTTTTCTAATGCGGGATCAAAACTATCTTGCAGCAACAACGTTCCAGCGGCTACAAAGTGAACCCCACTACTCTGTATCGTTAGTAAACGCTAGGTCTATTGTCTCCGAGTAGACTCCAACGCTATAGTCCAATAACTCAATTGCTCAGCACATTCCACGATAGCTGTTAAATAGTACAAGCAAGGAGCTTCACTGATACTGTATACTGTATTACCGTATTTTTTTATGATACTGGTAAATTTTTACCATTCTTAGAGATGACAGGGTACTGAAAAAATTTTCAAATTTGTGTAGTTAACATAGTATAATATTTTCAACATTATAATACTGTATATTGCAATTATATTAGTGCAATAATCTTTGTAAATCTAGATAAATATGGTTAATATAGACACACATGCATAAATTTACGAATTTCATCCGGTCTGGGAAATCTAATATGGTTATTCTGTGGGATTCAGTTAGCAATGAAATTTGGCTTTCTAGTTGTTGATTACTCTACTTCAATTCCTCTTTTTAGGACGAGATAGTGCAAAATTTATGTACTGTATATCTTTCCAACTCTACGCATTGATAATCCATCTAGTATACTGTATATAAGCGTATATAATATCATTAGTAAATTTGCCGTATTTTATCAGTGTAAATGTCTGTTTATGATAGCAATTCCAAAGCTCGACTTGACTACATTTCCCCGTTTTAAAGAAATGTCCGTAGCGCTATATGTTTTTATCGTTGTCAGAATATAATCGTATATCAAATGACAAATCGACAAGTGTAATAACTACTATTGCTTATCTTTCAATTTCACATGATGTTGTTGATGACAGTTGATCATACAAGAGCGTAGATTTATAAGAGGATAATCTCAGGTGTAATATAATAAAGATAGCTATTGATGCAAACCTAATTTAATCAAATTCTAAGACTTTAAAATCATCATCAATCAACTAATTATTATCTACGAATTTACTCGTACAGTGCTCTAGAAATTAAAGATTAACAGGTGCAGACTTTCACATAAAAGTTATGATGAACGAATCATATTATTTAACCTCTGATAATTTACAAAAGAATAGGCTTGTTATTAAAGTAGAATCAGCACGAAGAGAGCTTAAAGTTTTAAAGGCCATATCGTAGAAATTGAGTATTGAGTGAGTTCCAGTGCATAAATGCTGTATCTTCATTGTGCTTATTATTTACTTGCGTGTATATAGAACGATATTCTACTGATGTCGTCTAAAATCAAAATATTGAAATTTACTTACTATAGATATTTGCTTAACTGTGTACCATTGTCAGCTAGCTAAATATCTGTAGACAGTTTGTATTCCTTATCCATGTACACTTGTGCGGCGTAATAATTTGCTAGAATAACACAATATCTAAGGATTTCTTTCGTTGCACTATTACCTTCGACAGTTATGTTTACTGAATTTTTTGCCTTAGTATCAAGATTCAGGAGATCTGATGCATTTAGTAATGACAATAGAAATAAGCAATACTTTAAAATCAGTAATTTAGGTATCATTCTAAGGTAACGATAAGATGCTATCTAAACTCGCACATATACCGCATCTGTTCTACCGCAACAAATTTTAATTACTTTTACTGTATAATATCTTTTAAAGTACTGCTGCGAACCTAACAATTCTTTAAACTTTTCCGGAAACTTTATCTAATCTACTTATTGAATTTCATAGCTATTCCTATTTATGTAGTGATGTCCGATAATAGCTATCCTATCAATTTTATTAATCACACATATCTGTAACCGCATTGAAAGATAGCGGTAGTGGTAGTCATAGTAATATTTAGGCTGATAATCTTGCAAAGCACATAAACGCTATTTTATTCATGTTTGTTAGTGTAAATAACTAAAATCTAGTTTTATTGCGCAAATTGCATTCCCAGTTATATTCTAAATTTACGATAAGATACTTAGAAAGCAACTTTCAATTATCAATGTAGGTCTGGGATACCATCCAGTTAGAGTAATTTTAAGGCTATTAGTACTTAATTACTGTAAACAATATATCACAAATTATGAGTTGCTTCTGCTAATCATTTTCGTCTCTGCTATTATAAATTATATTCCAAGCAAACATTTCATCATCGTTAGACATGCTATAAATGGATCACATTAACAAACAATATATATTCTAATAATGATCAGCTATTGACAAGTATGATATCTTTTACTAGTTATACAATAATACTGGTTCAGAATATAGGTTTCTTTTATTGATATTTAAATGAATTGAGCGTAATTAGTATTCAAGGAAGGCCTACTGGTACCGGCTTCATCTATAATATTCTTACCGATAACGGTTCATAAATTATGTATCGGTATATTAATCTTATTATTCCATAATTTATAGGGAAGGGGCAGGGAATTTCTCTATTGATTAGATGACCACTCTTTCAGGAGTAATTTTATAGTAGTATTAAGGGACTGGAAGATACTTATAAAAAGGTAGAAGGGTGTTAGGAATTTTTAAAGTAAATTAGATCATGTTAGAACTTTTCATCAAGCTAATATGGAATCTAGAGCTCTAGAGATGAGCAGAAAGAGTGAAAGAGATATATTGGCAATGTGCTATTAACTATGCTTCGTTTACTACCTTTCTACTCCGGTGATCGATTTTTTGGTGTACGAACAAGGTCAAGATATGCTGATTTTAAACGATAACAATAATTTAACTACTGTGGTAACAACATCTACTCCTGGTAAGATTTTTGACGACATCAATTCTGTTGTAGTGGTTGTATTTACTTCAACATGGTTAATCCTTGGTTCATTGGGTAATATTTCATTGATCACTTTGCTCTTTCTAATGAGTTATAAAAAATGGAGCCTGTTCGAGGTTCAGACGCTGTGTTTAGCTATATCAGACCTTGGGCTCATCATTTCTAAGTGAGTAATAAAACGTTGAATTCACTTTTTAGTAATTACGGTATACAGGCTTAATTTTTATAATGCAATACTTAGAAAACAGAATATTCGATCATAACTTAGGAACGGATAATAAAATCTACTTTTACTGGATTTATATATTAGATTTTATTGCACTACTCGTACAAAAACATTAAATTTATCGTATCTACTTTACTTTCAAGTTTTTTCAAGTTTTTGCAACATTAACGGCAATATTTTTCTATTTTTTAAATAATATGACAGTGCATTGATAATACATATGCTTCGATAGATCTTAATCTTCTATATAAATCTAATGATATTGCATCTTCTACCTTAGTGTAATCTTCATTTTTATGTCGATGGGACGAACTCCAATTTATCCGTATAATTCATTTGGTTGTCGAGCAATATTTGGTGCTATGCTTTTCACAGTTACCGAGAGTATATTTTGCATTACTTGGATAGCTATTTCAAGATATCTTGTAACATCAAATCCTGCCAATTTTAAGAAATATACCAAACTTAAATGGGGTTTAATATGGATATGTTCGTCTGTGTCATTGACAGCGTTTATAGGATTTATTGCACCGGTTGTTGGATTTTGGGGTAAATTCACATATATGAATAAATCTGGTATTTGTGCTATGGGGTATCGATTTATAGACGGTGCTAGTTATGCTACTTATGGTCTAGCTTTTACAGGTATCTGTTTCATATTACCAACCGGTATAATAATATACTGTTACTTTAACGTATTTAAGATCATTCGAGCAAGTACTGGCCGATTTCAAGCGACAAAGATGGATTCAAGTAATCGCAAAATTGATGCCAGACTTACTTTTACAATGTTTATTATTTTTGTTATATATATTATTGCATATTCACCCTATGCATTGGTTCATCTTCTAAGCTTTTTCAATATAATTGAATTAACACCGCCGATGATCTATTATTGCATTATTATCTCCTCCAGTAATAATGTTATCGACCCGTACATTATTATTTTTCGTACTGATAAACTTCGAAAATGGTGGAAGAAAGGTTCGTTATCATCAGGAAATTCGTTGTTGAAAAGGAATAGAAAAATAAGTATTGTAAGTGAAGGGAATGATGAGCATATTACTGTGTCAACGAGCAGGACAATTTTTTACTCTAGGAGTCAACATCTTTCGTTAATTCCTTTAGATTGATAAAGCAGAATATTTATTTGTTCGTCTGCCGTATCATTTCATAATTAAGGAATGAGCTTGGTTTGCTTAGCTATTCGATGATTTTTAAATGACTTGATACCATTTGATAAACTTTAGAATGGATTACAATAATCATCATAGCACTGCATTCGCTGTATCATTACTGTTACTATTTACGCACAATATTAGATTATAATTATGATATTTGAGATATTCTGAAATCATTAACTTCGAAAATATCTAGTATTTATGTACCTGTATTATCAAATATCTATTAGTAATTATAATAGTTATACGATCACGTGATATGGTTCTACTATAAAACTTTAATTTGTTTACAAGTAGTGTTGGGGACGTATATTATAATCTGAAGAGATAGAGTTAATTAATATCGGATAGCTACTGTTATAATTCGTTAATTTTTTACCGTTATTATTTATGCGAAATATCGATAATAATTCTTTAACCAATGCTACATTTTAAATAGAAATGTTGATAATGATGATTAATCATTTGTTAATCATCTAAGTAAGAGATAGGTAAGAATGCAAGATTATATTCGCCAGTTTCCTTTACAGTATATTAGTAAATATTCCAGGTATGAAGGGTCTGAAATAAAAAAATAGAAGACCTGATACAAGTAAATACTACTTACTGCTGCTCTTATTTTAGAATTGTAAGATCATGTATTCATATTTTCACAACACGCATCTCTATCATTCTTTATTATATATGTAATTACGCGTTACCTTTTTCCGTAGAAATTTAATTTTAGCCATTTTAGCAAATGATCTCTCATTTCAGTATAAAACATAGCATGAGGCTATGCATGATTATCGTGATTCATAAAAGTAGATTTAATAAGTTTCATTCATGAACTCGACGGTGATTATTATTGCAGAAAGTTCGTCAAACGTCTGTGTCCGGTCATTGTAGTTACATGCATTACACTTTACCTTTATTTTAAGTTAGCTACAAGGTTATATTTTATAGCGATATCTTTATTCAGGCGAAATGTTAGCGACACAGATAAGTACTGTACAGGCCTCAAGTTTTAGTTGTAGAAAGCAATTTAGGCGCAGTATTTGCTTTTATTCATTGTGTAATAATTATGAATGTGTTAATGACCAATATTGCGTCAAGTTGATCATGCAATTGTTATTATTGTTATTATTTAATATACTAATCGTCACATTATATTCCATATTTCAAAGTAAGAAAAGCATAGAATAGAGTTTAATTGCACCCTAAGATATGATCGTCATGTTCATGTTCTGTTTTCCGTAGGTGATTAAAAATTTATAGCCTACTCGTATACGTATATTTATTTGTATAGGTGAGCAAGAGTTCAAGATTTTCGTTAGTACATAGCGTAAGACTATTTCTGAACATATCATTGAATAGATTAATCTTCCTGGTCTTGAATAAACTATTGGAGCTTGGAAGTATCTAAACAGATGTATTAAATGTTAGTAAGCCCGTAAGCTTTTCAATACGGTTTTGGAACGGTCAGGACCGAAATGTAAATGCTGGTACAGTACAACCAGGGGCTACTAAAAAGAAAGAGACGGGATAGGAAACGACTATAGTGCAGAGGCTGATCATTTTTTCGGTCATTCTACTATACTCGTACACTACGGATGAAACCGTATACCATACTGCACAAAACCAACTTGGTAAGCTCATAGCTGCTAATTTGGATGTCAACCCCAGTAAAATAATCAGCCTTCATATTATTAGTATAAAACTAATATCTCTTACTTGTTCTGACAGTGAAATCTAATACCGGAGCACAGGAACGTGAGCTCAGCCTTGTACTACTAAAAAATGACCAGTCTTTTTTAGTAGTCCATGGCTCAGCGCACCCTCCCTGAGTGCTGATATACGTATTCTGTACACATTTTGCTGACTTAATACAGTGCTAATCCGGCCTGTAAACATTAATACTATATTGTTATTACAGAATAGTATACAGTATGTTGCTGTTGTGCATCACTATCCACAATCTATGAGGCTAATACTAGCAGCAAAGTTCGTAGGTACTACTCTCATGTAAGCGTAACAAAAGTAAATTTGTAACCTGCTAAATTTAGGTAATGTCGAATTAACGCAAACACACCAATAGCCATACCAAATGTATATGTTATATACAATATAATACTAATACAGTAATACTACATCTAGTACAGGGTAAAATTGTTTTAGAAGATCCTGGTATAGTAATACATCATATTAATACAGAATCGAATAAATATACCGAACATAATAGTATCCACTGTCTGAGGATCTCTAGTCTAGACCCTGGTGCATTTCATCTCAGGGACCTCTGACTTTCTTCTTAAATAAAAGTCCACGATATTACTGTACACTTGTACAGTATGTGCAGTAGGCCCAGCCATAATAACCCCGATTACTCAGATACTCAGCGTAATCGGGGTTATTATGGCTGGGCCTAATGTGCAGTACTGTACAGTACTGTACTCAGTATACTGTACACTGTGCACTGTACAGTACCGTACCGTACCACTGTTCTGAGCAGTCCCATAGGCTGTGGTAAAATTTTACAAGTCCCTGATCGTGTGACAAACAAGCTTAAAGATTCTTCCCGCGAAATTTGACCACGTGACACCACACAGTCAATTTAATTGGCATGCTACCTTGGACAATGTACCTCGACAGCCTATTTCGCGGGAAAAATCGATTATACTTGTCATTCGTTGACAGCAATGCGTGAAACAGTAGAGTATGATCGCTACTTTATTAGGGTCTCTACTACACAAGTTCTTTTCAGTTAGATCCTATCCTTTCTAGAACATTTACGATCTTCACGATTCTTGCCGACTGACCAAATCTATAAACGTTAGCGTTTAGTTTTCTGGTTTGCTATACGTCAACATTATTGGCTAGAAATCATGTCTTCTCCTTCTGCTTCTCCAATGCCACGTTCTAGCGGAGCCTCGCGTGGTCGCTGTAAGTATTTCTTAGATTATTTTATAGAAAATTACAATAGATAAGTATGAGAAATTAACAAGATTAGTCAGGAATGATTAAAACTTACTCAAGGTTTACTGTTTGCACGTACTGTACGTCGTTTCTATAACTTTCGGAATATGCAAACTCGGTAACGAATATTGTTGTATGCAATAGTGCTATGAGTTAAACACAGTAGTTTGTCTATCACAAGATGGCATGACAGTACAGTACAGTACTGTGTTATATCATATTATGGTTCTACAGATTTAAATCTTTTGCAAATACGCTGAAGAAATTGCTGGAGCAAAGGTGTACTCAGATTTTTTTAGTGTAAAACAACCCTAGTAGATTATGATGCAGTACTTGCACCACTGCTTATAATATGTTATGGACATGTGATTGCTATCATTTACTTCAATTTTATTAATATTGTTTTTTACCGTTATAATATGAGGGGTTCGTTTGAACAGAATGTAGTAAATTATCTTTTACTTTGCTCATAGTGGTAGAAATTTAGCTCCCGAAATCTTACGAACAAAAATAATCTCATACTTTGAATATTACAAGTTAATGCTAACTTTAACATCTTTCCATTTGGATGAAATTTTCAGCGACCTTACTATACAACGATGGTTAATTGAATACAGCTGTTTAGTCTCGTTACGACTTTTTAATAATTCCATTTAAATAACCTAAACAATTACGCGTCTACTCGTACTGTAATAATTTACAAAACGCGTATACTAGTTATAGGCTTGTAGCTCATCGCGAATCAGTTGCTTCACCGACTGCTGTATCCTACACTGTACGCTCTACAGTGTATAGTATATGTGAGGATGTGTATCGACAATCTATCACGGGATTACAAAATGATCAAAATGGTATTGAAAGACAAGGTTAATCTACGTGAAATCTTTTAAATGCAGTTACTTGTTTGCTTATAGCTCCTGCAAGTGGTGATGTCTCAACACCCAGACACAGAAGATCTGCTGCTGGTTCATCTTCGCCACTACAGATAATGCCTTCATCTCCATCTAGCGCTCAGGTCTGCTTGCAGATATTGTATCCGCACAGTGTAGTTAGATAGAAATAAAATAAATCTACACCTAAACTAGTTGTAATACTATCATTTCATATGATAATCCTAAGCGGTTCCGGTTGACGGGTATGTCATTATAGGACAAATCTCTGTATTCATCTCCACTGCCGTATCGTTCAAGTGAACCTGATGGTGGATTTAGCTCACCGCTGACATACAGTGGTACGCCAAATTCTCGCGTTGGTGGTACATCTAGAACATTACCGTATCTTTCGAATAAATTACCTTAATTTAATCTAGCTTACAGCCAGCTCCATTAAGTGTCTGTTATGAATATAGTCAATGTATTTCCTGTTGTACAATTATTATTATTTACATGTTTCACTATCAGATTATATTTAACTTAACTTGATGAAGATCTGGAACTCCTATAAGAAATAGGAGCGATATTCGCAGTGATAGGCGATTGCGCCAAGTATCATTGACACCTGGTGGCAGTTCAGATGCCATCGTAAGTTTTTGCAAAAATTGATATTTCTTTTATAACTTTTCTTACTATCATACCAGTACCTCCCCAAAATTTTGCTGCTGAATATTACTATCATTGCTTATAAATTAGGTGGATGTATGTGTATTTAGTAAATTAATGATTGTGTGATTGTTTTAATGTGTTTTAACATAGGTTCCTGATTCTACTGAAAATTCTGCTGGAACGGTTGATTCTTATAATTTGCCTCAGCTTGTTATTTGGGGTACCAATGTTTCTATAAATGAAACTAAAGCCAAATTCGAAAAATTTATTCGTAAATTTGTTGAGAGCGATGATAATAGCTCGCAGGCACCATTTTATATGCAATTGCTTGAAGAGGTGATAATCATTTCCTGCATAGTGGCGCCTTTCTCATCCTTATCGAAATTTGTCTAAAGGATTTAATTTCTTTATTGCTATGCCTACATACAGATTAATACTCTCGAAGAGCCTTTCCTCAATCTGAACTGTAATCACTTATACCAGTTTGATGCAGATTTATATCAGCAGTTAATTAATTACCCTCAAGAAGTGATTCCTACTTTCGATATGGCTGTTAATGATATATTTTGTAGTACCTACAAAGATACTCTTCTAGAGCATCAAATTCAGGTGAGGTTATAGTTTACAATCATTAGTCGCAAAAAATTAATTAAAAAAACCGTCGGTATATTATTTTGGTTAGGTACGGCCATTTAATGTACATAAAACCTCAAATATGAGAATGTTAGATCCCGAAGGTATCAATACGTTGAAAATTTTTTGAAAAATATCTGTAACCCTATTATTTAAAAAATGAAACTCGATCAATTCACTTTCATTTCTTAAATGTACTCGTAGATATCGATCGCTTAATAACAATCCATGGAATGGTAATCCGTACGTCATCTCTAATACCGGACATGAGAGAAGGTAAAGATAGATAACATGGATGCTTCTTGGTTGTAATTTACATGTTGCAATTTTTCATTTATTTGTTTATAGCTTTTTTCCGCTGTAGTGTTTGTCAGACGTCTGTAGCGGTAGAGGTTGATCGTGGTAAAATTGCAGAGCCTACCGTTTGTCGTCACTGTAACACATTACATAGTATGCAGATAATACATAACAGGTGCAAATTTACCGACAAACAAATGATGAAGCTACAAGAATTGCCAGGTATTTTAATATTACTTATGTAACAGCAAGATACTTCAATTCTAGCTTGGATCTAATATTTTCCTATTTCCAAAACTCTATGTAGATAGTATGCCTCCAGGACAGACACCTCATACTCTTACTTTATATGTTTATAACGATCTCGTTGATAGTGTCCAACCAGGCGATCGGTAAGTTAGCATACTGCAGAGTAGCGTTTTTATCATAGCGGTTAGTTTATCATTGTGAAATATTATCGTTATGGTTTGCATTAGCTTTTATATCTTCTTAATTTTAAAATATACTATGGTATTATCTTGTAATAGCGTTACACTTACTGGCATTTACCGTGCTACGCCGCTGCGCGTTAACCCAAGGCAAAGACAAGTAAAATCAGTTTATAAAACCCATATTGATGCATTACATTTTACAAAGAGTGATCTCAGGCGGTTATCTGAATTTGATAACAGGTTTGTAATAACTGAAATGGTAGTAAAGTCGAGCGTATTTCAAATATTTATGTATATTTTTAATAATTTTAATTGATACTTATCGTGACTGTTTAGCGGATCTAACCAGCGTTTGAACCCTGAGAGAATTGAAGAATTGAAAGAACTATCAGAATTGCCCGATATTTATGAACGGCTATCTCAGGCTGTTGCTCCTAGTATCTTTGGAAATGAAGATATCAAGAAGGGGATTCTTTGTCAGCTCTTCGGCGGCACCTCTAAAGAATTTGGTGATTCAGGACACAGTCGATTCAGGTATGACCTAGACCTGACTGAATTGTGATCTGATATTGGACGTAACTAACACAGGTGAAAAATAAGAATCCTAGTTATTGATAGTTTCTCATTTGTAATATAGATCGGAGTTAAATATTCTTTTATGCGGTGACCCAGGAACCAGTAAATCTCAGCTATTACAGGTAAATTAGCAGACGCTTACACTTAAGATGCGTTGTATTTTAATTCTTTTCATCTTCGTATGTTATGTTGCAGTATGTCCATAATTTAATTCCTCGAAGTCAGTATACATCTGGTAAAGGCTCTTCAGCGGTAGGCTTAACAGCTTACGTTATTAAAGATCCGGAAACTCGACAGCTTGTTTTGCAAACGTAATGGCTATATTTGAATATCACCTATTGATACGGATGCATGATTGTGGCGGTATACTTATACCCTATTTTTATTTACAGTGGTGCCCTTGTGTTAAGTGACAATGGCATTTGCTGCATAGATGAATTTGATAAAATGAGTGAAAGCACGAGATCCGTACTCCATGAAGTTATGGTAAAACTATGAGTTGTCGCTAACATTGAAGTTGACATTAATTGTTAATGCTTACTGTAATACTATCTTATTATTATTACTTGTAGGAACAACAAACACTATCAATAGCCAAGGCTGGAATAATCTGTTCTTTAAATGCTCGAACTGCTGTTCTTGCTGCTGCTAATCCTCGTGAATCAAGATGGAACCCTAAATTGACTACTGTGGAAAATATTCAGCTACCACACACACTTTTATCTCGGTATAGACATTATTTCGGAGTCGCAGTTGTATGGAGGTATTATGCTAATTTTAATGTTTTTTGTTGTATAGGTTCGATTTAATATTTTTGATCTTGGATCCCCAGCACGAGGATTATGATAGAAGAATTGCCAATCACTTGGTTTCGTTATATCATCAAACAGTAGAAGAAGAAGCGGAGGAAAAGCTTGTAAGCTATTTATATATATTACTAGGCTTTAATACAGTCGTTTGGTGAGAAACAAAATTGATTACATTTTAATCTAATAGGACATGAGCATTTTAAGAGATTATATCTCTTACGCGCGTACTTTTGTACAACCAAAGTTATCTGAAGAAGCTTGTCAAACTCTTATTCAGGCTTATGTCGGTAAGGAACTATTGTAAATAAATATATAGTTATATGACAGCTATATATTATTCAAATATGTACCAAACCGGAATAATGGTAAATCAAAAAATTTAACATTTAAATAGAAATGCGAAAAATTGGGAGCTACAAAGGCACTATTAGTGCGTACCCGCGGCAACTAGAATCATTGATCAGGCTTGCTGAAGCTCATGCTAAGATCAGGTAAGACATGATAATATATTTGTCTGCATATTTAATATACTAAAACTTGATTTCTACCGCAAGATTTTCAACGACTGTTGAGAATATTGATGTTGAAGAGGCAAAAAGGTTTGTAACGTTTAACAAAAATTAATATAGTAAGGGTACAGTTGTTAGCAAATGCGGCTAATAAAATAATGTTGTGTAAAGACTCTACAGAGAGGCCTTAAAACAATCAGCACTAGATCCAAGGACTGGCACTATTGATATCAGTATATTGTCAACTGGTTTAAGTGTATCGGACCGTCGACGCCAGGAACAACTTGGAAAGGCACTGAGAAAGATTTTAGAATCCAAAGGTAGCAAGCCTTCTCTTCAGTATCAAGCAATCCTGGATGAATTGAGACAATCGTTTGATTCTGTAAGTAGCATTTGATTTTGTTCATCATATGTTAAAAAGATTACTTTTATTTCATGCTTATCTGTATCAATTGATAGGTAATAACTAATCAACAATTCGACTCGGCTTTAAGAAACTTGCAGGAAGATGATTTCTTAATTGTTACGGGTAGAACCATCCGATTAACTTAAGCTACCTCTAAATAAATTTAATATATTTAATAATGCAAATTATTATTTCTTTACTCACCAGTCATATAGCTCGTTATAGTATAGCCTTTTTGTAAAGTCTCAGTTCTCTGATTGTATTTTACAAGTTTGATGACGAATAATGGTAACCGTTATCTATGATATATCATATTATACTTTATTAAGTATTTACTCAGGTTCAAACATTTGATTGCATCGAAAAATAAATATAATATAAACGAAGACATTGTAAATCTAGACTATTCTTCATCTCAAAAGGTGCAAAGTCAAGGCTTAAAACTAATCTTAACTACCCTAGATGATAACAGCAATTAAGGGACATATATTTATGTTTTCTTAATGTGATGATAATATGATTCATCAGAACATTACGCGCTTTGGGATTACTTTGAATTACGTATTCATAGTAAATTACGGCATAAACGTAGGTCAATTTAGAGAGTTAGGAAAATTATGTATTTAGGTAGTATTAATATTGGTAAAGGATTACATCTAACTCCCGATATAGCAGAAATTATTAACTGGTACAAGCTATACGGTTATACAATATTCTTTAATCGTCAGCACGCTTATTTTGTATCATTAACTATAATGTTGCTTTATATGATTAATAAGCCCATTGGTAGACGAATCGTGATTAGTGACTGGTTCTGTTCCAACCAGTTCTTTTTGAATAACCTTGGCTAATTGTTTACCGAGTTCCACCCTGTCGATATATAAATTAAACAATTATTGGCCGGTCTTTAGTTTTATCGGTGATTAGCTTACGTTAGAAATGTTAACATTTTCCAGGAAATGTATATTGACTAAACTTACCCCCATTGATCAAATGAATTAATATTCCAAATAACGCCTTGCACGAAAATCTTGTGCTCATATAAAGCTAAGAGATTATTATTATAAGAAAGAGCCGATGGAATATTAAATTATTGTAAAATAATGAGGATCGCTGCATTAGATTGATTTAAAATTAGCGTTACAAATAGGATACCGATCGGGTTCATGAACGTAACTACACAACAGCTCTATCTATATTTTAAGCGGATTACTAATTTATAAAATGTCGTATTATACATTTGAATGCGAAAATTAATCACTCACCGACTAAACTACCTAAAGTAGCAGGAGTGAGCATGTCAAAAAGAATAGAGTTGGTCGGGCGATTACCCAAAAATACCTGAAATAATAAGATATAGTCACCAAATTCAGCCCCTATCATATGTTGGGTATTGTCAAATACGAATTGTTACAAAGTTAGGATTAATAGTTCAATTAGTTCCTCCTACTTTGTGAGGTAATAGTCGTTCCAAACTCTGACCACCAATTCCCGATGCAACTAGCTCTGCTCTTGCTTCTTCCTCTGTTTTTCCTTTCATTAAAGCTTCAGTTTGTGCCAAAAAATTTGCCAAAAGGAGCTAAGTCATAGTTGTGGGTCAGTCTGACTCAGCCAACCGAATTACTGTTTATGGTTAATACAATCTATGTAAGAAGTAATTTAACGAACCTGTTGATGTAATCCATTAGAGATTGGGTTATGAGTTTTGATAGGGGCCAAAAAGTCACAAGGAATCAATTTCGTACCTGATAAAAACGAAAAGATTATTTATTTGTTGCAAATTTATAGCATATGATTTAAACTATACGCATAGTTAAAGTGGTATGCACCTTGATGAATGAGTTGATAAAAAGCATGTTGACCGTTTGTTCCTGGCTCTCCCCAAACTATGGGACCGGTAGAATAATTATTGATCCTGTTGCTATTCCTATCTACACCTTTACCATTTGATTCCATATCCCCCTATAAAATATTGTAATTAGTAAGATTACATAATAGCATTTAAATCAAGTTCTATTTAAGTTTACGGCAGACATGCTTACACTTACTTGCTGAAAGTACGCCGCAAATCTGTGCATATACTAGAGGCAATACGAATAAAATTTACCGTTAAATATTGTATTGATATGAAGTATGGATCATCAGTAATAAAGGCATACTGACTTGATCATAAGGAAGGATCCCATGACTTTGTGCATTAAAAAAATTATTATACCAAATACCGAGAACTGCCATTATTACAGGTACCTGTTGGTTATAAGAAGTCTCGTTACAATTAGAAAAGATTAAGAACTGTAAATATAGGTTATATATGTATGTCATGAAAGTGTAAAATTTAATCTCTTACATTTTGGTGTAGTGGTGCAGTGGTAAAGTGCTTATCCTAAGAAAAATGATTTTAAAACTTGTTATAGCATAATAGTTGACTAGCTTGTCGGTATTGCAGTTATGTATCTCCTAGAATATCACTAAACGAAATGATACTAACAATAGCGTGAGCACCAGCTAAGAAGTCTTCAAAATTTTTCATACCTATAGTGTATCCCTCCATTAATCATTATTGTAATCTTACCAAATCAGAAATAAATAATGAATGAACATACCAATATTAAGAGCGATAGATAAACCAATAGCGGACCACATAGAATATCGTCCTCCTACCCACTGTAATACATAGATAATTACCTCAAAGCTGTTTGCTACATTGGGTTATTTGCATAAATACCTTATTTCTCTTTTATACTTAAAAACTTACATCCCAAAATTCGAACATATTACTGGAATCAATGCCAAATTTTTCAACTGCTGCCTACAGGCCAAACGAGCATGTTGTGAGAATATTATTAAGGTCCAGCCGTAAAGTAAGTGAAGATTATTACGCCTTAAATAATATTTTAAACGTGTACGACAAACCTTATTGGTTGATAGAGCTACGAAGTGCTTCGCAATTGCCGCTTCCTGTAAGTTTATTCGTATTAAAGTAATTGCAGTTGTGACACAAAATTATTAACGTAGTATTTATAAACAATGCTCGGCTCACATCTTTTGCTACATTCAGGAGCCATGCCTTTGCTGAATTTGCATTGGTTATTGTTTCCTGAGTTGTGAAGGTCTAATGAATTTGAGACAATGAATTCATTAGCGTTCAGTAGTTACGATATGGTGAAGTCGTTATATGTTGTAATACTAAAAACCTTTGAGGCAATAACGAAGAGAGTTTTGGCAGGATCTAGATTGGCAAGTTTCATTGCAAGATGTGTTCCGTCAACATTGGACACGAAGTGAACTCGGGGACCGTCCCCAAAAGGTTTCAATGCTTCAGTTGCCATGACAGGTCCCTAGATGTAGATAATAAATATTATACTACATATTATACTACCTGATAAACAATTACAATAGATCAGTAATTAAGTATCATTGAAATTATTAGCCAAGCTATAGGTCTTTTACCAGATCCGAACCGCCAATACCAATATTAACGACATCAGTGATTGCTTCTCCCGTATATCCTGAGGTAAAACATGTCATTAGTATTCACTTCGAACAAAATTATCTGAAAGTTACTGAACATTTCCAGAAAAGTTCATTTTGCATAACATGATGATTACCTTTCCACCTGCCAGATCTCACGTACTGTAAACAAAATCATTGCTTAATTGATTAGTTTCAATACATTGTATCGTATCAATCATGTACGTTCTCACATTTTTATAATTATTATGTTGAAATAGTAATTAATAACCTCGGTGAATTCCTTCATATGATTTAAAACACGATTAACATCCTCCATGACCTGTTATAAAAATGCCAAATTTATAAACAAAATTTTATCTACAGAAGCAAATAAAGTATATAAAAAATTTCTGTAAATCTCAACTTTACTAATAGGCTAATCTGTATGCACTTTAAAAGAATTAATCATACGTTTTTGCCGTCAACATAAATTGGAGAGTTTGATCGATTTCTTAAAGCAATATGTAAAACTGCTCGATTCTGTAAAAAAATTATTAAACTTAAAAAAGACCAAATACTCATAAAAGTGTTGAATAAATGTAGTAGATGATACAAATATTTAATATTGATGATTGCTTGCTTAGTACTCATAGAACAACCATAAATAGTACATAAAATTTACAATTACTGTTATTGCAGAGCTACCCTAATGAATATAGAATAAAGATGATTGGTAATATTTTTTCACACTATTGGCCAGGTCAATTACCGAAGATGCTCAAGCGGTACTTGAAGGACGCATACTGTAGAAACTACTACAATCAGTAAATGTGTTGTAAATCATATTGAAAACGCTTCAATAAAACGCTTAAGTTACAGATGTCTCAATGCAATCAGTAATAAACTGTAATTAAGCTATAGATATCTCAAGTTCATAATTACTTCAGTGATATTAATCTTTTCTCCAGTAAACATAGCTTTTCTTGCTTCCTCTGTCCCACACGCTCGGGCCTGCAAGTAAAAGTTGTAAGGTATTAATGATTTTTAATAGAATTCAAATGCGCCGTCGTAGCATGCAATATTGTCTACGTTAATAACGAACGTCAAGATGATTAGTGATGAAAAAGTAACATAATTTTCTGAAATTACTTTAAATAAATAATGCCTCATAATTGGAATTGCAATATATCATTAATATCGATAGCATAGCTGCAACAGCAGTTAATTTTTGTGAATAATAGCGAAAATTCTATGCCGATTAAAGTATGTAACTAATTATAGTGAATATGAGAGTATTGGTCTCAATGACAGCCTATCGTTATGCTATTCATCGCTAATATCATAAGTATCACAATAAATATGAAACTAGAAATTAACGAAATTTTATAAAGCGAAGAAGATAAGATTTAATTTGAGAATGACTCAAGATTTTTTCAGTTGTTTTGTGGAAGTGTTCTTATAGTGCTATGCAATGAGCACAGTTAAATATATCATCCATCGGCTCGTAAGAAGATGAGTTTTGAAATACAGAATGTACGATGGCAAGACTAGAAAAGGATAACTGCAAGTGTAGTACTTTAGAACTTTGCATTCAAACTGCTAGTTACTCGGTACAGAGCAATGAGTTACCTTAAAGTGACTGGATTAGTAAACTATTATACAATATTATACAGTACAATAACTGTGGAATGAATTGTTTCACGATAAAGAGATCAAAAAATTATTATTATACAGTGTTAGCTTAATCAAATGTTCAATCTACTCGTATATATTTTAGGTGATCGTGGAGTGCAGTCATTCTTACCAGATCGAGTAATAATTTCATTGTTTCTTCAGTTACGATATTCTTCGAAAAATCGAAGAGAATTTTGCCATTGCCAGTATCTAGATTTAAACTAATACAATAATAAGGAAGAACAGGTTATAATTAAACAGCCATTATCGAAAGACTGAATCAAGATGGAGTGTAAAATTGGAAAATTATATACTATACGAGTATTGAATTACAGATTAATCCTATCGAAAAACAAATTTATCAGCAGTTAACTAGTGGATGATTCTTGTTCATAAATAATTATAGTTAATGACTCGTGTCATTAATTATATTGATTATAGATGATATGTTAAAATTAATTAGCTGAATCTATTCCAAGCTAAAATGTAATATTACATTTCCTTAATGTTAAAGCATATCAAGTAGGGCTCCAAACAATGATGTTGAGCAATTGAGTGCACTGCTTTAATAAAGTTATCCTTAGAACTAGGGGTCATTCGCCCCACGCTCGCCTTGCCTTATCAGCGAATTGAGGAATCCCTCCTCGCCCAGAACTTGGCTTAGAACAGATAGACACTAAATAAACAATATTTAATTTACGTGGCAATACTGCACTACTGCTAGACTGTCAGTAATCCGTTATATAACAGTAATCCAGTTTAATTTGTCTTTATAGTTGAAGAAGAAAAAGATATTCAATTTTATTAATGGAAAAATCAATTATTGCGATACCAAGAGAGCAAAGATAAATTGCAAGATTTTGATTGCCTACTGTAGCTTTACAGTAGGCTGTACTCGTACTGCCTAGTCAACTTTACCTGAACTTATTGAATCTAGAAGGATCCTCTTTAAATAACGCTTTCATGTGGGTATGCGATGCTACATCAGCATAATGTTCCTGCAACTTCTTCCATTCGGGAAGTTCGGTTAGTTGGTTTTTACTAAATGACATTTTGCAATAGTGAAGAAATTTTATCTTGGCGACGAAAAGGGAAATCTGCAGCTCTCAGTTGGTAAAAGATCAGAAGCTAGTAAGTGCGTCAAAGGTCATTACTGACGGTACTCTAGCGTACAGTACTGTACACTGTGTACACTGTACAGTACAGTAGGTACTGTATTGTACTGTACTGTACTGTACTGTACTGGTACGTGACCATAGAGTTAAGACTAAAAAATTACTATGGACGTGACATTTGGCTCGGACGGTCGGACAATTCGGCATCAACTATCGTCTACTGTAATACTGTACCGAACACTTCGTTATAATGTCGTTAAAGTTAAACAGATGTTCGATTCTACAGTATAATTCGCTTGTTTTCTAATTTAAGTAATAATGCTGAACATTGACATTTTTTCTAATTTTACTAAGCTCAGCTTGAAAGCAGCTATAGAACGTCAAAAATATCCCTGAATAGTTAAAAGAGTGTGCTGTACAGGTGTATCTATTCTACTGTATAGTGCATCTACAGTAGTGATCCATGACAGCATCAAAGTATTCGGTCACCCACGGGGAATGACCGATTCCCGGGATTGACCGGAACAGTTAGACCTCTGTTATACTGTACTGTACTGTACTGTACAATATAAGCCTACAGTGTACAGTACAGTACAGTGCTGTAGTGTACATACTGTACAGTACGGTACCTACTGTTTGTAATCTCGGCGTATCATGACATCATATCAGCAGTTTATCTAAAGTTTTTGATGAGAAGTGCTACCCAGTTGACGTCTGCGGTTGCATAAACCTGTCGAATAAATTCAGTTTGACATTACAACTGTTACGAATTATTAAAATAGATTTGCAATATCCGATCGTAAAAAAGAGAATGGAAGATAATTCCCGTTTTTTATATTTTGGCTATGGCTCCAATATGAGCGGAGATCGACTACGATTAAATTCCCCTTCTGCAGAATTTTGTTGTATAGCTAAATTAGAGAAGTATAAATTAAGATTTGGTTATAGTAAATATGGTCCAAGCAAGTTATGGCACGGTGCTGTAGCGTCGATTGTTCCTGACGAAACAGATTACGTCTTCGGAGCTGTTTGGAGCTTGAGCAATGAGAATATGGTAACTTTGGACAGGTTCGGACATAATTATCTCTAATGGTAGCTATAAAAATAATAAATCTGGTATTGATGCCAGTCATCTTGAAATCGTATAGCACAATTTTCTACATTGAATTCCACAGGTTAAGAATAACTACCTTAATTCTCTGTATTAGCACAGATTTGTCGTAGTAATGTACCATGAAATCAAGCAATCCATTATTTTTATCACCTATACTGTAGACAAGAAGGTGTTAGTTTAGGCATTTATCGACCATTTGAAGTTGAGGTTACGACAATTGAAGGCAAACTAATCAGATGCCGAGTATACGAACTTATCAATCCTCAATTAGGAAATAGGCCATCTCCTCAATATCTAGACGTGATTCTTACAGGAGCTCGGCAATTGAAGATTCCTCCCGAGTATTTAAACCGACTGGAGCAGATCGAGCACAATGGTTATAGCGGTGAAGTTCATCTTCAAAGGCAGACAGAAGAGAGCGCTCAGAATGCTGATGTTGTAAATAATTAGCTTTAAATTTAGGACTGAGAGCTAGGAATTGTGTAAATTTCTTGCTTTTATTCGGTATCTACAGTATATTAAAAACCTAGCCAGTTCAATATCACGAAGGATTGAGTGGAGTCATTGATAAATTGGTTTACACCAATATTTAATATAATAGATTTCTTAATTACCACATAATCTAATCTTGAACATTACTTGAATACTACGATATACTTCAAAATATGTTTTATCTTATTATTCGTATGATAATCATTACTATCTTGTGTATAATTCAGAACAGAAACATTGTTTTCTCCAAGTTAAAATCATGCCCATTTATAACAGCTACATAATAGAAATTAAAGTTTGAAATAATATCATGCTGAAGAGATATAAATCTACGCTTCGCTATTTATTATTGTAACCGCTAATGAGTAATATCTAAATGAGGAACTTTGTGACCTCTGATCATTTAAAATTGAAAGTAACGTTATCGTAAAGACAATTACAGATAAAATATATGTGCAACAGCTAGAAATCTTATAAAAGCGAAGGATTAAGGATAGTTATATGATATAGTTGTGATACACGTAATAATGATAGGTTTTGAGTACAATATGCCAGGTGAACCCCGATCGTTTTAATAATGATACTAAATTAACCGCGAATTTCTCCCTTGAGGTAGCTCGTGTACACAGTAGCTATAGTTTAAGATGGATTTGTAATAGTTTGCGGAATTACTCAATCCATTTTATAAACAACAGCAATAACTATTGCACAATATCATTACTTGCGGAGCTAAGCTTCTAATAGCGACATACAAGATATTCTAGTATTTCATATACTGGAAGTTAGTTGTTCTCATGATATCTATGCGACTAATTTAATCTCAGTTAAAGTTGTCGTTAACTGAAATATGTGATAACCAGGGCAGTTTTTTGTTGCAACTTCTCCGCAATTTATCGACACAAAACGCAACGAAATGCAACTTTTGAGTCAAATCGCAACAAACTGCAAAAGTAACTTTATGTTATACTTTTGTGTCAATATTCTAAAGAACTTGGCTTAAGGCGGCCTATTATTACGCCGACAATCTTCCCACCATTAAAGAAATCGTTAATGGATTCGATGGTGATGGTATACTGGAGAGGAGAGCTAAAACCGTTGTAAATAAAGACGGTTTGGCAGTAAGTTTATTGGCCATTAATTAAAAGGGACTATTTTTCACTGTCTGCTTTGATAATGAAGACCAAATCGGTGCAATACAATATTGTAGATGCTTATGCCGACCTTAAAGGTTTGAATTTCGGTCAGGATAAAGCAGGGATTGGTGTTTATTTAACCAGGCGAATAAACGCTAATGATGATCTGGACAATATAATGCTATTAAAGCGTAACAATGTACCACCCAGCGTATATTTAAAGTTACAGCGATGTCAAGCCACGTTATCAGCGTAAGAACGTAGCTTTTCGATGCTACGTAAACTATTAGCTAAAGATCAGTATTTCTTGCCTGAAAACGTTCATAAGTACTTATCCTTATACTATAATTATAGCTGTGAATAAAATTCAATAAAGCTTAACGATACGAACGGATTTCAATTAAACTGAGTATTCCACAGCAACTTTCTATGAATTTTATTGCTAATTTGGATGAATACTTTATTTTAGATTACTTTACCAGAAAATTGAACATTTGCAACTTTGCCGGAAAAATTGTAACTTTTCTAAGAAATTGCAACATTTGCAACTTTTCTCAATAAACTTGCAACCAAAAAATTGCTCTAATGATAACTGCTATACCTTTAATCATTCGTAGATAAATCAATTGTGAATATTCTGTGATCGATAAAGGCAAATAATTTCACTAAGTAACATAGCTATTATAGTACAAGCCAAATTCCTATATTAGATCAATTTACTTTTGTTAATACGGTAATATCACAATATTTACTTGTTCATTTATTTAATTCAATGTACTATTTGCAAAGAAATAATGTTATTTTAAAATAATTTACTCTGATTATTAACATTATCAATAAACAGTTTTATTTTCAGTAAGAAAATAGTTTAATAATGGTGATTGACTATATAAGCGGTAAACGAAACATAAATAGTATTATACGCAGTGTCAGAAATTGATACAGGTATGCGGTTCAGTAAAGCCGTTTCTGTATTTTACACTTTGACTGTATTTATTCCAGCATTATTATGATGATACTTTCGGGCTGATTTTCCCGTTTTCTCCTGGTCTTCCGAAGCGATTAGTGTCTCCAAAACGTAGTAATTGTACAAATGTTTCGACGTCTGTTTTAGTAGTTGCTGGTACTAAGCCGAAATAATCGAATCCCCTTGATAGGCAGGCTTCTAAAGCCGGGGGATTTATACTTGGATCGATCATTTTAATCACTTCTCTGGCTTCTTCAACGGTAATTTCTCTAATATATGACATTAAAAAATTTAAATTATAATCGTAATAACGTATTAATTATATTATTTTAATTGGATAGCCAGAATTGCCTGAAGTTTATTGTTATGTGGCTGAAATATAGTAACAGCGTAAACACTTTAAATCTGTAGAACAGTAAAGTATATATACTGAGAGCATCTCATGAATTTAGAACAGGCTCCCTACCGTACTAGCATAACTGTCAACAGTGAATTCATAGCGGATATTATAGATAGAATTAATAGTATAGATAATACTCGTATATTGATTTTTTTACATAAAAATAAATTTATGAAAGTTTATGAACATATTTTCAATAACGTTTTCTTACGATATCATCATGGCAGTTAGAATGCTTCATGGAAAGATGAAAATTTACCGTTTATCGCTTCCTATAGCTTCCTCAATTTCGCTAATGTAAGCCAATCTATCATCCCACTGTTGTTCCATAATTTTTAACAAGAAAGGACTCAATTTTCCGTCCGCATCCTGTGATATAAATAAAATACTCGAATGTCATTGGGATGCACTGGTTATACAGTATAAGAGTAGACATATTCGATATAAAGTAAGTGATGGTAACCGTTAATGGAACTACGTGGTGATAAAACTTACCGTTTCGAAAAGTAACATATACTTTATTACATCAGGCGTGTCCTTATCAATGGCTACTTTCGCACCTTCTTCCAATACCGTAAAATCTTTTTCCGTTTTATTTGCGAAAGATTTTCGAAGAACCTGAGAAAAGTCCTTAATCGATATGCAGCCCTACGAGAGTAAATTTATGACGTAAAAGTAAATATAATTCAATTGTGATCAGCATAAAAAATGTAGAATGACTGTATGTTAGTTTTATACACTGCCCTCGAATATGCATATATTAATATTCGTAATTTGGATAAGTGATTTGTTAATCTTATATGATTTACCTCTTTGGACGAGGATGCTTTTGACATCGCTAATTTTAAGTTTGCAAACATTTGTTGTTGTTTATGGTGAACGATTTCATCGACCTGGTTAGCAATCAGACGAGAGCCAATGAGCAAAATCTTATCATAGCTTCCTAGTGAAGTTCATTTATCTGCTTGTTCATAAATTAATCTTTCTAATAAACTTTAAATATTTCATATTTAACTGTAAAGCAAACAATTTTTTATAAAAAATACTTTCGATTCATGGTTTAATCTATGCGCAATAGCCACGATCTTATAAAATTATAATGGATAGTTATATTCATGGCCAATACACGAGATAATATTAAAACTTTGACGTTGATTATAGCTTGGTGTATTATTGCTATCTTTAGTAATTTATGGCTCACCTCTCCGGATAAGATATTATAAAATAAGCCAATTTGTGGGTCCTTACTTAGTCTTTGGCATGCATAGTGTAAATTATAGCCCCATTCAACAATCAAATTATCGTCATCATGGCGCTTCTTCAAGTACTCATAAATGAATTCTTGGATATCACTATGATTTCCGTTGGAGTAGTTCTAGCAAGCAAAATCCAGTATAGCGTTACGGCTCAGAATGTTGTAGCCTACTAGTCATTGTTTATTAAATTCTAGAGTATTAGCGCTCTGTTTCTTTCAAATTTAAACCTAGTGACGGCAGCTAAGATTTGCCTTTATAAATTGATCGCTACAGTTTTTTAAGGATAATTTGCTAAAAAACCTTTGTATCATATTTAGCTTTTTCTTCCCATAATTCATTAATGAAATATAGAACATCTTTCTTTTTTGTACGGAAGTTTCTAATTTTTCCTTCATATCTTAAATACCTCGGTATAGACTCATCTAGTCCCTGAAGTCAAAAATTGTCATGCGATTTTTATATAGTTATCTCAACTATGTAAAAATAAAAATGCATTTGTAACTAAATGATAGTAAATAATATATAAGTATATATTACCAGTCCTTCAAAATATTCTACAGCTCCGATGTTAGTTGGATCAGCACCAGCAATTTCAGCCAACAATATATCAACTAACTGATCACTTGTTCTATCTTGCGATATAACAGTCCATCGCTCATTGCCACCTTCGATATATGGAGCACATTTACTCCAGTCTGGCCTATAAAAGTAACGATTTATAAGTAAAAATAAGTTGATTGACTAAGTATAAGTAAAAATATTTGTACATATAGAAGCTAACCGCGGTGTTGCCGATCTTCTAAGTATATCACATTCATGTGCAAAATTGTTGCGTTGATCTAAGACTTGCTTGTATACAGTTTGTAAAGTACTAAACAGGATTATTAACAGTAAATTGAATATCAATACCATAAATAGTAAAAATTTAAAATTTCTTATTTGGTCAAACTACTTAGCGTCATAATGGTAAAAATTAGAAACCTGTGCTCTTCTGATAATTTAGTAAATTGTTTCTTCAGGTTACTTAAGACACTAGTCATTTCCTAAATAGAATTGACAGAAATTGTAGCAGCAGAAAATTATAATTGGTATGTCTAATTTTGATCTTAACATTTCATTTGCGCCATCTAGTATGTGTTCAGGCACATATCATCGTAAATTTTTTTAATTATTAACAAAACTTAAAATAAGATTCTTTTGATGTAGAGATTCTATATTTAGATCTAAATTCGCTCAATATTGTTTAATCTATAAATGGTTGATTTCAAAATATGATCATTACAATGCTTTTCTCTTTTATCTTCTCAAAGTCACGGCGTGGAATGACATCACCATAATTTGCTTGATATTCCGTAATCTTATTCTGTGATTCTACAAGATCTTTCCTACATCTTTCTAGAGCGATTCGTAACATTACTGCATCTTCCTGTGTATTATCTTTAGCTCGACCTTGGTCACGGGCAGTGATTAGCTCCTCGTACTGGTATCTTAAATCGTTTATATCTTGCACTAATAGTTTTCTGCAAACACAAAAATTATTCTAAGCTAAAAAGCTAGATTTTATAGATGTGCAGCATTTTATTAAGATATTTTAGGGTTACACCTATCTATACGGTAAAGTTTCTATTAATCAGCTACCTAGCATCTGCTTCATTGCGATACTTTTCGTGTTCTAGAGATAATTCTTCTTGTAGCTATAGAACAGACGTTAAAAAGCATAGTTAGATAACTTATTTCTTTAGGCTATTTACTAACTGAATACAGTAAAATACTAAGTATTATGGCATTAACTCAGGTAACTGCAGCTGATTTACCTTTTGAATCATTTCAGCTAGAGTTTGTTTATCTTCCCTAAAGGTTAATAATATAAGTTGTAAAAATTAGTTATAAATTCTTTCGGTTAGCTTACTGTAAGCTAAGTAAACTCTTATCTTGTGCAAATTGTTTATTACCTTATATCATCTATTTTATTTGTTAATTTCTTGTTTTCGTTTTTAAGCTCTTCAAGCTCTAATTTTATTTTGAAAATTTAAATACTTGGTTAATTCTTTTTCAAATAAAGTATTGTGTTCTGTTATCTGAATACTTGTGATGTAATACCTTTCCTTTCTAAGTCACGTAATTGCATGATTTTCTGATCGCATTCTTCAGCAATAGTAATAATCATCGCCTATATTTTGATTCATGAAATAATTTGATAAGATTTGATTTTCTGCGATATTATAAATACCGTAAGTAAATTGGATTCGAAGTATAGTAATAATGATCGTAATCATAAAATATGAAATAATGTCTGGCAAATTCACATTTATTGAAATGGCCTACGTATGTAGCGATTAACCTTAAGTGGCTCTAGTTCTACTACTTTATCTTTTAATTCATTGATATATGTTTCATATTCATTCTTGATGGAAGCCAACATAGGCTTGTATGTTTTAAATTCCTGGATAAGAAACTCGAATACCTGGCGAAATACCTTAAAAGAGGAAGAGATTTTAAGTAATAACTCTAAGCCTATTTATTTATCTAAACTAGAAGCAAAATGCCTTACTTGCATTCGAGCCTCATGAGAAGTTGTATTTAACCTTCCTATTATAGATAATTCACGATTTAGATATGTTTCTAGATCTTTTAGAAACTTTGGTTTCGGTTGAGTAGTAGATACACTCGCGGGGACGTAAGCTGATTGAGCGTGAGGCATACTACTTGCTGGCCAAACGTCAACTATCCCTGTCTTGCCATCATTAATATGCTAGAAAGGATCAAATCAATAATATTATTAATTTGTACTTAATCACGTTAAATATTATTACACAAATTCTTTTCTTTAGATTGATTAATTATACAAACTCCAAAACTGACCTGATTCTTAAGGTTCAATGTATTATCATGATCTTTTTCATGAATTCTATTAAAGATTTCGTAAATTAATTTAAATTTTACTTAAATTTGTGTCATACATACAGAATAATTTATTTATAAATCTATGTAGTACACAGTCATAAGTGCAGTTGTAGATTTACGTAATATCAAATAGAGATGTTCAGAGATGTTTACTAATGGAATGCTTCGCTGTTATACGCTTAAGTTTTCATATTTACAAGTTAGTCTACTAATGTTGTATTTGCTACATCTGTTTTAAAGTCAGAATAGCAAAACTATTATGGAGTTGTTATGTCTGTAATTCGATCGCCTATACGTGTGTTATTACAGCTAGCAATGTTAGCTTTACAATGACGCTAGTTAAAATATTAACTAGTTTTAGTTACGGATATACGAAAAAGAATACACCACTAACGCTTACGTTGTATCGCTGATTGGGGGTAATTTGCTGGCAGTGTACATCTTTATTCCGTTCTTAAAAACTAACTTAGTAAAATATTTAATTTAGTTCTGTCTTCAGAAGGTAGGTTCCCTAATAACAGCAATTACGAATGCTGTACGTTGAAGTTCAGTGCTAGGGAAATGTTTGGATAGTGTAGCAGTATGCGCTGTATATCGCTTCTATCATCACTAAAGTACTGTAGTCACTGTACAGTTCTCTAGCACTATTTCATTCTCTAAGTATATGGTTACGATTGATTTGCTGGCTAATTTTTGATAAAGTTGAGATACGCAATGTTTGTATCCATGGTAACAGCGGTCTTTAACTTTCAACTTGCTTTTGCTGTACCGCGGCGTACCGTACTCAGCGAGTGAGTCAGTGTACAGTAGTATAAGGCAGAGTCCTGCAATGGAGTGAAAATGCAACCTGAACCCAATTAAATTGTTGATTTTCTAACCCGAAATGAGTGTATTTGCTATACAAACATTGTATCACTACAGAAATTCTTAACTCGAATCCCGATCTCGAGTTGGGTTCAAGTGGGTCTAGGACAATTTGCCGCTGTACAATGTAATAGTATAGGATCGAAACAATATCAATATAGATTTGACATTACGAGGATGAATTGAACACTTTGCAGCGTTCAATCCTATACACCGTAAAATTAATCTAATTCAATTAAGTATCTGTTTTGATATTACGAGGGTTTATAGTACAGTTACAGTATGTGCAGCTTGTGGAATCCGTGTGACCGTCATTAATTTAAGTCTTTTGTTTTTACAGGGACTGTCCTGTCCCCTAATGATCTACGGTACAGTAATGGTCACTGGAACTGTGGGCATGTACTGTACACTGTGAGTTCTTCAGTTACGTCATCATCAGTCAGTCATCGTTATTACGGTACTGTACTCAGTGTACTGTATCATCAGTAATGCCATCAGCTGTCATTTCGCAAAACTCAGCTGTACAGTACATCAGTTACATGATGTCATACAGTACTCCTCATACCAAACAGGTGGAAAAACGAAAGACGGGAGAAAAAATTGGAACGTAATATGTTTTCTATAGACGTTAGGGACTAGTTTGGGATAGGGATATACAAAATTAAGTATTCATTATAAAAACTATGAAAAAGAAGTTGAGCATTCCCTGACGATAACCATACAGTAGACGTAAAACCTTTTTACCTCTATGACTAACTGCACCGAGTGTACTGTAATGTACAGTACTGTACTGTAGCAATAAATTGAAAGTACTGTACTGTACTGTACAGTACTGTACAGTACTGTCCAGTGTTCTGAATTTCTGATACAGTACAGTACAGTACAGTACTGTACAGTAAAGTAATATTGTACTGTACGTAGTATTGTACTGTACACTGTACTGTACAATAATATATATATACTGTACTGTATAATACAGTATAACGAACTAATTTACCGATCTACGGACTCCAGCAGATACTGCAACTTAGCTAACGAAGGTGCGCGCTTGAGCTTATTGCATTTTTTGCTTTACTGTTTAGAAATTAGCATTTCGTAATGTCGGCTAGTGGTAAACAGTGGCTTTCAGAATATGGCTCGGAGTATTCTACAGGTGGCCAAATTGATGGTAAGTTAAGGGAATTTACTAGTCTTGATTATCTAAATGTACATTAATGTAAATAACTTGCTACCATTGATTCTAAATACTGTAATGTACATTGTACAAGTGTGGATATGTTTGCACCGAAGTGTGCTCGAATCCTACGTACAGTAAGGTGTATGTCAGAGCCTCAGAGGTATAAATACGCAATCGATCACGTAGTTTCACCCTGGATATTATGCTTCGATTGGGAACTCATTACACGAATAGAGAATATCAGGATCGAATTCTTCATTTCCAGTTTGGTCATCGCTATGAGACTAGTGTTCTTGGTATACATACGTTGTGGTATACGAGTATGTAACAGTGTGCAGTACAGTATGTTTGTTGTCTGTGCGCAGATGACTTTTAACCCCGCTATTAAACTACAGCACTACCATGGACTACTAGATGCACCTAGATAGTATATCTAGTAATCCATGACTCTAATTAACCTGACTCTACTGTACAGTACAAGTGAGACGTAGATGATAACTGGCTTAAATGATGGCGCATTGAACGACAGTATTGATACCAATAACTTTACTATTTACAGTTAGCTAGCCTTTGCACTATATTAAATTTATTGGCATCAATAAGCCGACTTGGCTGTGCTGCGTGATCATACGAAATCTTAAGACTCTTAAAATACAGCGTAATCCGTATTCATGCAATAATTTTCGTATGTACGTACAAAATTGAGTAATCATACCGCAAAATCATGGTATCGTAGATTTGTGATCCGATTTGTGAAATATTTTGTATAGTCTTAATTAATTGTGAGAGGTAAGATTATTGCATTATTATTACGATCATAAGAGCAGCACCAATATCAGGGAGATCTTATACTGTACCTGGTAATGCGAATGTATGTATGCAGTGTCCATAACGCTCGTAATGAATGAGCATAAGCTAGAAATTAACTATATGGAAGTTACTTTCCTGCATTATAGTAGTAATTATCGACATCATGTACTGTCGCAGGTACTTACAGTATGACAGTTCCTGGAACTCTGTAAATAATTGGTATGGTTGACGATTGAAATGGACTATTAATAGTATGAAATGCAACTAAAGTGCTTCTGTACGAATTTGTACAATTCAAATCCTACTAATGCTTAAGCATGCTTAGATTGGAAGGCTCCATATTTTAGGGGCTGTATATTGGATGTTGTGTGGTCGAGAGATTATACTGCGATAGACGATGATCAGTAGACATAATTTGTTCTGATATTGTTTTTCTACTAATTTGGGAAGAAATGGTATTGGCTCTCATTGAGAGCTGTGCGGATAAATCTGAATCTGTCCGTGCAACGGTTGCTGATTCACTGACTTCTATCGGAAAGAAAAAGCCTGCCTTAGTTTTAAATTTCTGCAAGGTCTTCCTAGAGAAAAGGACCAAGGTAATAGGTGTTACCTCATGATTGTGCAGTAGGTACTATTATGAAGATGAAGCAACTGAAACTGTTACTGTATGACTTAAAATACTATATTGTTGTAGCTTCCAGTTATTTAAATACACATCGGTATCTCTAAGGAATGCATACAAAAATAGTTACATCTGTTCATATAAATAGTGTTTGCGTTTTGTAAGGCTGTTACACTTATAACTCTTCTCAACACAATATCGCATAAAACAGCGTAAGAACTTGGCTAATACTATTTTGTAAATGGTAACATTTTTAGTTAGATAAAGGTCATCGAGTTTTACTCTTGGGAGTTATTAAAAGAATTGTTACCGAAACTATCGATACTTTACCATCCCAAGTAGGATGTGACCTAGTTCGGTTGGCCTCGTCTGAAATGACTGCATCAAAGGTAAAACTGGTATCAGTTCTTAAATACTGTATATATTACGGTCAGTGTGCGTATCGGGGATAAGTCCACTATATACTATCATTACTGAAAGGGCACATAGCGATACTACAGTACTAATTTCGGATTTATTGTTACTAAAACTGTAACAATATCATAATTCTATTTTATGTATGAATCTTAAATAGGAAGTCATTGTTGATTGGCAAACTGCAGCTTCCGAGGTTCTCGTTGCTTTAGGTAGTAGATTTGCTAAGGAAGTTATTACAAGTTTATTAGATAAGTTTGGAGCTGGAGCTATTCCACATTATTTTGTTGTTCAAACCCTGGCTAATCTAGCATCAAAGAATGGTAATATAATTAAATTCTAATAAATTTTAGTTACAGTAGTTTTAAAGCTTCAGTCCTATACTTAACAATGGTGCTCTTTTAATATAGCTTATTGCGTCGTTCCTCACTTGAAAGATACTTTTGGAAGATTGTTGCCTATGCTGGGGATGGCAAAATCAGATAATATGAAGTATATATTCTCTTATGGTAAGAAGTTATCTTTGCTTCGCTTTGTGCTCTGGGTATAATATTGATAATGATATCTATTGACGTAGCTCACATGGCTCGCTTGTTCATATGATTTTGATATTTAAATATAGAATATCTTTTATTTTATGTGTTTCTATCCCGTAGCTCTCAATCGATTTTGTGAGAGCATTTCAGAATACGTAGCCAATATTGATAAAGCTCCCGATAAAAAGATATCTTCCGGTATGTACTTTGGTGAGGTTTCGGCGGGTTACGATGTTCTATTTGGCGTATGGTTACAGTCCAAAGATTCGCGGGTAAGAGACTATAGTTCCAATTTATCGTTGATTTAAATGACCGAAATCATATAATGATATTATTAATTGTAGCTTCGTTCGGTCGTTGCCGAAGCGATTGGACAGATGGCACTTATTTTGCCGCGAGATAAAATCGAAGAGCAATCAACAAAATTAATATCTGTTATTGTGTCATTATACCGGAAACATAGCCCAAATGATCACTTATTAATTACAGAGGTAATTCTTAAAATAATACTATGTTTTCTATTTCGCTCAGTGATAAATTTTGGATGATCTCATTACAAGAAACTTCAGAAGTTGTACTTTAATGTGAAAGGATAGTGAATTCTGTGAGTTGTTATTATCATTCTAATCATGCTATTGGTAGTGTCTCTGCAATATATTAGCTGCTCATTTGCAAGTTGGATGTCAGATAGCGGATTCGTTAGCAGATAATGTTATGGCAACATTACATAATCAGGTAAATATTACTTATTATATGGACGATTTTTAGCGCGATCATTATTCTCTTTTATTGATCTTAAATTTTATAATCCTTAGGCATGTGCATTTGCTGATTTTGGTAGCACTAGTTCTATTAAAAATCATAATGAAGTACTAAGGTGCTTTGCTGTCATTGGTAAGCATAGGCATTATTATTTTACTTTACGTTAAATATTACCTTAGTAACTATTGCACAAGGGTATATCTTCGCTATTAAGATTTCCACGGCTTCTTCTTCAGGTCCTATTACTTCCAATCGTTTAATACAATTTTTATTGAACAAATTGGAAAATCCTAATGATAAGATCAGAATCGGAACGCTTAACATCTTGAAACATATTATTAATGCATCTGGTAATAGCTGACACTCAATGATAGAAATTTGAGAGCATTTCGTCTTTATTCTGCAGTCTAGGGTGAAATTTTAATCTGCAAATTTGTATTCACTGTAGGTATTCCACAAGATAAAATGGCACTAATCATTAGTGGTCTTAAAATTTTGTTAAATGAAACGAACAATAAGGTGGCAAAGAAAATTATTACCGTAAAATTTTTTTGATTATTTACTTTTACTTTCTATTTATACTGTAGGTTAAGCAGACACTTGCACAAGTGATCAGTGCAATGGCTCATCATGAATATTTACATTTGGAGGGTGGTCAGCTTCTGGTTGAATTCATTGTTAGGCAGTGCGCGCTAACAGACAATCTACAGGTACACTTTAATACTTGTCTGTCTAATACTGTTATACTTCACAATTTATCAATTTTTATTTCAATAAGGCACTATTTGATGATTTTGATATAATTTCTTTACAGTGCTGTCTTTCTATCTGTAGTAATAAATCCTAAATATGCGTGTATCTTAATTGGTATTTTTATTGTTCTAAAAATTCGTCCAATCAATTATATGTATTACAGAAGACTACTAAACCTGACTCTGAAGTTTCCAACGCCTCTCTACGAGTAATGTGTGGAAATGTTCTACAGTTAGTAACCACAACTGTGGCTCACATGCAAAACGTAAGTATTTGGATGCGAAATTTTTTGTATCACTATGAATTTTATTACAATAATTTACCAAATTGTTAAAGTAAATTTGGTGATTTTAGGTTTTATGGCCCACCCTAATAGAATTTATTGTTCCAATGAAGTATAATAATGCTGCCGGTGTTATTTGTCGTAGCGCGGCATTTTTAGCTAACAAAAAACAATCGGAGGAATCAAGTGATTATTACCTTGATTACGCATGTCAAGGTGGAACTTTATTTTCGTTTAATTAAATTTCAGTGTTATGATTTATTTTCAGCTATATCTTGGCTGACAATATAATACGAGTATATGTATGGACTCCTGGATACACCGTATATCTAAATGTTCATGGCTGTTGTATTACATATTATGAAGCAATATAATTAATGTAATGAACCATGTTGTATTGCTACCGTACCCTAGTTTAGCTGAGCTTAAATCGCAATATACAAGGCTATAAAATAGTTCGAAATAGAATAGCTGTAATTTTAAGCTTTAGTAAATTATATATTTTACGCAGAATACAGTGTATCCCAATTACACATTTGTTAATACCATTTAAATAATAACTGTTGGTACTTTTTATTATCTAATTTTAGTAAATCTACCAAAGCCTGTCGCTTTATTGGCTAGATTATTAGTAAGTTTTAGTATTTATAATTATTAAATTTGTAATATCAAAATTTTTAATCATTGCTGAGAATTAATGTGCCGTACAATATCGTTGAAACTTGGCTTTATTGTCAAGGTTTTGGCTGGATTACCAAAACGGTCGTGTGGTCAAGGATTACACGTGCTAAATTTTTTGCTTGCGATGTCGAGCAATATTAACGAAGCCTTTGCAGATATGTGGGATAGCGTACTCCCAAGAATGATTACATACTTGGAAGGTATAAGATATCACAGTTTGATAATTACTGTTGTATACTAGTTTGGATAGTTGTTGGTTAACAGATTGTATCACTTTAGAACATTCAGCTGGAGATGACTGGAATCAGAAAGCTTGGGAAGATCTTGTGTTGAAGGTAATAAAATAAACAAGTTAAATTAAGCTCTCCAGTTAACTTATACCTGACTCTAGATATAAACTAAAATAAATAATTATGGACTTTTTTTGTTTTTGATTTATTAGTTACTAACAAAATCTTTGGAGGAAGTGGAAGATGAAAATTGGACTTGTGAGTTAGGCTCAGAAATGAGTTCACAAATAGTCATGTATGAGAGTTTTCCTGAAGAAAAGGCTAGTAAAGTAATATTAAAATCATATTATTCAGTAGTACAATATTACCGGCGTGATAAAAGCATTTTTTTGTCTTATAAAACAATGAAGATACTGTGATCTGATTAAATTTTAACAAGAGTGCAAATCTAATATCAAATTAATTTTATTTGTTTATAGAATTTTCTGTATAAGTGTATAGGAGTAATTCTTCGTAAAACAACCAACAAAGCTTATGTAGAGAAGCAGTTAAACATTATGTTTTCTAGTGTTAATCATACTAATCAAACAGAAAGAGAGGTATGTTCTATAGGAACTTCTTGTGTGCTGCACCTAATTTGTAGTATACTAAGGATTGACAGTAGATTTTCTGAATCCATTATTATAGGGCTGTGCAATGGGAATGGGATTTGCATCGTATGCCCACTTAGATGCAGTTTTACAAAAGCTTGAAGATGTGCCTAAACGTGAAATGGTCAGAAAGTCCACCGGTTTTATGGGCTTTATGAAAGTGCGGATTCTAATGCGCTGGCATTTAAGATAGAATATTATTAGTTCAGCGTAGTCTTGACAGATGGATTTGAAAGTACTTTATTGTCACTTTGTAGGATAAGTCTGAAGCTGATGTAGAAAGGATAAAAAGTACTCTCATACTTAGTTACGGTTACGTAACCTATTATTCTCCAGTAAAGTAAGTTCTTAATACCTTAAAGATACTTTGTTACTGTACTATTGCGTGCTAGTAACTATGATTAACCCGATTTATATACGTATGTTATAGTCTGATAACATCAAGAATTGAAGTAAATATACTTCGAGTGATTAATCCTCAGTTTGGAAATGTAAAGGTAATAAACGTCGTTGACCATCTATTTTTATTGTTCTATAAGATCTGTAGTGTTACACCACCAGTTACAGCTCGTACTTTCATTCCATTTCTTCCTAATAAAGTTAAGTTTAATTTTGACTATTTTCAGGATTCCACCGTAAAACAGAATCTCATTCGATCAGTAGCATTAATTGGCCATGCTTTACACAAAGATCATCTAAAATTTAGTTTTACATTTAATAAAAGAGATGATCTTATAACACATATGCTGGTAATTCGATTGATGTGATTATATTACATAGAAATCTTTTACTCGTTTAAATATAGCTTACGGTTTTGAATCTATAGAACTACATCAAAGCCGAGCATGGAACTGCCATATCAACGGAAACAAGGAGTCTTGCTATGGATGCTTGCACAACCTTAATGTATCCAAGTTTTATCTGTACTCTAGTTTCGGTTTTTAAACTTTAGTGTTTAAAGTTTTACGTTTCCGTTAGCCAATTCACCTTAACATAAAAAAATATTTAGTAAACTTGAACCGAATCTTGACGAGAGTCTTATAGGGACTTTGGTGAAAATTTGTGCTAAGAGCATTTATTGTGTCAACACCTTGGACAATGTAAGAACATTGGAACTATCTTTAATATATAAAATATAGAGACCAATAAAACAAATTCTCATACAATAATAGGCAGAAGAACTGGCGGAAAAAACACTAAGGAGTTTTAACTTGATGTTATGCGAAATTTTGGAAAACGGAAGTCCCTCAAATGATTTCTTTATGCTTTATAAAGTACATAAGAAAATCTATAGTCCAGTTAGTTATGACTTGATTATATTGTTAATATCAAAATTCATAAACGATTTTACAGCACTTGGAGAATTGGATATATTCTAGTCACGAAAGGGAGAGGGACAGATCCCTTCAATCTTTGGCTGCAATTCTTGAATGGTATTTGGAACATGCAGAGTCGGAAAACAAAGATGTAACTGTTGTGATAAATAAATATTCTCACTGAGAATTTGTATCAGTTATTTATCATCTACCCTTTACTACTTTATTACTGAGATGATTGCAGGTTACATGTAACGTATTTTCCCCTGTAACCATCCCATTATTATTGCTTAGGGTTCATCTAAAAAATTTGGAGCTGTCATAGCACGCTTGGCCCCTCGCGTGGCCGACCCGCTTGCGTCTGTTAGAGAATCCACTATTACCTGTACACAACTGATATTCCGCATCGAAATGCAATTTCAAGGTTTGATATATTACTTACCCGGTTTTAATTAGTTTTTGTATGATCCCGTCATTAGAGTACAAATTGAAAGGGTTTGTGAATTCTGTTTTAACAACGTTTCAGCAATTGGCAACGATGAATTGGTTGATGCAATGGATTTATTAATAGAGAGATGTAGAAAGGAAGAATCAACTGTCATTACCTCGGTAGTAAATGACTACGGCAAGGTAATGGATCTATAACAACAGTTTCATGATCGCTGCGTGAGCATGAAGTTAAACTGCAAATTTTAATGTTTAATAGTACTATTTTTATGTATCATTACCAGATATTAGCTAAGAAGATTCGTGAAGTTGAATTAGTAGAATTCATCTATTTGTTGTTGGATGGTCTGGTAGATTGTCAGTTACAGAGTGCAGTAGGTACTAGTGCGATCATTAATGCTGTTCTTCGATCCAGAGCTGGAGGCTTAAGAGAAGAGGTAAAATAATTTTTAGCTATATAGAAGCATTATGAATTATCAATATATATGAGAGTATTAATTTGTTGATTGGAAGATGTGAGGCGTGAAAGTAGTGGTTGATTTTCACAAGTTCTTTATTGTTGTATGCCAAGGTTCCAAAACTGATTCAGAAACTGCGTGAAAAACTAGAAGAAATTGATGATGATAAATGTATTAAAGGAGTTCGTAAATCATTCCGAGTTTTGGCATCTTACCATTTATTACCAGTTTTAGATGTTTTGCTCAACTTCAAGTTGCCTTATGATCGGTATACTATTTTATTTAGGAATTGTTTTTACTTAATAGATCTAAATGCTACAGTATTATTTTCTATAATATCGATGTAACTGCAGTAATATGATATGTACATCGCTTTTAAAAATAGTTATGTAGTTGGGCTTTGGAAGACCTTGGCTGAAGAAGAGGAGATGTTAGGTAGCGTCTGTTCTCATTTTATGGATTTACTCAAAAAAAGCTTTCCTTTTCAAGAGCAAGGGCGAAAGGAAATAATTAAAATTGCCACTGAACAACCTATTGCTGTAAGTCTTGGATACACTGTGCTTAGAACTTCTAATTTCGAATCCTATATGTCTGTGTTAGAGAAATTAACAGCATAACGTTAATAATTGTATATTCAGATTGCTTGCGGTTTTAATGAGCTATTCAAAGTGCCGACTGCTGTATCCATTGCAAAGCGGGACTATCCCCAGTTATTTTCAACTTTGTTACTGCGAATTGGCACTTGCATAAAAGTTCAACAAGTAAAAGAGAAAAGCTCTAAAGCACATGGAGTTAGTCCCATGCGGTATGATTATAATTGGCTACAATATTTCTAACATGTTTTTGCCAAATTATTTAAATTTTCCGTTTTGCAAATACTTATTATTATACTGAGATGCAACATATCCTAATCAGATAATTTGAATGTTGATGATATTGATACAGGACAGCGATATCGGCTTTTCAAGGTTTTCTTACATTATCAGAAGAATTTGAGGTTCTTGATGAAATTGACAAAGAGGACGGCTGGGATAAAATACGTCATGATAAAGCATATTCGGATGCTATTGTGGCTATAACTAGGTCGTTAATTTAAGAACCTAGACTAGCATTACCGATTTTTTACTGATAAAGCTGTTTTTACTCTAGTGCTTTATGTAAATCCATATTACTAAGACCACATATCGCCAAGGTAATAGCATACTTGATGCCAGCATTGAACGGACCTTATGACAATCAAAGGTTAATTGTGGCAGCTTTTTTCGCTGAGGTATGATACTGTGATTACATGTAGTTCTGTAGTAGAGATTGTGCATAAAGTCTGTTGTACTTCGGATTAATTATGTAACTTGATCATTAACGATATTGAATAGATTATAAATCAACGTTGTTTGGGAGAGCTTGGGCAGGCTGATATTATTATAAATTGTTTACTAAGCCGGCTGGTAGATGACAACTTAAAAGTTCGCATGTTTTGTGTTCGCGGTTTGGGTAATGTAGCCAGCGTTGGAAGGGAGCACGTACGAATACTTTATTTCTGTATTTAGTAAACAATTTTACTAGATTATTGACGCTATTTGAAATGCGTATATGTTTGAAATATCTATTTTCCAGTTCAATGCATACTCTACCACTGTTCTTTCCGCGTTGATGTCTGGTATTGACGAAAAAGACGACTCTGACTGCGATATAACTCTCGAAGCTATGTCTGGACTTAGTAGAATAATTGCTGAACTTGATGAAACTCATGTTAGATCGATACTAATTAATATCTCATTAAAGATTCGGCCATGTTTTGAGAAGGTAATTTGGAAAAGTTCATATAAAACGTGTTCATGATATTGCGTAACTATGTAGTATCGTAATTTCTTGGTACTTCAGAGCGAAGAAAAAGTCAGAGCGAGAGCATTTACGCTATTTGGCCATTTGTCGAAATTTGGTGATGGTCCTTCAAAAGTACCGTTTCTGGAACAAATTCAAGCCAATATGGTGTCATTATTGTTACATCTAAATGAGAATGAAGCTAGTGTGGTCAAGGTTGTACTATTTATTTATTATCATTTGTTATATTCCATGTTATTGGACATCGCACAGCATACTAAGATTTTACACTGCTTAATTTGCAGGCGTGTAAATTTACATTAAGAAGTATTGGACCACTGCTTAACAATTCTGAGATTGACTATATGTTTCAGAAGTATCTATTAGATGACGCAACTTTGTATTATGGAGAATTTTTAAATAATTTGACACGTTTACTGGTAATATTTACAAGCTATATTACAACACACTGTATATATATATTTCTTAAATTCGGATTATTTTCAATTAACCTTCTTGATAGAAAATTTCGTCCTGTGCTTTTTATATGACAATGTAAAACTGTTATACAGATCTCGGAATACAAAGAAAAAACAAGCCTTTACGTAACTGGAGCAACCAGATTTTTTAAAAGTGAATGGGAAGAGATAAGAGCTAATGCAGCCACTTTGATTGGTATAGAAATTTTAGTGTAGAATATACATAAAAGCGTTGAATGGTTAAGCTTGCTAAAAATGTATAGTATTGCATGTTTATTCATACGTAATAAAATACTCTGTTGCAGGTTATTATTTGGGTAACTTACCTAATGAACTTCGTGAGACTATCTCTAAGGAACATGTTTGCAACGGTGAATATTAATTACTGATGTATGATATCTGTTTTCGATGTTCACGTTGCATTTTTAATTCTTAATTTTTTCTTACAGCTTTGAAAATGCTTCTTAAAGATACTTCCCCTATGGTAAGATCTGGATGTGCTACGGCGACAAGTTTATTGTATGAATATTAAGGATGAAGGAATTTGACAAATCTCTAATGAAACTGATAATAATTAATTGTATATGTGGCTTTTTGAATCAGTTGTATGTTCTGTACTCTATTAAAATTCTATTATGTTTCACCTTCTGATCCTTGGTACACTATTCTAAAGTAAAAGTATTAGCTTTTTCCTGAATGGAATTCCTTCACGCTATTGAATGTAAAGTTAGATTAATTCGAGATATAAATTACTATGATTATATTTTTATTCTTAGTATAGTCTATAAAATTAAATTAGTAAGCAATAACTGCTACTTCTTATAAATTCATGAAATAATGTAATGAGATATAAAGTGTATACTTTCACTTACCATTGGCGTTGATAGAATTGAATAAGCACCTCATATTTCTTTTGCTATTCAAGTTCATGCACAGTGGGGTGAGTAGTTAATTGCGAATTAACACGATTGTCTTAGAAATGTTCTCTGACTTAAATTAGCTAAAACGGGGATTTTCCCGCAAGTGATTTACATTAATAAGACTAGTAGGTGTCTAAGTAGTTTTAATTAAGAATTGACGTAAAGTACATTTTGTTTATTTGGATTATATTTCTTTTCCGTAACATTATGTTAAGTGATAAATTTGTAACTTGTGAAATGAAAAAACTATTTTAATGAACTATAATCATGAAGTGATGATATAAAAGATTTTATCACAAAAAATTCATTGTTATGTAAGAAATAGCTCTATGATAGGGGCTGAGTGATGAAAAGTTAATAATTATATATACACACTCGTATAATGTCAGTGGAATTGGAACTGTGCTGTGTATGATATATGATTTAGTTAATTAATTATATTTAATATACAGTACAGTATATTATGCAGTATATACAGTATTTTTGGATGGGGTTCCATCTGCCTGTCTGTCCGCTACGGTTGGCCATTGACCAATGACCATTCTACTGTATTTTTCACGAATGTTATGCTTACTTGAATATCGCCAAGATATCCATGATCCATGTCATATCACATACACACATACACACACATATGTCACCAGGAACCACTAAACCCTCTCCTGCTACACCATTTTTAATTCTATTTACCTTTACAATTTTGAAAAATCGAAATTTTGATTGAGGGGCATGAAAGTAAGTTTATATGCTAACACTACTGTACAGTACAGTGATCAGTATGGGTCTGAGGCTAACAATCACTCTTATCCTATTTATACCAGGCATGCGCATACTAGTCAACTCCAGGTTACAAGGCGCGCCATTCTTTAAATTTCCTGCAGCAGTAAACAAGTAGTAAATACAGTACAGTACAGTACAGTACTATAGCCTGCACTTGTAGAGTTATAAAAAGGTCCGTGGTACGTACTGTACGCGTATTCGATATGCTGTACAAGCATTTCTGTTTCAATATTTGGAGTCGTGACTATGATGATTTATTTCATTGCGTAGAAATTAGAGTACGTTTAGTTTAGTGCATTTTGCAAATTTACTAGTAAGCATTTTGCAGCATGAGAAGTAAGAACAGCTTTAAGTGTTTTTACTAAACTTTGTTCAGGATACAGTATATTGTCCATTGCGTTTACAGTCGCCACAAGCCACCATTGAAACAACAGACGACAACCGCTCATTTCCGTTCAACGCCAGTTTCATGGATTCACATCCGGTTCTGGAGGATGTCCAACTGACGCCCCTTATTGAGAAATTAGGTTGGTTACTAAAACTCGAAGTTACTTGTACATTATTTTATGTGTTAGTATATATATATATATACACTCCAAAGAATCTATGCTACTGTATTGTATAGAGCTGAATGACTAGAGTGTGAAAATTGTACAGTTGTACTCGTACATCGAGTATACAGCTATCAACCTTGCTCTGGTTTCAGTGTAATACAGTATTAGCTAATTAATCCTCATAGCTCACGTGAAATAGATTCACATTTTGCTGTAGCAATGCTGACAGTGGCAGTACTGTACACGCAGAGTTACACTATACCATATGATATATAGATAGATAGTACATAATATCATAGGTATTAATTTAATGTACTTAACTGTGATACCCTTCGATATAGTACATCCTTTGCAAGAGGTTCGCCTCCGAGCCCTGAAGAATCTACATTTTAAGCTGGAGAATGGGTTTATACTTATTGAGGATTTGTTACATGAACGCCAATTAGTTGTAAATTTATTGCAATGGTTCAACGTGCAGTCTACGTCTCTATTAGCAAAAGAAAACTTAATTTTACTGGAGAAATTATCACAGGTAATGTTGTCGGAATAGGGTAAAGCATAGTGGATTCACTCGCGTTGATATTGTGCAAATGGAAACCAGTTACACCCACTTATGAACTGAAATTGTTTTATGTATGCTTCTTGACGTATTAATCAAAAATTGTGGTGTTATCTTTTTGCTATAGCATGATCCAGGCATTGATACATTGAAGTCGATAGGTGCAGTTGAATTCCTTAATCAATTAAAGTTGGAGATTGGGATTCAGTTTCATCAAGTCATCGACAATATTTTACATAATATAAGTTCTCGTGTTTGTTCTCAGGTACTTTTTTCATAGAACAGTAGATCTATTTTAACCTTTATAATCCCTAATGATATTAACAGTAGTTGAAAGATAAAACATATTGCTTTTGCAAGTAATGTTCTAGTATTATGGACAGTCATTGAATGTCCACATTTCAATTGTTGTCTTTCTACTTTTTTATTTGGTTCTAACTTTAGCCCAATCTTTCCGTGCGTGAGCCAAACCCGAGAAGTCATAATCAAGCTGATGTCAAGAATAATCAAAAATTCATACATCATGGTCCACGATTGCCAGATGCTACTGGAATGCTGACTACTGTCAACCTACCGAAGCAACTTTACAAGGTCGCTAAAGAAGATAAATTACCAGACAGCAAGAATCGTAGTACTATATCGGCTCCATTACTGGTCAACGATTCATTTCATGAATCATTCACTCAAGAGACACAGCACTTCGAACCTAGGGACATCAATCGAGCTAGTGAGTTCTCAATTATGTGTGAAATACTCTCCATAAATTTTCTGATGCGCGATAAGTTATTACGTTAAAAGGATGATTCACGACCGGATTATCGAATAATTTCACATCTGTTTTTAGGGTTACTATCCTAATTTATTACTATTATTGTGTTCAGATTTTATGAAGAAACGAAGTAATGAATTAGCCATAATCACCTTCCCTTGGATTCATTTATATAGTAGTGATGAACACGTTTTAGCAACTACTCACAGGTAATAAAGCAATAATTGTTGAGATATGGGTGTAAAATGGTAGTGTAATACTTGCGTGTAAGTATTTCTGTATCATTAATCATTTACATTTATATGTGAATAAACATTATTGTCGTTAGTCGACTCCGAAGCCGAGACCCATCTTTAGCAGATAAATCCTGCCAGTTTTTAAGTGATGTTTTATTTAAAGACTTTCCAGCTGAAATTTTCATCCAAAGACCCGCTATAATTACGGTATGAAATTGTTCCCGTTGTCTATGCTAATCTTATGTGATGATTCATGAATAAAATTTAGTTATCGTAGCTTTTATTAAGCAACAACCATAACGAAAGATAAATTATAATTAATTTTGATTGACTCATTTACTGGTAAAATTAATTTAATTTTAATAGGATCTACTTGATTTAACCCAAGCTTTGTCCAGTCAAGCTAAGACCTTACCAGTTCAATCTGTTAGATGCCTAAAAGAACTCTGCGTTTATCTTGTTCAACGTATTGGCTTCTATCGTAGCACTTCTACTTATCAGGCTTATGGAGGAGCAGGTACGTTATTATATGAGGAATGCTATTTGACTGAATTGAAGCTCTCGTCGTTTCGTTCTTCGTAACTCTATTTCTAATGTTCTTTGAATCTTTTCATTAACTGTAGTTTGCAATTAAATCTTTATGATAACATTTAGCTTGTTCGGTTATTATGAACTTTAGGTCATACGGTTTCTAATTCTCGCAGCGTTATTAGCAAATCAATGTCGTCACGTGACTCGCCTAGTGACGGTGAAGATGGCAGTTGTATATCTAGCTTTACTAAGTATGTTCAGTGATTGAAATAGTACGGTATTATCTAACCTAATTGTATCTATCAGCAATTTGAATTAAGTATCTTAGACAACTTTTTCAATTGAAGTATTACTAGCGAAATTTCCGAGTACAGAAATAAAGGTGACATAGATGACAATTGTGGTCGATCATTGCAACACTTGAGATCTCGACAATGGACGCTGCCATACTTTTGCACGATGGTAATGACTCACACAATTCCTTTACTAAAGGGATTTGTTGGATATAGTGGTTGGATCAATGTTCCTTCGCAGGAAGTACTTAGCCTCCTGTATGATATATCCCGTATAATTGATTTATCGATGCCTGATGAGTTATGGACAGATAATTCGATCATAAAAAATGTGGTCCGTATTTATAATGATTTGGTCGCTATATACTCGAAATTTAGCACTTGTAAATTAGGGTTTATTTGTTTGTATATATTTTACAGGCAGATGATTTACTACGAGTGTTCGACATGTTTGCTGAGGTTCTACAGTTCTATTACCACTTAATATATGATGAAGTAGACGAGTCCCAGGGGCACACTAATCAACGACATGAATTAGAAGATAATGTTGTTATGTGGGCTAATATTGGAGCTTTGGCTGTGAGAATTGTGGATCGTACAGTTCCTGTGGAGTTAGTAAGTATAATCAGTATTGGCTACGGTAATTGATGATGAGCTGAGCTCATACTGATGATTTTATTATCGTGAAATACTACAACTCAGCTTCTACGGCTAACTTAGATTCACCTTGCAGGCTAACCGAGTTATTCCAAGTAGCATGAAAACTATTTTCTCCTTACTGTGTATGGAATACGGATTTAATTCTCTATATCCTGATTACGTGACTACCGTAAGGAAATTCTTGTCTGCCTGTGATACCAAAGCATATGAGGTTGGTTCAGTAAAAGGTGCTAATTTAAATGAAAAGAGTATCACTTATAATTTTTCGATTGTTACCTTCATATTCTAGATTTACTGTGATTTTTCGCATATCTTACGATCATTCCATGCTGCTTCTATGGTCATACATACAAAAAAGGTTTGATTTATTGGTCGTAGTATTTTATATAATTCTATATAAGCATTGCAATCTGCACTTTAAAGCTTTGCACATTTTATTTTTAAACTTTCATTTAGGAATTCGATGAGCAGTTTTTTATTTCGGCGCTTGAATCTTTGCCGGGATTATTTTATCACGATTCTGCTTCGCTACTTCGTGTTTTAGTACATAGTATCATGGATGTGTTAGTATCCCCTTCAATGAAAGGAATTTATGTTGTTGCTGACTCATATCGCTAAGCTATAAAACTATGAAATTTGTTTCCAAAGCACTTATTTGTTTGGGCTATTAGTCATTCTAGGGATTGTAATAAATCGTCGGTGAGTTTAAGCCGCAATTTGCTATTGAAATTATTATCACATCCCTTATCCGATGTTAGGAAAAATACATACCGTTGTTGTACTGAAATTGTGAAGGTATCATACATCTATGCTTTGGATTTTATGCAGTCAAGCTTAGATACGTTAATAAAAACCTAGGAACTAATTGTATTAAATTTTTTTGATTATATAAATTTATCATTTACTAAATATCACAATCAGCGCGCATTGGGCGATGGCCAAGTTGCTACCACGAGTGCTAAAGCCTGTGGAAATTTAACTTTCCTACTCAATGATATTATTTTACGCCAATTATCACTGTATGGTCTGTACGACGAAAATGATGAAGTATGTCATTTCCAATATTCTATAGTATCTAGCGAATTTTATGATTGTTACAGTTTCGGTTACTATATTACAATTTATGATCTGTTAAAATTTTAATTGAAATTGACGTCGTTGTTGAAAGATCGATTCTGATTAGCATTGACGAATTTGTTATGAACTAGGTATCCGCCAGTGCTAGAGAAATCATGATCACATTCTTTCAAGGACGATACTTAATGCCTGAAACTATGTGGTCTGATTACTTATCGAATATTCACGACCTGTTTCCTTTTATTCAGGTATATTTGATCCAGCAAAATTATATTAGTATAACTTAGTTTAAGCGAAATTACAATTGATAGGGCTACGCATGTAGAGATTCGAAATTTACCGATTGTCTGCTATCCGTAATTGAAAACTCCGGTGTTAAATTGGTTAATACGTCTCATCAAATGCATGAGAATGTTTTCAAAATAAGAGGTTATCTTCGTTCTCTGTTTTGTACGGATGAAAGGTAGGTCGAAATGGCACTAGAAGTAAGTCTTATCGGATTCATTTTAGTTAACTTTTGCCTGTTGGATCTGATTGACCGTAGCTTAAGAGAAATGGCTTCGAATAAAATAAGAAATATTTTGGAGGCAGATAGCTTATTCGGTCGTGAGAATTTTCAAACCTTAAACTTGACTGAGACTGACTTGCCGCATTTTAAAGATTTATTTGAAGTTGATGAAAGTGATGACGAGGTTTTTAGCGAATCTTCAATACAATCTATCTTCCAGGTATGACATCTTTTTTTGGTTGTCAGATAGGCCTATTAATTATACGCGCAAAGTCCTTTTTAACGAAATATATATAACGATGTTGATTTGTTGCATGTGTTTATAAGGCCGATAGCGTTTTGCAACTTTGGTCAATTATTACATCAAAAGAGACGGAGATTTCTTTAAAGAAATTGGCTCTTGAACAATTAGCTACTTCACTCACAGGTATATTACAAGTATTTTAACTATATCAACGCTAACTTTAATGATGCAGTTGCTATTTTTTGGATACAACAGTAATTCCCGTTTTGGTATAATTTCTGTAGATAGTTACATTTGTGACTTGTTAATAAATCGAAATGCTACGGAAGATATTGTCAACATCATCATGGAAGGTCAGGAGAGAAGTGATACTGAAAATAGTATGGAAACTGTTGTCTTGTTACCTTTCGCTTTAAGAGCATTGCATCGCTTATTGCGGTGGGATGAAAAGAACCGACTTCGAATGGCGTATGATTATGATGCATATAGGATGCTACTGAGATGTAAGCAAACTTATATACTTAACGTTGACTTATTGCGTTAAGTCTCTTTCAGCTCTAAATTTTACCTTCATAGGTATTATAGCATCTGAAAAAAGTAGTAGCTCGTATCTTAATGCCGTTCATGCATTAGTCTACTTACTTTTTGATGAAGTATCTCCCAGTAGAGTTTCTGTCTGGTAAGTCATTGATATGTAGATTATAATAGAAACGAGTTTCAGCTGCATTAACGTTATTAGCTGTATGTCCTGTTACAATTTTGTGCTTTAATGATCTAAAAGTTATCTAAAATTGTTAAACATTTATTGATTATTCGCTCAGGATATCAGATGATTCCGAGAAGCATAAAATACGCGATTTTCGATTTCCAAGGCGTTTATCTTCCAGGTGAGTTATGTTTAATGAACAGATTCTTGAGCGAAAAAAGCACTTGTATATCTGGTGCTTATTGCTTAGGTGTACGTTGTATTTTATGTATGTATTTAGGATGTCTTTATTAGCGCGGTATCCGACGTATGAATGTAAGAATCCATATAAGGTTCAGCAGTTATCATATGCGGAAAATCTATATAGTGAACCGTCACAGACTTCCCTAAAATTGGGATGGAGTATTTATGTAGCTAATAATGTTGAAGACTTAATTAAGAAACCACAAGCCATTGAAACTGACAAGCTATCAGCTATTCCTGGATCCAACTTATGTGATGAAAGGTATAGTTGTTTGAGTTAAATACAGCAAGCGTATTACGTTTCCTAAAAGCGCTACCAACCTTTTCTGAAAATAGTTTGCCCTATTCCCGGCTAGCAAGGAAAGACAACTGTATACTTCTTGCAAGTCACCCTAACTATCGTATAGATTCACTTTTAAGCGATATAGAGAATGCGGTCAGCCACCATGAAGTTCTCTATAAATTAAGTAAAATCTCTAAATATTTAAGACTCAACTGGAATTTAGGCATCGAGTCTGCGAGCAGTACGGTAATAGATTTTGATAGTAATTCATTTGGTGACAGTGCTAATACGCGTAAATTGCTAAAGGTGAAATGGTTTAAAAGCTTCAGCAGGTATAAATCTTAGTTTGTAACATTCAATAAAGGATATCGCTTACAGGTTAAAAATTTATACCTTTTTTCAGGTTTTTAAGTGTTCCGCCTTCTAGTACTGATGACCAAAATCTTTTGGCTGCGTTTTTTAATTTCATTGCAATGCTCATCAAAAATAGCCCACAAGTTTACTGCTCCGATCTTGTCAATGATGCTGTCCATTATTTAATAGATCCTAAAATGCTATGCGTCAAAATCTTAAAGACAATGAATAATTTCATTGATACTGATCCTAATTTTAAAGGTGAACATAACATCGATACCAACAGGTAAAAATTTGGGGGAACTAATTCGCCGAAAGGCAAGATGTTAATTACAATCTCTTTCCTACAGTATAATTTAGACGAAAGTTAGGTAGCATCACAACTTCTTGCTTGCTTACTTCGATACTTATGACATTGTATATGACCTACCTTATAGACGGCTATACAAAGAACTGCTAGGATTCATCAATATAACTTTACAATATTTACCCAGCGAATCGTGGTAAGAAAGTACGCGTTAAAATATGATGTTTCATTTCTTACAACTGACAAATCGTTTGCCTATAAAGGTCAATTAGACAGGCTCAATGTGGCGAATTAGCTAGCGTGCTAATTACTAAATTAGAAATTGGCAACTCTCTTAATTTTTACGATTTATGGCCCATACAGATGATACTTGACTGCTTAATTCACATCCTTGCTAGGTATTATAGTGAAGGCTTTTGTTTACATAAATGATCATGTAGTAATTTTGATTTGTGTAACGTCAAAGACCGTGCTGGAGTTCTGGTTGCAACACAATGGAACCTTTTCCCCTTTGTGTGAAGTTATTGGCCTCTCTTTTACAGGTTAGAACTTTGCAACTCTTCCATAAATTGAAAGTTTCAGTTACGAATTTACATAGTATATTCATTATGATTAAATATACTTGATTGTAATTGCTTTAAATTTCTATTTGATACCTTCGAAGATCATTGTTTCTTTCCATGGCGAATATGGGCAATTTGTATATTCATTCATGGGTAAAGGAGTTACAAGAAGAGTTGCATTATGCTTAAGGCATTTAATGCATGAAATGCAACAGCTGATGCCAGATACGGTTAGTGGTGTAAGTACTTGTAATAATTAACGAAATCATTAATGTGGCTTTATTCGATTCCTCTGTCAGGATATTACGAGTTACTGGTTGTGCTTTGAAACTAAAGAAGAACGTTATGGATTGTCTTGGATATATTCTCTCTGGAGCGATCACGATGCATTGGTAACGTTCTTGAGCAAATAGCTCTCGCTTCTGTATAATACATATTTTTGTTAATAACTTTATAATAGTCGAATTTACGCCGTTTCAACCTAGGTACGATGGTGCGGATTAGGTATAGCAACTGATCTGGTTCTACAACCTGAGGGTCTTAAATTGCTAGATGCATGTTGCCAACATATCGATGGAGGAATCTGGAATGTGTTGTTGACACTGCTACATGATAGCTCAGAATGCAATATTATTAAGTGTCAGGTGATTAATTTTTAGTAAAGGCTATACACTGATCATTAGTTTACTAATTATAGCTACTATAACTGCTAATCTAGGCTGCCGCAATGCTAACAAGTCTCTTAACAGCTACAGACAGCGATCCATGCTCATACCTTAACATAATTGATGAAGAATTGAAGGTTAACAATGACAATTTACCTTTAGAAGAACCATTAAGTTATTAATGACGGTAATATAATGAATTACGTTGTACGGATAGGCAACTAAGAGGGGTTTGTCGGCGTTGCTGATGCTACTGGACCGTATCAATTTTTATCAAACTACTATTACGATTATAAAGAATGTAAATGTCGTAGCTGAAATCAACAAAAATTGCTGTCAAGAGATGCCACCGGATAGCAATTTTAATATCGCATCTGGTATCGACAAAACTGTGTAAGTAAAGTAAACCGCAAATCGAAGAATGCAACATGATTGGGTTTTTTCTAATTTAACCTTAAAAGTAGCCCTTGACTCTTAGTTTGTTAGATGGTATTAAGTAATGGAATTAATATAGTGTACTTAATTCAGGTCTTCTGGGTGCGATGGTGATTTTAAAGAGATATTGTCTCAGAATTGGTACTTGTCTAAAGTGCATGTTGTAGCTGATGTACCTACAAATTCTAAGTTTATCTACGAAATCTGCCGTCTCATGGCGAAGTTAGTGGTATTATGCCCTAGCACCATTGTGAAGGCGCTATATAACGAAGGAGTCCTGTATCAGTTGGCAAAGTGAGTAGTTTATACTATTCATAATACAGTAAATTACACTCACAAATGTTTGTAAAACTCTTGAATGGTCATAAACTTTTTGACGTTGCATTGTGAATATTTATTTATTAGATTGTTGGAGACGAGTGGACTAGACGAGCAGTTAAAGCTGCTTAAAAACCGGATGTATCGGTATGATTAGATTATAATTACAAAGAATCTTTTCTGTTTACAATGTGAAGATTGTAATATTTTTTTGATTGTGCTGAACCGCAGAGAATTCTACGAAATTCGGACTATAATACAGATGTCATCAGAAATCATAAAATTATTTACCTTAGTTTGTAATATCGATCCTAGCATTGGTTGCTATTTCATAAAGCGGAGGATGATAGTTTCAAGTCTTTTTCGTTTTTTAAGTGATAATGCTCAGGAAGAGGTTGCGTTATGTAAGTTCATAGCATCTTGTAAGCTTGTTCACACTTATTAGAACACGTTTCATTTTAATATGTAAACAAACTCGAAATTGGCTCTGATGCTATTCTATCTATAGCTACTAATGTAATGTGCTCATTGACTCGATAGGTAGGGATTGTTATTGCTTTTGGCAAACTATCTTCCAGTTCTTTTCCACTGTTCTATCGGTTGATAGTCAAGAAAATTACGATTGCGCACTGGAAATTTTTAAGAATAACTGGATTCTTTTTAACAGTAAGTAAAGTTAGATTTATATGCGTTCGAAGTATGTTAGGAAATCTGCAATTTCACCGTTGTGATTATCATTCAATACAAATCAATAAAACCGATGTAGATGCCGTTGTGACAATTTTGTCTTCCGAAAAAAGTACCAATTCGCAACGAAATTCGGCCCTAAATTTATTATGTATTATTCTCGCTCGAGAGGGAAAGTATCACTATGAACATTCAAATGGGAATACAGCTTCGTTTACATCTCAAATTATAGAGTTATTAGAGATGGGAGAGGACGAGCCTAGTAAGCTTCAAAAGTCAATAATTCATAAGCCTAATTTAATTCTATTGTCTGCATGGAATTTCTTTATCTAGCTCACGGTATTACTGTGGTGTTTGGCAATTCTAATCATTTTTTTTATTTAACTTAATTAAAGACGAAAGAAAGAATGATGAAATAGGCAATTCTAAAGACGATGCTTTGTCGCACCAAAGTTATAGCATACAACTATGTCACTTATTACTGGATTGTTACGAAGGGGCCAATGTTAGATGTCTCACTCTCACGGATAAGATTCCTTTAATGTCTGCCTTAAAATTGATCCTCGCTTGCAGTCCTCGAGCTAAATATTTCGCTCTACAAAGTATGTGACGATGACATATTCTACATAATCTTTACCTTTATCTAACGTTTGTTTGATAATTACAACTTAGGCGGTTTCCTGGATAGTATAATTGATAGACTGAAACAGTTGCGAGCTCAGCTTTCGATATCTTTCCTCTCTGCTACAAATAAATTCGAAGCCAGAAATAAAGTTCAAGGCAATCTGTTACTAGAAATTTCGCAAATATTAAATATTTGCCGTGGATTAATGTATCGTGATGATTCGACGAAGAATGCTGCTTTATTATGTGGACTGACTGAAGTTCTTTATCGATTATGGCCTTGGTGTTTTGTAGAATCTTCCTTTATGTCATCAGTCTTGGCGATTATGTGTACCTATACTGCTGATTTCGAAAAGGGTATAAATTTATAGATTAACCTGTTCGATCTATCTTATGCTGATAAATGTAATTACTCGTTGTGTAGCTGCCAAATCCTTTGCTATCAATTTTACTGGGAAGGAGTATACCTCAATAGAAACAAATGAAGTAAATTCTTCCTCTAGTAGTTCCCTGGTTTATAATATTCTTAAATTTTTAATGCAATCAAATTGGAAAAAGATGAATACTCCTTTGACATCTTCGAATGAAAGCGCTCTGTTTGCGTTAATATCCAACCTATCATCCTCTGCTGAGTGTAGAAGCATTATGTGGAAGGTACGTGATATATATTAGACGGGACAACTTTAAATTTTCAATGTCATTAACTATTCTAGTTGCAATTCAGGCGAATTTCCTGCAAGCGTTACACCCGCAAAATGTTACGAAACAGTTTATGAAGCATAATGTAGCGCATTTGCGGCTATGGTATAAAATATTAGCGAATTTGTCCTTCTCTAGAGATGGCCAGCAAATGATGATGAAAGTGGAAGGTATACGTACTAAATTTTCAAATTAGATTGTCTGTCTTGGCTCTTATTCGATTCTGATACCCGAAATTCTCTATAATTTTAGGAATAATCCACGATCTTTGCTGCATGACTACCTCTTCTGAATTCACACTTAGGAAGAATGCGTTATTAGTACTCAGAAATATGTGCTTTAATAGCACTCTAAAGGCTCATTTTTGGGCAAATGGTAGTACAGTATATGTCATTATTAGTTTGATTAAAATTTGATTCATAGGCTTATTTTTATATACGTTCTACGTTGCGGCCATAGATGATGTTTTACAATGCTTTTCGAAGACGTTGGTAGCCGAATCAGATGTAATGAAAGAAATTGCGGTCTCTGCCTTGCTTGCGATGATCTATAATTGCCAAAAGGTATTAACTGCAACTTATAGAGTGTTGGGTCATTATCGAAGTATCTTAGCTTGATTGTATGAATTTTAGGCAAAGCTTGCCGTGAAACGACTAGGAATTCTAGACAATCTCGATAACATAATTGCTAGCGAAAAGGACAGCGGTACTTCAGATTAAACATAAGACGTATCGAGTATTTAGGTAATAACTTACTTAAAAGTTATTTTTTACTACATTCAGGTAAGAATGATGCAGTACTGATACGAAATGCGTCGGCATTGTTGGATACTTTGCGTATTGGCTATTAGCAGTCGCCCTTTTATACCGAGTGTCCCAACATCACGAGATAGCGCGATATGGAGAATGAATTGCACAATCGACATCATCGTTTTAAAAGAATTATATTTAATTTGCATGTTAATCTTAAATATTTTCGAATAATGAAATTATGTTATTAATGTAAATAAATGAAAGTATGGAATTGAACACAAAGTCAAACGTTCTTTAGATCAAAACTGTATCTAGTCTTACTTCCTATTAACCTAATTACTCAATGTGGTATACTCGTACAGTGTACTCTGTATCTCGTGTATTAGATGTAGCAGCAATATTATTTTATACTTGCATTAGCGTGACGATTTATAAAAACACTACTGTGTCACGATATTCTTACGGTTTTACAATTTATACGCGATATCATAGTTCACAAATTATCATCTCGCATCTGCTTCATTAGATAGAGATTAGTATATACTTTCAAGACATTGGCAAAACTTATCGATAGTGGCTTGTCATCGCATGCAGTGACCTTAATTTAATACTAAATCGTCTTGCGAACCACTGTTTTAATACTGTAAGAAAGGAACAGAATCTTGTAAGCAAAATTGAAGTTATTCAGTAGCAGATAGAATTAAAATTGCTTATTCTAGTTGAAGTGCGGGCCTAAATGCTACATAAAGTGAAAAACAAATCTCCCTACTACCTAATTTATTATATAACATTAAGATTACACAATGTAAATTTTAATAAAGAGCCTTCACAACCAATTTATTTTAAATGTTAATAAACAGTTCTAAGTAAATCAGTTATTTTAAATTTGTGTTGCCATGTTCCATTTCTGAAAATAACCATTCTAAATGCATCTCATAAATAGCATAAAATTAATCACATTTTTTCACTTAGACGAGTTTAGAAAGCATCACATGAAATTACTGTAAAATAAGTAGCGCCGAATACATCTTTAGTTCATTATCATTCTGCCCAAGAGTTATTACTCTGGCACCGATATAGCGTAGATCAAATGCAATGATAATTGTTTGTTTACCCTTTCGTAAAAAGCAGTCATAAGTATTTACAGTATAGTACTGAAGGAGAGTGCAATCTATCTTGCTGTTCATTTTTTTTACTAAATTCGGAAGCTGGTCATACCATATGCTTTTAACATAAAGAATAAAGGAAATTTTTGTACGAAAACATGTTACTTAGGCTGGTTTAGTTTTTACGAAAATTGATCTTCACTCAAGCTTCTATCTCTAATTTTATAGGGATATGACGGCGGCCCGATTACTTTAACGATATCTTCTTGATGCAGGACTTCGTCTTTCAATAATTTATTCGCCAACTAGAAGAAGGTAAGATTTAAAGCAAGATAGACTATTGTAAATATACAACTATCTAAAAATTAAGCAAGAACGTAATCGTTAAGCAAGTAACCTTTTCCAACTTATCCATATTATCGGTGAGAATTTCTTCCGTTCTAATATATGCTCTGCGAATAAGTTGACTAACTTCCTGTATATTGCACGATAATTGATAAATTACAGATTGTATTAATTACATATTTATTTATATACGTAAGGTAATCACTGTAAAAGGCCGATAGTAAATATGTGAAATCCACTCCCTACTGATTTACCGTATCGATTATATGCGCTAATTTGTCGCTATAAGGCTTTTTTCCCCACTCTCCTGGTTTTTTAATACGGAAGGAGAGATGTCCTATTGTATCATTCATACCACATTCTACAATCTAATAGAAGATGTGGTTGGTAATATACAGAGAAGATATACAGTACACGTAACATGTAACAAAAAAGCTCTAACCTGCTTGTAAGCTAAGTCTGTCACTTTCTTTAAATCATCCTCCGCACCTAAATATTCGAAGAATAAATAATTATTATAAAAGATATGGTATCGGTATGCTCATTTATAGAATATAGTATATTAAAACATAAATACTTTAAGCAACCTGTAGTGATCGTTTTAAATTTTAACATTTCAGCTGCTCTTCCACCAAGGGTCGTACACATAATATCGAAAATCTATAAAGGAATACCTAAGAAGTTAGAAACTGACTAGATCTAAAAGTACTAAAATAAGCTAAATTTAACTAGCCTACGAATTTTAATTAAGTTAAAATAGACCTGTTCTCTTGAATACAACTTCCTATCAGATGGCAAAGACTGTGTATATCCTAAAGCTGATTTTGTACGAGGAGCAATAGACACCTGGAGACCCGCAGCAATCGTTAGTTCAACTATGAACTATTATTAATTACAAATTTTTATTGGAAATATAACATATTACTTTCAAAAGTGGATCCGTATGTTCCAATAGCCAACTGGTTAATGCATGGCCAGCTTCATGAAAGGCAATTACTTTTCTTTCATGCGGAGATATAGAAGCGGATTTCTTTGCCATACCTACATTTAAACAAAAAACTTAGTACAAGTATGCACTTTAAAATAAGTATAATAAGTTACTAATTCAATACAGCAGGTTTTAAGGTCTCACAATCGGGTCTTACCTACTATTACCCTCTCGATCGCGTAATCGAAATTTTTCTTGTCAACAGAAGATTCGCTACTCCTGGCAGCATGCAGCGCAGCTTCGTTACAAATGTTAGCAATGTCAGCGCCTAATACAGTCATTACAAATTGATTGATCATAATTTTACCATAATTTGCACACTATATGCCGTAATATAATAATATAGATGAATATTCAGAAGCATATGTACTACGTCATAAAACGGTAACTCACCGCTCTTGCCTGGTGTTAATTCTGCAAGCCGCTGTGCGTAATGGTCTGGTTTTTTTTTCAGGACATAATTAGATAAATATAGTTTGAAGATATCAATACGTTCACTCATAGTTGGTAAGTCAATTGTAATTGTCCGGTCAAATCGTCCAGGTCGAAGTAATGCCTATGATATAATAAATCAAGCAATATCAAATTACGATGATGTAATTTAAATTGTTCCACTATTAGAAGTAGGTTGGAAAAAGTCTAACCTCATCTAAAATATCGACCCTATTAGTTGATGCTAACACTATAACTCCATCTAAAGACTGCATTCCTAAACGATAGAAATTAATTCATTTAGTATGGATGATAATGACATAAAGGAAGTGTTAGTATTGATATACCATCCATCTCTACCAAAAGCTGGTTGAGAGTATTTTCCTGTTCTCCATGACCTCCCATAGTTTTACTGTTTCATACAACATACACATAGATGGAATCAATCATCAGTGTTAGAAATCTACACTACATCGTTATACAGTATAAAAAATAGGTATAGAATCATGCCTTGAGCGGCGAGCACGGCCAATGGCGTCAACTTCATCTACGTAAATAATGCACGGTGAACGTCCACGAGCTTGTTTGAATAGGTCACGAACTCTTGCTGCTCCAACACCTAAATAAATATACATAAATTACATGTTCAATAAAAATAGTGCATTAGTAGAAGTTCGAAGGGGCAGTTTAATCAAATGCAAGCATAGGATCATTGGAAATTTCCTAAAAGACTGGCTGCTAGTGGTTAACCTGCAAAAACTTCAACGAAATCAGATCCAGCCATAGAGAGAAACGGGACCTGAGATTCGTTTGCAACTGCCTTAGCTAATAATGTTTTACCAGTACCCGGCGGTCCGGTTAATAATGCGCCCTACATAACGTGTATTGTATGAAACGATATTGAGAAAAATTTAATTATGAAATATTATGGGCACATAGTAATTAACCTTTGGAATTCTGGCACCTAGTTCCTTAAATTTTTGAGGAGATTTAAGATACTGAACGAATTCGCTAATTTCTTGCTTAGCTTCTTGCATACCAGCGACCTTTGAAAAGCTATTCGAGTGCAATAATGTATAAGCTAAAATTCTAAAATTAAGAGCACAAAATTAAAACAGAGAAAATAGTTACTTAATATTTCCAACAGGATGTTCGACAATGGTCGGTTTTGCTAGTCCAAATTTGGTCTATAATTAGAGAGTGTAATTTCTCGTATTAAAATCATCATTTACATTGCAATTAATCAATCTTATTTAGTGCAATTTGCTGCTAGCAAATATACATTACTTACGAATTTGCCGGTTTTAATATTAGGTCGTCGCCGTGAAAAAGCAAGATAAATAAAGCCAAGCATAACCACCGTTAACATCATAGGCCAAGCAATTTGATCACTATTTAAAGCAAAGCAGAATCGTCGACAATTACTACTTGTGTCCGATGTATACTGTAATGCACTGCAGAGTTAAACTTAATGCAAGGTTGAAATTATTGCAATCACAATATATTAAGCATTTCAACTAAAATTATTTTATCTTGTCATCATTAGCTTTTGACATACAAAATAGAGTCGGCTTGATATGTTACGGGAATGTATTCATTATGCGTAATGCCAATTTCCTTCTGGGCTTCAACTAATTTTTCTTCAAACATTTCCGCTGAAGGTATACTAAAGCAGAAATGCGGACCAGGCCTATTGATCTTTTATCAAAATATAGATATATTCACTTTAGGTGGAGGAATATACAAATAAAATCGAAGTATCGTATTTCTATTAGAGTACTTCCTTTTCAGTAAACATACTTTTTTGCCTGAAATGAAGGCTCCGTCGTGCAGATAAACATCTACTCTGTCGTGAGATTTGTTAATTTCTAGGTGTCTTACCTACGTTCACAAAATTGGGAAAAAGAATAAACGTCATTACTCATTTGCATACGAACGATCAGCTAATACTAGTTGGCTAAAGCCATTAACTATCGTAATGTGACGAAACTGGCAACAAATTGGAATTAGCAGCTTTTCCTTAAATAACTGCGACGCTATAAATGTTATACGATGATTAAACTATACATCATGATCTGTATTAAAATCGTTCGGATTAAGTAGACCTGAGAAAGGTTCGGTTAAAAGCTCGCAGATGCAACAATTACTAATACATTTAATATATGTCTCACGCTAACCTCTCCAGTAACTAAAATTTCCTTGTAAAATGTTGACCAACTAATTTGTGGGACTAAGTCTTCATTTCCTAACAAATAGTACATAATGATCATCCACAATATCAGATTTTGCCATGCTGGCATGTTCTGTTGTTCAAACTGTCCATTATTATTATTATTATTATTTTCATTTTTTCCGTCGCCGTCAGTATTTGTGTGCCGATTCTTTTGATCATGATCTGAAATGTGAATTACGTACATTGTTAATTCATTCGATAATTATAATGAATGGCTATAGAGCAAAGCTGCTTTATACAATATTATCTTTTCGGTTAGCCCCTGATGAAACACGTCTTATTTGGTGTTTCGATGCTGACTCTCTTTCCTCTTCTTACATTAACAGATAATTAATCAATGGATTTCAAGCTGTATCAATAACGCATTTAGTAGTACCGTATATTTATAATCGATAAGAACTGAAAATTCAGTAATTACTGGAATTACTGCTCTGCTGTTGTACATGAAATGTAACTTATTTGCACTTTAGATGATAAATTCGTCTTACATTAGATCAGTACTTGGAGCGTAGATTTTAAGTTGTATCACTTATCACATTTACAGCAATATTTACAGCCAACAAGAATAGGAACATGATTGATTAGTCTTAAAATAATCTATAACACATTCCAATTAGTGTGATAATTCTATACTGCTTATAAATCACTACCAAAAATGCGAAATTTGATATACATCTATATTGAAACGTAGAGAAAAACGATGTACAGCGAGCGTTACATCATTAAGAATAAAGAACTGGGTGTCATCTCAATACGAAAGGATATAAAAATACAGCCTATCGATTAGCAAGCGGACTACAATTAGATAACTTCGAGCTAGGATCTTTACTATATTGATTTTAGCTGGTACGTTAATTTAAGTTGCAGAAGAAGAAAGGAAACCTAACTTATGATTAGGATTTCTATATCGCTAGTTTTAAAAGGTGCTGAATCATTTAGCAGTTATAGAGTAGCGTCTATCATTGTAAGTTATTGGCTATTGTTACCTTGATTAGTTTCAAAGAATTTTTCATCTTTATTCCATAAAATACGATCTATATTTTCGAAGAAGACAACAAGAGATATTACTATCGTGGTGAACAAATATCCTACTTTCAACAGGGAAAAACTAAAATATAATTGCAGACAGTCATATGATACTATCAAATAAGGCAATTGTGGGGATGCCAAGCAGAGTTTATTCAGTAAGTAACAGAAGAAGTACTATAACTATTGACATGTTGATAAACTTACCATATTTAGTAGTCAAATTGAACAGGATTTGGCTAGCCCATTTGTTAGCTAAGGGTAGAGTCTGTGGATTTAATTGTAAAGCCTACGGTATACGTGTGTAAAGATAATGTTACAGCATAGATCATAAAGCAGTTGAATATGTTGTTATTTAAGATTCTAGCCATTGAAATGAATGCTCGTAGTATGAAAAGTAACGAGTAACTTGTTTACAAACTACATGCAGCAGTATACTGTACAAATAGGATAGATTATGCCCAGTAAACCAACTTAAGATGAGTTTTAAGAAACTTGTTTACAATGACATATACACATACGAGTAGAATACGTAAATAATATCTAGTGAATCAACTTCAGATGAGCCCCAAGTAACTTGTTTACAACGACATATACAAGTAGAACATGTTCTATTTAGTAAATCAACTGCAGATGAGACACAAGTAATTTGTTGACAATTACATCTACGAGTAGAATAGATTATTTATTCCTATACCCGTATATCTAGTAAATCAACCTCGGACGAGCCTATTTTTTCAATGAATTCTTTTCTTAAGTATTGAACAAACTATCTCGATTACACTAGATAAACAAGACTTGATATCAGTTATTACCTTATGTAGATTAGCTAACAGCCATGGTCTTTGAAAAATAGTCAAGAAATTTCTTATTGGATGGGTAGTTACTGATATTTGGCATATGTTGAGGTGAGAAAGGCCGTTGTGAATTCGGTGGCGACCAGAAGACGCTCCATGGTGACCATTAGAATGAACATAGTTGTTACCAGTAAAATAAGAAAGCGTACGATATCCAATTCTCAGATTATTATGAATTCGATAACAGCAGCGTATTGTTGAGCTCACTAGATACATGTTGGTCATCAATATTTACTTATAGATCTTTCATTGAACAATTTTTCAGTTAGTGTACGGTAAGTCTTCAAGCGATCTTTTCTTTCATTTATTTTCAATGTTGCAAAATATACAAGGTAAATCAACTTTTACTTTCCTATACACACACTTTACTATTCATGGCAATCTTTCTTATTCTATCTCGAGGAATATTAGTAATAGAAAAATAGAACTGGTCTTGAATTTGTTGTAAAACGTAGTAAAATTGCTAGTGCTTAAAGTTGCCAGCCAACAATTTTCAATGGAAGGTAAATTTACTAAAACGCTATCCCAGTTTGTTAGGCAATATCGAGTTGGAATTGCACCAGACCTTTCAAATACAGTCGCACCTGGTAACGTAAACCTGACTTCCTGGAACATAGATCACTATGCTCAAAGATTCGGTAAACAAAGGATCTATTTGACTTGACAAACTACTGTACCATACTTTATACTGTATTGTAAACCCGGTACAATACAGTACAGTACAGTATTCGAGCCAGGGGTCTACAGTACAGTACGGTACAGTACAGTGTACAGTGTACAGTGCACAATGTACAGTACACTATTTACTCACTGTAGAGGTCTTCATGGTCCGGTCTGGTCCCCATGGCTGCCATTGACCATTAAATAGCATAGTAACCATTTGTAGAAACAGGGTTTGCAACGTTATTATTGCTCCTATGGCTGATGCCAAGCTCAAAATTCTTTGCGTACATGGATATCGTCAAAGCGATAAGATCTTTGCAGAAAAGACGGGTGCACTACGGAAAGGGCTTAAAAAATTAGCAACTTTCACATATTTTACAGCTCCGCATCAAGTGTTACAAGATTCTGATGGAAACGATTGTAATGATGACGGTCAATTTGGTAAGAACTGCAGAAATGCAATGTCTTCTCATGGCCATTTCGATCTGTAATTAAAATAGTAGATCCAGTAATATCAAGTACTACTAATACAGTTCAATGGATATAGAATAACTGTCTTTTAAAAGGATGTTAAATTGGATAATTGATCAATGTACACAACTTTATTGCCCTTTTACTTTATAAAAAGTAACGAAATTTCCCTAATTGCAAATCAAAAAATGACGTGCAAATAACAGCGGTTATATTAATATTTCTTGTATGCATATAACACATACTGAACGCGGCACGAAGAAGCCTGTGATTAAATGAAACAGAACATAATATTCAAAGGCAATTTACTCCAATTTGGTATCACGGTGTACTCATAAATATTTTGCAATTATCCTTTATCATATGAAATAGGATGGTGGTTCTCCAAAGATAATAGGACATATAGCGCCTTGCATGTTGCGGATATTGACCTAGGATATCACGAATCTCTGCAAGCATTTAGAAAGTTTTGCTTAGATACCGGACCTTACGATGGTGTACTAGGTTTTAGTCAAGGTGCTTGTATGGTTTCTATTATCTGTACTTTGCAACAACGTCAAATCCTTGATTTGCCCTTCAACTTTAAATTTGCAATCATCATGGCTGGTTTTAAATCATTACTATCTCCTCATCTGCAATTTTTCACTGATCAGATTGTATTACCGAGTTTGCATGTTTTTGGCAAAGCAGATCGAGTTATCCCAATTGGTAGGTTAAATGGATCTCTTCATGCTCTTAAAAGTTAAATATTTATTACTTCAAACATGTAATTGTATTTTCTGTCAGCCACATTAATGAACATGACTGCTGTTAACCATACTAATAAAACGGATCGCCATATTTCTCTCATCTCTTACATATGTAGAACTTAGCCAAGAACTAGCCAAAAATTTTAAAGACCCAACATTAATTATTCATGAAGGTGGACATTTTGTGCCTGCTGCTGCGCCGCAAAGAAAAGCTTATATGGAATTTCTTCAAAAGTTTATTTAATAATCATGTTATTGTACCATATCAGTAGCATTCACTTCTTTCTCCTTGTTAAATCAAATAAAGTAAATTTCTATTTTATAATGTATATTTATTAGCAACTACACCCAAAAAGTAGCCCTGAATAATACTAAAGTATTTGCCTTTGATACGCTCCATTTGCAACGAATAACGCTACGTAGATTGATTGCATGCATGAATATTGTGTATACCAATTAATTGCATTTATTGAGAATTCATGCGCATTAATGAAGAATTTTAACATCACTCACAAATGATGAGTAAATTCACTTCTTATATCTTCGTTTATCAATATTTCATATTAGTCAATGTTGTCGATTCAAAGTACAAAATAGAATATTCTATCCCAATATGAAACACCAATAATACAGTATAATTATAGTTGTGATATCTGTAATGTAGCAAAATATAAGTAAACTTTCTCGCATCAGATATTCTACAATAACAATTTAAACATTGACGTCGATAAGAAATAATTGCTGTTAATACAAATTATAGATATTGCATAGCATACGATTAGAGTCCTTAATGTATAATCAGTATCGATGAGAAGCTCTGTACTTCGTTCAGAAAATAATACAATTTACGATACATTTGTAACGAAAAATTTACAGCTTGTGCTTTAAACCATAGCAGTAGTGGCTCAAGCATCAATGGAAGACATTAATCATGTAGACCCATATACAATATGGTTTATGCAATTTTTTTAAGGTAGTAGCATAAACTCTGAATGAATATATTTCAATATGATTCTATTTCAGTATCAAAATGATATAACTGGCGTAGTTTATTACTCTTTTTACCAAAATATACTTATTTTTGTTCTCATAAAAGTTAGTTTCAAACTGCAGCAGTATAGGAACGACTAGGTACAAAATATTTTTGAGACGATTGTAAAATTAATAAAGTATTGTCTTTATAGTAACCGTAATACTGAGGATCTTCATTCGCAAATGGAGCAAGTGTCATAACATTCATTCGTAGGGCTAAAGCATTTGTAAATCCTGAATGCCTTGATTCTCTAGTTGATGGCAAAACTGAAAAAAAGTATGACCGTTTTCAGTGTTTTTAATAGTGAATGAGGATCATTTACATGAAAAACAAAAATTAGATTTACCTTTGGTATGCATAGCTTCTCTATGAGGATGACAGGCACTAACATGAGTTTCGCCAATTCGAGCTAAGCATGGTTTGCTAGATAAGTTGATAAAAGTTAATAGCATATATTTTTTAATATTTATAGGGTCGTTGCTCTATCAGATTATTACTATATGATCATAATAATCTATTCGTAAAATAATAGCTGTATCTTTAATATGGACTACTAAAATTTATTACAGCATTGGCGGTCTATGGATATAATTATTTGAGCAAAAATACGAGCATTATTAAATTTCTATTCCTTACACATTAATTTTCGGTAATGCTAATATAGCATTCTTCCTTGTTTCTTGTTCTTTCGACTTTCGCCTCGATTCTTGGCGAGATCTAGATATAAAGAATTTCTAATTTACTAAAACTATTCAAGATAGCAAATAAGAGACAAACTATCAACATGATTTAGGTATTAATTCTATATCCGAAAGTGTAGCGTATTTAGAATATACTGTAACTATATTCTACTCTTAAATATAGACATGTTGTATTCATCTTATATTTAGGCGTATCTACAGTCTGTTCGCTCTACATTCAAATATGGCTTACTACATTTAGTTATTACAGTCCTCGCTATTTTCTACAATCTTCTGCTATTCTATAACCTGTTATGGTATATGTTGTATCTAATCCTACAATCATATTCTCTGCATATGTTCTAATGCCATAGCTATAAATACTGTCGCTTTCTACCTTAGATTTGTTAAGTTGCATTATTAGTCACAGTTAGTATTCACACTTTACTCACGGCAGCTACCACGCTGATCTACCGTAATTATCACACTGTACGTAACTACTAGCTACAATAAAGTATCCTCTTTTCGTAAGCTCCTTGTGCAATTCTCTGCATGGCAACTAAAACCACATTATCTGACTCTTCGAACCCTCCATCACAGAAAGTAACAATATTTAAATTAGCTTCGTTTTATCATATTTGTCATACTTTTCTAGCTCTTCTTCTCGAGTAAATTCACAGAAATAATTAATTGCTTCCAGAGGTGTAATAAACGCTATATGAACGGATCAGGTAGAATTAACTTTTATATCAAGTGAGCAATATTACTTAATATCAAAAAATAATTTATACCATATCATACCTGCTATTTCTGTTGAGTCAGGAGAAATCTCAGGCCGATCCGATACATTCTCATTGTTTGGTTGAAAGTTAAGTAAAGCAGCCTAGGTAGGCAAAGTATACAGGAGTAATGAGCTTCATCAATAAGAATGAAAGAAACGTATTGAAATTTAGTTATCAAGTTAGCTGTAGTGTTCAACAAAAATTACCTTTTTCTTCAAATAATCGGTTACTATAAAACCTGTACCATCACCATAATTCATTAGTAAAAACAGCTATTAATTTAACTCAAAAATTTTTTTCAGTTTACTAGACAGGTACTTAAAAGTATGATTTAATAGACAATCACATTATACTCGCTACTTATTAACATAGCAATTATTTACCAAATGATTGCGCATTGCCTTCCTCTGCTTTATCTTTAAATTTAACTTTCGATATATCTTTGACTATTTTATTTGGATTACTTCTCTTTTTTCTAAACATAAAATCATTCAATAGGAACATACTGTTATTCGATTGCATATAATGCTGGCTGTACAGTACAATAAATCTATATTGCATACCGCATCTATGTAAAGCATCATTATTTATATAATACGCACAGTGATAATCCAAGTTACAATTAGCAATAAAATGTAATCATTACAATCATCATTTTTGTCAATATCATATATTTAATATATAGTACTCTAGCTTAGCTATAATCATCGTAAATTAATATCGTATACAAGGTAGAAATGAAGGTAATTATTTAGCTTAACATTATTATCACTAATCTATCTCAGTCAGAATTTTCATTGGCAGTTTTATTACCTTGATTGTTTTACTGCTTCTCTTGATGTAGTTATAGTATAGTGCTCGATATGCTTGGAAAATTTATCAATCCAAGTAGACAGCCACGATTCAGTGAAGCTGTTGAGTTGATTTTTTCTGTCACGATTATTTAAAAACTTTTTCTAAAAGATAAGGTTAAAAGATTCCAGTTACTAATAATATTAGGGAAATAATTGTAAATAACAAGTATTGCTATACACTAGAGCATATTTTTTTTTTCAAACCATAATTTTATACATAAGTAAAAACGTGTGTAAGATATCGTTATAATAGTTTGGTCTAAATGAATTGATCTATTCTTCTAAGTTACAATTTATGTAGTATATAATCTCATGCATGAGGACTTAAGACTTGCCGAATAAAATGTAACCTAAAAACACTGTATTGCGTGCAGAAGAAATTCACTGAATGCCTATAAATATATACATATATATATATACAATATATATTTCGTAAGTTGTTATATCATTTTATTACCTTTAAATCCCAGGAATTTATTTCCTTGATCAACATATTGTGTAGATCATATAACCCAAGTTGATAAAGAATTGTTAAGGCAATATTTCTAAACAACGAAATAACATTAATTACCGCTGAAAGAATATTCGCACTCATGAAGAATTTTTGTGCAATTTAAGTTTATCAATGACTTCTATAAAACGTAAAACTGATTGGAATAAACAACTTACCTAATTTCTTCATCACCACTTGCTGCTTGAACTAACAGTTCAGCAATATATGCCTTTTCCGATTCTGCTCCAAGTTTATGCAATGCTCTCAAGGCTGCTATAATAATCTAAAATGAAATAAACACATAAAATCACATGCATTTAATTGAAGTAATAAGAATTTGCTATAACTAGAGCTCTTTGTAATTTTACATTAATTTAATATCTTAACACTCTCTACTAACAATGTTAACAATACTGAGCAAATCGTTTTAATTTATCTACATCGACTTCCCATATAGCAAATTAAATCGATTACTGTGAATTAAGAAGTGTCCATAATTTTTGCATTATACCTTTTTGCCATCTCGCGTATTGACGATGTCTTTTCTAAGTTCTGCTAAAAGCGCACGAATTAGAAATTGTTTATCTTCCAGTGGATCGTCCACTTGATTTAGAAGGGTACAGATGGCCTAAGATTTATAGCACATAACGGAATTAGAAATAAAATTTTAAGGCTACCAAATTAAAATTATCGATAAAAAAACTCTTAAAGTATTATTATAATCACACATGCAGCGAATCAGATATTAATCATTCAAGGTTTATTGCATTAATCGCAATAAACTTTCTTACCTCTAGGATTCCTACTTTAGTAGAATTGTTCGGCGATTTAAGCTTGATCATTAGCGCATCTAAGAATTGCTCAATACTTTCAATTTTTGGAAATGACTATTTAAAGTAGGCATAAGAATAAATTACATTAGTTTCCTTTTAAGATACAGTTGATCTAATTGAATACTTAGTTAAAAAATCTAATTCACAGCTCATTAATAGTAATTGAAGTGTTGAAGCGAAATTTTAATAGAAAATAAAATCTTTCACCTCATCTTCAATATCAGGGAAGGCCTCTTGAAACCATTCGTCATCCTGAAATTGAGCGATAAAGTTAGGTAAGGTTCTCTTAGGCGGCTCGGGTGATGGAATTCTTGGCGGAGGGGAAGGTGATGGAGATGGTGATGGAGTCTTTTTGGTCTCTTCTTTTTTCCTGATAATGCAAAATAGAATTAAAGTACACTCATGTTAGACTACTAAAAAATCTAACTATATCTATCATCTGGAAAGAGCTATCCCTTTTATTTTATAGCTCACTTTAAATATTGTTTTCTCAACTTGTCACGAAGTGGTCTCGATAGATGCTTTTCTACAGGTGTTCTAGGATAAATCTCTGGGTCGTCTTCATCGCCTGATATTGGGGTATCATTTCGTGAATCGTCTGTAACATCTGGTGAATTGCTTTCTCTTAATGCTTTCTGCAATCTTTCATAATAGCTTGTCGACTGTGGTATATCAGGAGATTCATTTTCATCTGGTGGAATTTTAGTCTATATAAGAGGCGAAAATGATAGTGTTATTTATTCATCATATTGATTTATCACCAGATTTTAATTCTGAACGCTTTACAGAAAGTATGTCATACCATAATGCTCTTGTTATATTTATCAATCATAGCAATGACTGGAGTCTATCATATAGACGTTAAAAAATAGAGCTATATTATACTATATTCTAAATACTATATTCTGAAAGCATTCGATCTCGATCTGTACATATTAATTTAGTCAATATGACGGATTACTGTAGTACTTAGTATGTGATAGTATAACAACGAACTACGACTAATTTAAATTTCACATTTTAAAGTGTTATAATTGCCTTATTATATATATATATACGAGTATTTATCTTTCTAATCTATCGATTTCTCTTTTGGACTGTTTGATAATTTCAAACTGAAAACTATTTACCTTTCTACTGTCTAAGAAAGCTAATTGTTCCGTCGTTAATTGTGGTAATTCCCAATTCTGATCATTCCAGAAATTCTCATCATCTGTATCATCATCTTGAAATAAAGCCCGAGCCAAAATTGAATTAGGAACATATCCATCTGGAGCAAGTGCTGCATCATCCACTAATTGATAGCGTATTAGTTGCTTTTTAGCAGGCCTGCGAAAGAATCCTGTCTGCGGATATTGAGGAATTTTGAATGATGAATCTGGAAACAACAAAAAGTTCAATTTGATATGAACCATAAGTTAAGCTTTGGAACTTTTTCATTAGATTTAGGCATTAATTCTAATTATTTTTCAAGACTAATAATTGATTTAATCAGCAAATTTTAAATCAAAATATTTAGTAATGAATTTATTCCTTGTTAATTAGATTTCCATAAAACTATTAAGATATCCTAGGGAAACGCAATAGCTTATAAATATGATCTACTAGTTGCTATTATATATGTATATATTACTTTCATCTTTTGATGAGCTATCAGAATGATATGCATCTTCATCATCACTCTCAATAGTGACCTATTAAAAGCAAAAGAAAACGTCTTTTACAATATCGCAAAATTTGACTACTCTGAATTTTTGAAATCTAATAATTAGTGTTGGATTCATCTAAAATATAGCTATGGAAGCTTGCTTTACGCTTAAATATTTAAAATTTACAATTAACTTACTTTTGTCTTTTTATAGTAAATAGAGTTATAAAAGAGATCCAAGTATTTTTTAAGTGCTACTTTATTGACGTTAGGTTTTGTTTTTGGTTTCTATTTCAAAGTTTTTCATTGTTAGTATGTAAATCCGTATATACGCGCCTAGCAATGTCAAAATATAGCAAATGGACATTGCTATATTGTGTAGTGTAACTTATTATATTGACTTGAGAAAAATTAGGCTGCGGTATTAAAATTTATATCGAATCAATTAATATTCATGTGTAATTTACCGGTGGCCGAACTGAAAGTTTGCCTTGGGTGATTGCATCTAATTCTTCTTCACGAGCTTTAATGCTAGCATAGCCCTATATTTCGTGACATAGTAAATAGAATACGGGTTGAGCATTGAAACAGCATGGAAAATCAGTTAAAAGAGAATGAAATACTGACATGCTTAAATCTTTCAACATAAATGATATTGCTTGATATTTGAGTTTGTTTTTCTCACCTTTTCTTTCGTCTCTCGTTGCATTCGCTGCTCTAATGCTTCTTCATCATCCAGTACGTCTACATATTCGCTAGCTCTAAATAATATTATCAATTAATAGATTAGAAACGCCCCCCAAAATACATACAAAGTATCGACATTAAATAAGACAGAAGCTTAAGAACTATTATAACTTACTCGTATAAGCATAGTGAAATAAATCAATTTTAATCTGCACCTTCACTATTGATAACTTACACATGAGCTGTTGGCTTGGCGATCTGTAAACGTTTTTTATCCATATGGGGTAATGTTTCAATGTAATCGTAATGCTGCTTTACGTCGCGATTTTTAAGGACATTCGGAAATTGCATTACTACCATATGTCTTAGATAACTGTCAGGTAGATCTATTATATTTATTAACAAAGTTAACACGTATCAATATAATATAAAAGGTAATAAGAATAGTCAATGATCTCTTACACCCGTATAATATTATCAAAAGTCAAGCTATACCAAATCAACTAAAATAAGCACTTTAACTTTAATAAGTTTAATTACTTATACGTTTTTATTGACCTTAATTAATCTTAATCTACAATATCAATAACTATGTTTTGACATAACAACTGAAAGTTTACCAATTATGAGTATTGCTCTTGTATATTTGAAATGGTTATAAATGATTTGAAATTAACTATGATCAGAAATCTACGCAACACAAATTGTTCTCTTAAAAGAAATTTTAACATCGACTAATATGGAAGCCTTACAATCTTGATGACAGATTTTATGAACATGACTTCCTATTCCTACGAGGATATCACCACGATCGCTACAAAATGTTATTCCAGTTGCTTTTGCATTTAATTTAATAACCCTGGATAATGTTAATAGTAGTTGTTTAGAGATAGACACCACCCAATTCGCAACCAGTAATGAGAATTACTCGCCAATTTAATTAATAATTTAGTTATTGACTTATAGGACAGATAATTTGTAAGTTCAAATCTATTACCGTTGTAATTGGCTATATTCATCCCAAATTCTGACTGTTCCATCCATACTAGATGAGGCAAATAGTTTCATCTTTGGACAAGCCGCCAAACCCGTAATATGTTCTGTGTGGTCATCTTCTGCATTATGATTGTTACGATCTAATATCATAAATTAGAAAATAATACAGTAAACATATAGATAATGTTCTTATGAAGTAACAACGCTAAAGTATGGCAAAAATTTGCATCTTAACAAGTCATTTGATGTGTATGCAGTAAACTATAGGATTTGTTTTATTAGCGGAAAGAACTAAAAACACTTGAATTCTATCTAAGATTGATTTGAACTAATTAAAAATCCAATAATTTCTAGTACGTACAATCGTATTATTGAAATAGATGCCTATAGCTTACTTTTATGTATTACGTTGTAAATAACTGTCGAAAAATCGCCTTTGGAGGGTTCATGGAATGCAACCATTAATCTATGATCAATAACTGCTAAATGATGAGGTAATTGTCCACAGTAAAACAGCATAATAGGGACCAATTTTTCTTCTGAAAATGCATGTACCCGCCAAACTTTAACTGTGTTGTCTAGTCAGAATAGAATCATTCCCGTAAATTAATTTGAAAAGGAGATTGTATTTGAATTAATATTTCCTAAATACATTTAATCATTTTAAATCACGGGTGGTATTTATAGCATAGTCTAGGCTAATGAGAAAACTGGAATTAGGATTATAATGTTTAAATATTAATTGATAATACCTTTTGCGGAAGAAATGATTTGATCTCTGAGTGGGTTAACTTCCATGCCAGTAATTTCAGCTCCATGTCCCTTTTAGGTTATTGTAGATATTAATTTAGTTTATTTATAACAATCAGTCATAAATACATAATAATATAACATATATAGGCAACATTTACATAATGCTGAATACAAGCATGTGGTCTTAATTTAATCTGAAGATACGATAGGACATCAGTTAATATCGCTATTATTATAATGTTGCAATTTATATACCTCTATTTCATACATAGGTGTTCCATAATCTCTAGCATCATACATAGATATTAGGCCATTTTTTCTACCACCAAATACTAAAGAAATTGTAGGCAAAGTTTCGTTACCAGCTGTGCCAGCTTGAATGGCGGTAGCTATATAGCTCCATCCGCCTTCTTTGGATTTTTCCTAGGAATTTAATATAGTTAACAAATGAGCCATAAGCACCTATTTCGGGCCTATCATTAACGTTGAGATGTATTTCATTCTCAATTGTAACGTCATGAAATCTAATTTTGATTATCAGCAAATTTATTGGCATTTATTGACTGAATCAAAAACTACTAAAATAATGTTTAATGAGAGGCTTGTACTCACATCTTCTGAGTAGTCATAGGCGCAAAGGCGGATAATTATATCTGTCATATCAATGTAATGAAGTTATAAATTAATAACTGAAATTGTTATTTAGAAGTGTACATAGATTGATGTTTATAATACCCTTTAATTAATTAATAGCTAACATTCGAACAGGCGCTTCATAAAAGGGCTATGTTTTACGTTATGACAGAACATGATTTTACAAACATTTACCATCTTTTCCTTTGCTTGTTTGCCAGCTGTCAATAATCTGGCAAGGATTAGTTGATGGTTTGCACTTGACAACTTTTCCATCACTAGTAGCTGCGAATAGTAAATCTAAAATGCAGTAAATCGAGCAATTTTTATTGACGCTTCCGTTGATCTATGTATATTGTATAATCATGTTCTGTGCACTTACCTGTTTTATGTGAATATCCAATATCCAATATTGCTACTGACATTGGCATCAGTAATGTAGACAGAATGTCCCCTTCATCTGTATCGATCATCCGCACTGCGCTATCAGCAGCAATACAGAAGGTTCGAGGAGGATACTGTGAAAGTATAGGAAAGAAATTAATACAAAAAATTATCCACTTGCATCCAAGTTAATTAACTAGATATGAGAATCTAATTTATATAAAATATTATTCTACTCGATAACTCATCTTAGAATTCCCAACTACTATAGAATTGTAGAAGATAACAATAGACTATATTTAGTGGAGTAGATTAGGTCTTAAGGATTATAATTTACTGATCTTGCTTCAAATCTGTAATACTACCTATACCGTTACTTTAGTTGATAGACTAAACGACCTCCGATTTCTTACGAGAGTCAAAACTAACTATTGTTTAATGCTAAGCTTCAATACAGCTATAGCTTATTCTCCCTTACCTTTGGGTGAGAAAAGTATTTTATATTTTTGACAATGCTCCTGTAAACGAATACCGTAGCAAATTAAAAATCAAACGGACCGTATTTATATTTTTTGCACAATGCAAAGGAGATATTTGACGACTTTGATATCGTATTAAATATTAATAGTCTTAAAATGGTCTTACCCTATGGCAGCAAGAACATTATGGCAATGTTTACTTTTCCAACCATGAACACCCCAGGAAGTGAAGGATAACATATAATCGAAACCACCCCTAGACCAAAGCCCTTCTACTGGTCCGTCATTAACAATTCTAATTTCAATTCGAAAAACAATACAGCCGTTAAGAAACTAACGTTACTACTACTGAAATAACCAAAACCTTTAAATCTTAGTTGTTGGTAATTAATTTGTTAAATAAAGTGCTTTGCAGATACATCTAGTTAATTACTTGTCCGCTTCATCAAATGTTTCTAAACTCCATACGCGCATTGTGGTATCCCTTGAACCAGATACGATATAGGGACCAAATGGGTAACTGGACAAACATGTTACTTCGTCAGAGTGTCCAACAAATACTAAGCGTAAGTTGTAATTGTTATCCCAAACTTTGACTGAAATGTAAATTTCAAATTGAAAGTATTTATTATAGGTGTATGCAATGTACTCATATACCGTTTCATATTTTATAAAAATAGTTAGCAATTTAATTGAATAATAGTCTTTAACGTACTATATGATACTATATTGAATGTGTACGTATATCAAAATACCTGACCCGTCTTTACCAGCCGTAACAAGGTTCTTGAGCGGGTCGTAAAATATCATGCTAAAGAAGGTAGTAACAAAAATGATTACGTTAAACAACTACAGATTGAAAGTACTCTGATTTATATAAATACTAATAATGGAAAGCACTCAAATTCTGTGCTGAATCGTACCAAGTTATTTTCTTGATATGAATATCTTTTAGGGTTCCAATATGTTGATTCTTTCGGGTATAAAATATCTGTTGTAATACAGATGTTTTAAGGCATGACATTTTAAAACTGTAAAGGCATTATCTGATGGGAAGTCAATTTTGTCATTTCTATCCTCATTTCGCTAATTTATGCTTACCATAACAGAGTTATTAACGGCACCAAAACATCTTTGTGATCGGCTAGCAGTTTGTTCCATAGCTAGTAGTTCAACGGTATCTTTCTGATTTAATTGATCCTGGATTTTAAACGTTATTGTTAGTAGCGGATGTAATATCAAATTGTTATCTATAATATCAGAGTTATGATACAAGTACGTAGATATTACATTAAATGACTAATATTATCAATAATCGAATATTTATTACCTGAATAACCTGGCTGGGAACTAAATGTCTAGCACTATGCCTGAATGTCCATATCTGCATGCAAGGATTATAGTAAAATAAGTTATCATAAAAGTTATAATTGTTAAGTGGAATATTTTTTTCCTTAGCATAGGATTACTGACAGTGGCGACTTTAAATAACTAACTCAGTTGTTACTGGTACATAATAAATTATTAGGGAAGACTAATGACTTACAGTTATATTTCCTACGCCACCAGTCAATAGTTCATTAGTTGTCTCATTATATTTCGCACTATTAGATAATTGTGATTATAATACAATATTAGAGGACAGAAAAGGTATCCGTATTTGTATCAGGGAATTTAAATAATAGACCGATATTTACCATGCAATTCTATCCGGTGATTTAGCAGTGGATATTACTTCAAAGTTGTCATTTAAGACCTGAAGTGCATATGGTCACACAATTTTCAAATTAGAAGATATTTGGTAGCTTATTAAAAGTGAATTACTCTATAACAGATCTAGCCGTATTCGCTCTAAGGCTGTAGACAATATCTTATCTGCTCATTAAAAATATATAATATTGGCCAATTTATTTAGGTTATAGTACCTTTAATTTTCTGTCATGACACCAGCCAACATATTGATTTACATCAGGAGCATATAAAAAGTCGGTTATAAGAGTTGGTAGTTTATAAAATTCCTTCAGTCCAGTTTTTCTGTATAAGTGAAAGCCAGTGCTATCAAGGATGATATGAGACTTTATGTTGATGTTAAATATGACTCTATATACTATATCATCGGCATATATATTTCCAACTTGCTGAACGCCATGAACAATAGTTATATTGCTAGGTTTTGGCTTTGTTTTTGATAACACTGCTTTACGAATAACGTTCCAATAATACCATGGAGTTTTAATGATCTCACTTTCTTTCGATCTTGAAGATAAAACTGAAGTAGATCTAGATGTATCTGGTTTGTCTTCCATCTTCGGCTGGTTACAATATACTAGTAATGTAGAAGTATCATGTAACTTTAAGAGTCTCGTAAGGTATTGTGATTTTATAAAGCAGACTAAACTTTATGAATGTAAGAATTGCGATATTGTATATTGACGATCATAAATATTTACTATGTATAATATTTTTAATTAAATTAGTTAGGTAAGTTGTATTACAATCTTACTCTAGAAATGTTCTATAATTGAGATAGAAAGTTATGCATGATGTTAACAGTAATCAAATTCAAACTCCATGAGTTCCATATACTTACTAGATTAATTTCCTATCACCTATAAAACCCAAATGGACTATTTCAGTGAAATTTTGAAACTAGAATATGCTAAGCATTGAATAAGTTCAGGATTATAGGATTGTTGTCCAGTCGTGTATTTCTATGCCAAGTTATGGATTATGCGCTACCTATATAAAATGATTAAAATCTTCAATTAGGGATAGACACGGTGGGTTTACTTCAAATTAGTATAATCGTAATCATTGGCCAGTATTTACTGGTAGATACTACATAAATGAATTGTTTGTAAATTTTCCAGGTCTATACGATTCTGTTAACAATTAAATACGTTTAGTAGAATTCACTATTATCATACGGTTGTAAGACTGCTTCAGTTATACAATGTCGTATAAAATAACTTGTTTAGGCCAGCTTGATCTATTACTGTTGGTGCTTGTCGAGTATAGCTGGAAACTTATACAATTACTATATTAATTTATTGACGTTAAAGCCATCATATAACCTACCTGGCTAAGAAATATTTATCTCAAGAGGCAGTATGAATATGCACTCCAATGGCAATCTGTCTGTGCAGTATTATTTTGGATTAGCAAACATCTCTATGGCAACATCAAGTCCTTATACTGAGTCTGCGCTAATATCTACTGTTATAACAACCAATCATCTGCGAGAATCATGGCGTCTGGATTTACCGTTAGTTTATACGCTGCAATGCTTAATTTCCACATTTTTAGCTTTCAGGATTTACTATGTCGTATCATCGATTATACACATTGGAGATTACTGTGTGGTGATCAATCTCTATACTGTAACACGTATAGCTAGGCCTTAGTTCAGTTCAGTATAATAAAATACAGCATATCAAGTGGGTGTATCATATTTATCCAGCTCAATTGATTGTAAAATAGCAGATACTTCACTGAACTATACTGATACATGTACCGGTAGAAATGAGATGAAGAGCATTATTAAAATTATTTTGATATATGACACGTTATGTCGGTTATTAGTATGAATATATGCAACATGAATGCATTTATTTATTTATGTTCTTTTATAGCTTTCAGTACTTTTCGTGGAGTACTTGTACTATAATTTATATGTTGGCTCTACTAAATAAATGACCCATTACACAATTCGTTTATCGAGATTTTAATTCGACGTGGTAAGGTATATATATCGTGTATATTTATTGATCCTACCCTGCTGAACTGACTGTACTATAAATATACTGAATTTATACTAATAGGGATGAGGGGTGTAGTATTATGTTAAAATTAATTTGATATTTGACCGACTATATTAGTAATTAGAATAAATAAATATACGAGTATAAAGTTTATTCGTGCATATGTACAATATTGTATATAGCTGCACGCTACAACGAATAAAAAGAATAACAAAACCCTTTTCAGTTATATCATAATAGACAGATGATCGCTTTTGATTAATTTCTATGCTATTGTATTCATAATACTGCATAGTAATTGCTAAAGATGATTTTTTTGGCCTGAAATTCAATAAAATTTAATTTATGTGCCATTAATTCATGAGAAATTGCAATACTACTCATCGTTTCATAAGATAGGATAGCAATTTCATGATGTAGTGCCTATCATGATATGTATAATGACTTGCATGTTAGGATTAGTTTTCATGCAATATGGACTATGCTATCTCGTCTCTAATATCACACAATCTTGGATAGTAACCACGACTGCAAACGATATTTACTAGTATAACAGGATTACTATCAAAACGCTGTCCTGTAGTAATTATGCCGTCCAAATGGACTCTCCGCAATAAAAGGCTTTGGTCTGCGTAAATGTAATCAAAAGTATAAATACACTAACATAGAATGTGGGTCATGGGAATTGTAGTATTAAAATCACTATCTGAAACGATAAAAATGCATATAATCGCCATTTTAAGGGCTCGCAAATCGCTTATAAATAATCACGCTACTTCTAGTCTTCACCGATCATTATAATAAAGTATTATTATTAAAAGTTTTTCATTAAACTGCAGTTCATTAGCGGATTATTTACTGTTTATTTTCAGGAGACAGTACACGGTACGGTATAAAGTTACTGAACCTCTGTTAAATGAGCACATTATCGTAAACCGTCAGTAAAGCGACGGGAGTTTGCACTAGTATTGAGTAATAACGATGCAATCCTATATATTTGTCCATATATAGTATGCCTATTTATGGAATGACAAACTGTGAAGATTTTTCTGTAGCTTCTACGTTGCTATTTCATACAAAGTCGCTATTGAATGTCTCACACATAGCATTGAGTTTATACTATTTTAACGATAGCCCTTGTCAATATGCAATTATTATTTACGATCCGACACAGTCGATCTCATTAAAAATCAGTGTTGATCAGTGTCTTTTTTTATACTAAAACTATAGTGGATAAAATAGGAAACAATGGAATAGCGTTGGAAAACTTGCCTACTAACGTGATTAAATTAAGCGGTACATTGTGCTATCTTCTACAGTACAAATTGGCGTTACTTAATGAGTAAGTTGTCTACTACCATTGTGATAGTTGATACAGTAGAGCTGTTGTGATCAAGCTAAGGAAACAATATACAATCTTCCCCCATATTATATATAATATACCACATTGAGTAGACTGTACTAGGAAGATCCTAATAAACACTATTATGTCAATATTAAGCCTACAAAGAATAAGACTCTACTCCTAAAACTGTTCGCAAAGCGTACTGTATTCTAATTACATAACAATACACATTATATTGCATTGTGCTTTCAATCAAGATAAAATACCGTTAATCGATTAAAATGCATTTATACTAATTTTAATCAGTAGTAACGGTGCAGTATATTAGTTCTCGAATAAGTTAAGGCTAACCTCCTGACGATAGTAGCTAAGCGTTGCATTGGAGGTATACGCGTACAAAACTGGATTGAAGACTGTAAAGGTGTGACACTAGAATGAACCAGCTGACAGTATTTTAAATCTGTTTTTCTCCTTTTCTTTGCTATGACTAGTTAGTTATTCCTTGTAGGCAGATAACGTATTTATTAATTAGTATTGATAAAAATTAGTTCTTATTATCATCGAGGGAACCGACGCTATTCCTCCTTAGAGATCTATAGTTGAAGTTAGATTTGATTACGTTAAATTAATGGAAGCGTTCATTACAAATTATTCTACTCAGCGAATGGATAGCCTTGTAATATTTTTCATTTATTTAATCTAGTCTTTCCTTTCGGTATATCCAAGTAATTGAAGACACCATGGAGGAAGATTATCGTCAGTTTGCTGATGGCCTAGGTGAAGTGTCGCCTGACGAAGCTGGGCTAGCCGAAGAATTTCGTAATTTGTATCAAAACCGATTGAGGTTGATGGAAAAAGTTCAGAGTGAAATGGAACAAGCTCAAAAAGTTAGTTAAATGAAATAATGTCAATATCATATTCAAATTACTGTACCAATTGCAGATGATCATTTTTTTGCAAAATTTCTCCAAACCAACACGTAAAATTAGACTCAGACTCGATCGGGACTTAAAGTAAAGTTGAAACGTGAAAAACACGATAAAGCGACCCATGCATTCCCAATAACAGTCTAGTCGATCCTTTTTTTTTATTTATTTGTTTCCTTTTCGCTAGTAAAGCAACTTTAGAGGTCTTATATACCACGACAACAAATTTTAGGAGGAGGTTTAATATTTTTTGATGTAAGGATACTACCACGCTATAAATAGTTCAGTTGGGTAATACAGCAGTTTAATGATATCAATAGTCTCGAAGTTATCTTTTGACTCGTTGAATACGATATTTCTGCCATTATCAAACCATTTTGAAGCGTAATTTCGCCTAAACATAACTTAAAAAGATTTAAATCACCATTTAAATTTAATGATTAATTTTTATCCCTGGCTCTAAAGTTTCACCACATTTTACTAAAATTACTCGTTGCAACTGTTCCATTGTTTAGAACTCTGCCATCAACATTATGTTGAAACACAGCAGATATTTTCCCTGCCGCTATTTGTATATATATGTTACCTGGCTGATTTCAGAAACAGAATTTAAAAAGTTTAAATAGCTTTTAAATTACCCCTGTACAATAATTGCTATCTTGACAATTTAAGCGTCTAACAGTGTAACAGCAATATTCGATAACGGCTTAAGCAGAGACTACTCCTACTGCCTATTGTGACAGAAATAACATCATTGCATGACATAAATAACTCCTAAATCATATCGCTTTATGAATCTGCTTGGTCTTATCGTTATTTTTGTTTTTTTTGCTAAATCAAAAATACTAACGCTCATGTAGCTAATTTATCTTTGTGCAAAGTACGTAATAAGACTTACCGCATCGTTATATTAGAAATTACACGGTGCATTCCGTTTATGTTCGAATGGCTCTAATACGCCCTACATACATCTACTTCACTTGTTGTATGAATAGCAATCTTTTGATAATTTACTAAAAAACATTATGAATGGACTAAAATTTTTTAAATTAATTGCTTTAAATTTAACAGTATCTGATTAACACGTAGTAAATAAGGCTATACGTTGCGATGACCGTATCATCTGATTACGGTCAGCTCAATACAGCTCGACGTAGTACTGACATTATTCCATCCACTTAGAAAGCTTTGACATTAAATAGAATTTAGCTGAGTGAGTAAAAACTTTACTTTTATTAGATATTTATTAAATTTTAACACCAAAATTGGATTAT